CTCTCTCCCTCCCACTCTACCTGAACAAAAAATGTCCTCAGGTGAGGATAAAACAAACAAAAAAGAAATTGTTAAAGACTGCCCGGCTGCTGTGGCTCAGTGGTTGAGCGTCGACCCTGCACCAAGAGGTCGCCGGTGTGATTCCTGGTCAGGGCACATGCCCAGGTTGTGGGCCTGATCTCCGGTGGGGGGCAAGACTTTGCTTATCTTGGTTCAGTCATCAACTCAAATGGAGACTGAAGCCAGGAAATAAACAAAAGGCTAAGACTTGGAAGGTCAACAACAGAAAAATCAGAAAAGGTCACCACAAGCAAAGATGCACCGTTGCGGGTGGTCATCCACACCCTCGCGTTTTCCATCTCTGTGCACAGATGTGTGATCGGACGGTGAAGAAGGCTGAGGGGGAAACATGGATTCACTTGAAACATGGTGTCGGAAGAAAGCTCTGTGGGAGACGCTGGACCCCCAGGGGGATGAGCACGTGGGTCCCCCAGCAAATGGAGCCCGAAGCATCGATGGAAGTGAAAGCGACAGACTGGAGCTGTTCTGCTTGGGGCATGTCAGGGGACAGCATGTTCTTGGGGAAGGACAATCATTCTGGCAAACAGAAGGCGGCAGGAAGAGGAAGGACGGTGAGGTGGATGGACGTGAGAGGAGCCAGAGGCGTCCGTGTACAGAAGCCGAGCAGGGCTGCTGAGGACGGGGCACTGTGGACATCACTCACTTAGGGTCACCAGGAGCCAAAGCTGACTCGAGGGCATGTAACATACTGTGTACCAGGCAGGCCCTGTGCTGAACATACGACATCAGTTGAATGCTTTCTAAGTCTTTCTGTGCCCCAGGTCCTGGGGACATAGTAGAATCAGGCTTGTTTCCACCCTCACGGACACCCCAGCTGGGGAAGGGATGTGGGGTTAGATGATGGCAACAGCATGGGGAGCAACAGCAGAGGTCAGGGGGCCGGAGGAGCTCCCTCCCTCCTGCTCACCTACTGTCCCTTCATCTCATCATTACGTGAACACACACTTTCTCCACGGGGGTCCTCAGGGGCCCGGAGCACAGCACCGTCCATCTGTCAGCTCATTTTGTCCTCACGGAGCCTCGCGAGAAAGTTTCCTGTCCCCAGTTAGGGAACCCGGGACCAGGGCAGTACCAGAGCCCACAGGGGCTTTTCAGATCCTGCATTTAGTTTTTCAGCCGATCACAACAAGGGCTTAATGTGCCCTGAAGTTGTCACCTGTCCCCCAGTGGTTACTGAGGATGCATGAAATCGTACGCTAACCAACAAAATAATCTTGTTGAATAAATAACGTGTCATGAACAATGTTTCTCTCCAAATCAAGGTACAGGCAGTAGCCTTAAAACAAAGGTACAGGCCGGCCAGTGTGCCTCAGTGGTTGGGCGTCGACCCTGCACCAGGAGGTCACCAGTTTGATTCCCGGTCAGGGCACGTGCCCAGGTTTTGGGCTAAATCCCCGGTGGGAGCATGCAGGAAGCAGACAATGTTCTCTTTCGCTTATTGACGTTTCTCTCTCTCTCCCTCCCCCTTCCTCTCTCTCTAAAATCAATAAAGAAAAACAAACAAACAAACAAAAAAACCCCAAAGTCCAGCTTGTCACGTCTGCCATAAATCACTAACAACCTTTTGGGAATATTGTAGGAACAAGCTTTGGGAAGGAGGTTGACTCCAGCAACTGGGTATTCTGGGTCAAGGAGACTTGCTGACTCTCGACCATAAAAACTGGACGTCCACTTGACCCATTTCAAGATAATCATAGGAATGGACTGTGCTGACATACATGTAGAGAACTGTCCCCCCCACCCCCGACCTCTTGTTCTGCTTTCCCTCTCCCTCCTGATAATAACCCCTGCCTGCCCCAGACATTAAGAAGGGCTTTGGGATGAGAGCCCCCCAGCTTCTCAGGTGCCCGGCACTTGAATAAACCACTTTCCTTCTCACCAGCGCCTTTCTCATGAGTTTGGCTTTCGTTGGGGCAGGCAGCCACACCTGTGCTCAGGTGCACTGTCACTTCTGCACCCCGCCACCCCCCGTTCCCCAGGGCTCTTTGTGCAGGGACTGGCCTCCCTGCCCCACGGAGCCTTCTCTGTGGTGCTTAAGGCCTCTTCCTCACCATCCCCCTCTCCTGTCAGATCAGCCACTTCCTCCAGGAGAGGACACGCCCACCTGCCACCCACGGCCCATGTGAGAGGCCTCACCATGGCACCTTGTGGGCACTGCTGCACCCACTTCACAGAGGAGGAACCAAAGCCCAGGGTGGACGAGCAACCAGAGTGGGACTGCACAGGAGGGACGGGGTGGGTCCAGGCTCTGCCCCCAGCTCTGTCTGATCTCCAAGCTGTCCGAGGGGGAGGTGTGGGCAGGGGTGGGGTGTGAAGGACGGACGGGGCCTGGAGGGCTGTTCCACCTGTGGACAAGGCGCAGTGGTGGAGAGCACAGCCTATTGGGAAGTGCAGTTTGCTGGGCGTGCACAGAGGAGCCAGGGCCTGAAGGAGCTGCACCCGGGCAGGGCTGTGGTGACGTTTAAGGGTGGGGGAGGGGATGCAAGAGTCAGATCTGCCAGCAGCAAGGCAGGGGATGGGGACAGCTGAGCTGAAGGGGCCGGGCAGGGAGGCAGGGGGAGCCATGAGCTCGTCCCACAGGGAGTGTCCCTGGGCAGAGGGTCGTGGGAGGCGGGACAGACGAGGAAACTAGGAGGATGGATTCGTGGGAACTTGGAGTCGAGCTGGAGTAGTGAGTGGGGCGAGGACCCGAGGAGGGGACCCTCCTGATGCTGGAATAAGTGTGTCCGCGGTGGTAGGAGCAGAGCTCTGGCCAGGTGACTGGACGTGTGGGTGTGGACTGAGGGCGTGGGGCCGAGCAAGGAGGGCTGGACACCGGGGTTTGCCTCCGGGAGCTGCCGTCCAACTAGAGGAATTAGGTTGGGCTGTGGGCGAAGACCCACTTGATCACGAAGTCAGTGTCCCTGGGCCGTCCTGGGCGGGAATGCAGGCTCCACGGTCATGACGGCCCAGGGACACTGGTGGCCCCGCTGTCCTGCTACATGGAGACCCACCTGGTCCAGGGGGGATGAGGAGGTGAGGAGGGAGCACCCCCTTCCGGAGACCATTTTGGGACACTGCTGCTCCGCTCGTGCCCAAGAGCGGCACGTGGGCCTCTGTGCCTGCCGGTCAGGGGTCTGGGTCCGAGGGAAGATGGCGTGATGTCAGGGACGACTGGTCTCCACCAGAGGAGCCTTCGGGTGGCCAGTGACCTGGGCAGCCACCCCACTTCTCTGTATCTGTTCCCACACCTGTGACCAGCCTCCCCTGTGCGTGCTCCCTGAAGGGCCCTGGGGCTGGGCAGGCCGGCGGGGAAGGGCCTGCAGAGGACGGGCCCTGGCGCCCTCAGGGCTCAGACCGGCTGAGCGGAGCCTGTGACCTGGGCAGACCAGCCTGGAGAGGGGCTGGGAGCAGCGTGGCCGGAGAGCCGCTGGCAGAGGGGAAGGTGCCGGACAGGGAAGGCTGAGCTGACTGGCGGGGACGTGTGGAGGCCTGGGCAGGGCTGCCGCGTGCTCCTCAGGGAAGGCGCCCAGGGGCCCTGGGCTGGCAGCGCGGAAGACACCATGGCCTGTGCCCTGGCTGCCGGCTGGTCCCTTGGAGGGGGGAGGCCAGAGAAGGGCTGTGGGGCTAGGGTTAGGGGCAGCCAAACAGACCCTCTCCCCAAAGCCACGTCACCGGAAGCCAAGTCCCCGGGGCCTGGGTCCCTTCCAGGCAGGAGTCCTGCAACCCCAGCAGCCGTCACGCGCCGCGTAAGAAATTATATTGCGCTTTATTAAACAAACTGAGTAGACACAGGCCTGTGTACATCCAAGTTGTCAGTTTGAGCTCAAGTAATAGGCAAGGCACGATTCATCCGGTCTTCAGCTTTACAAAAATAAACCACAGACCACCCCGGGCCCCAGGGTGGGTTCACACTGCAGCTCGGGGACAAACCTGACCCCATGCGGGTCCACGGGGGGCTGGCCCTGGGGCGCCTCCAGGTCCCCCTGGCGCAGGGCTGTGTGCTGAGCCTCAGCCTGCGAGGGAGCCAGGCGCTGGGAAGGAGGGAGGGCTTTTCCCACGGGTCCCTCCCCAGCGCCCTCCTGGCCGGGGCTGGGCACTGCGGGGAGCTGCCTGGAGGGTCCTGCCCCTGGGAGCCGGCTCCCTCCTGGGCAGGACAGAGGCTCAGATCTGCTGAGGTGAGGCTGTTGTGATGAAGGGAGGACGGATAACACTGGCTTTGTGCTCGGGCGGAGCGCGGGGCTTCTGCGAAGGAGCAGGAAGATTCCTGACCCCAAGGACGGTTTCCTAACGATGACCCCAACGTCCCTGTGCTGACGGCGGGGACCTCCCACAGGGCCGAGGCCCAATGCAGATGTTCTAGGTGAGGGAACAAGAACACCGGCCAGCAGCACGTTGAGGCCGGAGGGGGGCAGAGAGCGGCCGGGCCGGCGCTCCCCGCGGTGTCTGTCCCAGGAGGCTGAGGGGCTCAGGGTCCCAGCCGCTCCGGTCCTGAGCTTCTGGTGCAGGGACAGGCAGGGACCAGACACGTGTCACTCACTCCCCTCATTCCCTACCAGGAGCCGAGGGGAAAACCCCGCAAAAATAACAAAGTAACAGAAATCTTTTCCCTGAGACCACTGAGGAACATCTCCCAGACACCCCCCCACGGAGCTCCGCCCACCCCACGTCCTGAGAAGGGAGGGGCGTCAGGGACTCTGGGGAGCAAAGCACTGTCCGGAAACCCTAGGAATCCAGGCACAAGGGATGCGTCAGAACGTCTTCGCCTCTGCAAGACGCACGTGAAACAGACCGACTCTGGTCTGTAAGCAGCTAGAGCACAGTCTAGAGACCTGGACGGACAGAGGCCGGAGGGCTCCGCGCAGGGGCCGCTGGTCTGTGGAGCGGCGGGAGCGTCAGGGCCCTTGCAGGGGCCGCGGGCGGGCGGGGGGCGGGCGGCAGCAGGCGTGGCTAGTGGGAGGTGTAGGGGGGGCTCCACAGCCCCGAGGGGGGGCTGGCTCTGCGGCCCGCAGGCAGTGCATTGGAAGGCACCGGAGAGGAGGCAGCGAAATCTGGGTGAAGAGAGACAAGTGAGCCAAGGGCACAGGCGACATTCCCGAGACCCCCTGAACAGCGGCCGCCGGGTGCTCTGCTAAGTAGGCACCCCAGTATCTCGGCGCCACAGACGGGAACCCACGGAGGTTTGCTGAGCTGCCCGGGAGAGAGCGAGCGAGCGAGCGCTGGACACGCAGGGGGACCTGGGGCACCACCTCCCTCGGCTCAGTCTCAGGATGGCAGAGAGGCGTCTGTCCTGCTGGACAGAACAGTCCTCGGGCAAAACACGGTGCACGAGCGTGAGCATCGGGGAGACGGTGCAAAATCCCTGCTGTGACCCCCACACAGGGAGGGGGCGGGGGTGTCTCTGTGGGCCAGCGGCCAGCCCATCCGAGCTGCAGAGCAGGTGAGCCTGACCGTCCCGTGTCCTTCACGGGGCTTTAGCTCCAGGCCTCGGGCATCTGCTGGGCGGCTACCGTTCCAGGGGCCAGCAGGCCTGGGGGGCCTGTTACCCCGGAAACGCATCTACACACACAACTGTGTTTGCTTTCAAAAACGTCACGGACCCCTTGAAGCCTGGGTGTGGCCAGTGGACACCAGGTCAAGGATTTCTTGTGCGGGGGACAGAATGGGGACCGGGAGACACAGGGCTCTGTGCACAGCTGTGCAGACGGGCTCGGCCCATTTCAGGGGGCTCAGCACTATTTCAGGGGGCTTGGCCCATTTCAGGGGACTTAGCACTATTTCAGGGGGCTCAGCCCATTTCAGGGGGCTTGGCCCATTTCAGGGGGGCTCAGCACCATTTCAGGGGGCTTGGCCCATTTCGGGGGGCTCAGCACTATTTTGGGGGGCTCGGCCCATTTCGGGGGCACAGCCCATTTCAGGGGGCTCAGCACTATTTCAGGGGGCTCAACACCATTTCAGGGGGCTTGGCCCATTTCAGGGGACTCAGCACTCTTTCAGGGGGCTCAGCCCATTTCAGGGGACTCAGCACTATTTCAGGGGGTTCAGCCCATTTCAGGGGGCTCAGCACCATTTCAGAGGGCTTGGCCCATTTCAGGGGGCTTGGCCCATTTCGGGGGGCTCAGCACTATTTCAGGGGGCTCGGCCCATTTCAGGGGGCACAGCCCATTTCAGGGGGCTCAGCACTATTTCAGGGGGCTCGGCCCATTTCAGGGGGCTCGGCCCATTTCAGGGGGTTTGGCCCATTTCAGGGGGCACCGTGCACAGAGAGAGGTGCTCCCGGAGTTGTGCGAAGTCCCCTTGGTGCCCCCTGAGACAAGCGGCTATTAGAGGAAGGGCCAGGCATTCTCGTCCGTCTGGGAACCCCCATCGGGGCAGCCTGGAACCCCTCTCTGAGCCCCAACCCCGTGCAGAGTCCACTGCAGGGCCCCGAGAGGGGATCCAGGGTGCACACCCGCAGAGACCAGCTCCTGCCGCCAGCCCCACCCTGGACAGCGCTCAGGGCTCAGGGCTCAGGGCCCAGACCAGCACCGGAGCCTCGCGGTTTCCTCCCACCAGCTCCCAGACCTGCCCTCCAGGCCTCACGCCGCTGCCCCTCCGCTGAGACGCGGGTGCGAGGCCTCAGCTGCGGCTCCTCCCCAGCACCTTCCCCCCACCCCAGGTCTGCCTGCTCCCAGGGGGACTCACAGTGGGGGCTGTGCCGAGGGCTGGCTCGGAGGGACAGGGCCGGTGGTGCGGCGAACTCGCGGGGGGCGCAGACCGTGTGGTAGGCTGCAAGACCAACCACGGGCCGGTGAGATGGTGAGACCGGGGGGCGGGGGGGAGGCGGCCACCTCGCGGCCTCGCTCACCTATGATCATGACCGCGGTCCCAGCCAGCAGGGCGAACAGCGTGAAGAACATGACCTGGTAGGAGTCCAGGAAGTGCTGGGACAGCCCGGCTGCGTCTGTAACGGGGACACGGTGACCAGACTGCCCCGCGGGGCCCTCGTCCGTGCGGCCGAGGCGGGCGGCCAGCTGGAGGCCGGACAGTACTGGGCCCATGGGGGTGCGAGCTGGTCACCCTTCTTATTTTTCAATCCTCACCCGAGGATATTTTTACATTTATCTTCAGATAGACCGGGGCGGGGGGGGGGGGGGGACACATCGACTGGTTGCCTCCCACACGACCCCGACCAGGGCCGGGGACTGAACCACAACCGAGGTGCATGCCCTCGACCAGAATCGGACCCAGGACTCTTCGGTCCGCGGGCTGACGCTCTAACCGCCGAGCCACACCTGCGGCCTCTGTTCACATGTCAAAGGCTCCTTCCGGCTGCCGTGTTGAGAACGGACGGTCACCCTGGCCTGAACGGGACACTCTGCAGTCCAACCCTCCGTCCCTCTCTCTCCCGTCTCCACTAACACCCGGGGCCACCGGTCCGTCTCCCAACACCCAGGCCCGGCCCAGCGTGTCCTGGCCCCCGACTCACAGGAACCGGTCCCTCGGCGATCCAACACGAAGGCCACGGTGACGGGGATGGTGACGGCTTGGCTGGTCGTGGGGCTGGAGAAGGTCAGAGTGGTGGACAGAGGCCCCTGGCTGCCGGCCGCCGGGTCCGAGATGCCAACCGTGTACGCGATAAAGCTGGGCAGCCCCAGAGACTTCTCCTTCTCGAAGGCCAGCACGGTGGGGGACCCCGATTTCACCTGGGAGAGACGTCAGGCTGCAGGGAAGCCCCCCTGCCCGGCAGGCTGTGCTGCCCTCCGGTGCCCAAAAGCCAGAAGTGGGGCCCCGCCCAGGCCCCATGCTGGGCAAGTGCCGACGCCTGGGCACCCCTGACGGACAGCACGCCATCCGCAGAGCCAGAAGGAAGCCCACTGTCCACACTCGAGCTGTTTCTGTTCTATCCTCACCCGAGGGCACTTTTGCATTTATCTTCAGACAGAGCGGGAGGGAGAGAGAGAGAAACATCGACGTGAAAGGGACCACTGAGTGGCTGCCACCCACACGACCAACCAGGGCCGGGGACAAACTGCAACCGAGGTACATGCCCTTAGCGGGAACCGAACCCGGGTCTCTCTGGACCGCAGGCCGACGCTCTAACCGCTGAGCCAAACTGGCCAGGGCTCAAGCTGTTTGTAAGGAGAGGACAGACCGGTGTCATTGAATTCTGGTCACGTGCTCCTTTAAAAACAGTAAACTCTGGCTGGTTTGGCTCAGCGGTTAGAGCATCGGCCTGCGGTCCACAAAGACCTGGGTTCGTTTCCTGCTAAAAACAATAAACTGACACCAGCTATCCCCAACCCTCAAGGACCAGCCTGGAGCTGTTTCTGGGGGTCACCAGCGGCCCAGCCCCAGGGCGGGGCAGACCCACCCTGACCAACAGCCCACTCACCCCGACCCTGGCAACTCAGCCACCCTGTGGCAGGGGCAACCCCTCACCTCGTCCACCCGCTGGGCGGCGGGCACCCTTCACCCACCCTTCAGCGGACGGGGACTCGAGGCCCCGAGACAGGGCACTTCCCTGTCGGCGTGAGTCCATGACGGGCTCGGACCAGGGAGTCTCTTCCGGCCCCTCGTCAGCAGGGTCCCCGCCCTGAACCCACTCATTCCCGGAGGAAAGGTCACCTGCACCCAGAGAGCTATGGGAACAGGGGGTGTCAAGGTCTGTTTCTGTTTTTCATCTTAGGAAGAGGCGACTGAGGGTGTCCGAGTGCCGCCCTGCGCCCACCCCCTGCGCCCACCCCCTGCGCCCACGCCCTGCGCCCACACCCTGCACCCACCCCCTGCGCCCACCCCCTGCGCCCACCCCCTGCGCCCACCCCCTGCACCCACCCCCTGCGCCCACCCCCTGCACCCACGCCCTGCGCCCACGCCCTGTGCCCACCCCCTGTGCCCACGCCCTGTACCCACGCCCTGTGCCCACACCCTGCGCCCATCCCCTGCACCCACGCCCTGCGCCCACGCCCTGTGCCCTCTCCCTGTACCCACCCCGTGCCCACACCCTGTACCCACCCCCTGTGCCCACGCCCTGTACCCACGCCCTGTGCCCACGCCCTGTGCCCACCCCCTGCACCCACGCCCTGCGCCCACGCCCTGTGCCCTCTCCCTGTACCCACCCCCTGCGCCCACACCCTGTGCCCACCCCCTGCGCCCACGCCCTCACCTCCAGGTGCTCCAGCACGTCCACGGCACCGAACACCTTCACCTCGGAGCTGGGGTAGTGGTTGCTCAGCAGGATCTCGGCCTGGTCGGCGTACAGCCCCGGGCTGAAGGGCACCTCGGCCGCGACCTGCTCTCCGGAGAAGTGGCTGCCCGGCAGGGCGGCGGTGACCAGCAGCACCGTCCTCTGCACGCTCAGCTGCTTCAGCTGCTTGTCCGTCAGTCTGCGCGTGGTGACCGAGCACAGGTACCGGCCTGTGGGGACGGGGGCGTTCCGCTCTGTCCCCCTTCCCGCTCCGAGAACTCCTACTCATCCTTCAGAGCCCAGGTGAGGCGCCACTTCCTGCAAGGCCTCCTGGGTTGTCCTTCCTCCAGTGACCCACCGCCCATCCTCCCGGTCCCCACCCTCCAGCCCAGGCCCACCGGACCCACACTCCCTGGGGCAGGACGTCTGCTCTGCAGCGAGGGCCCAGCCACCCGGCTCAGAACAGGGCTGAGCGCAGGCGACCGGTGGCCCCGTGACCCGGCCCCAGCGCAGCAGGAAGCTCGGCAAAGGCACAAGTTACAGCTGCTTCCGTGTCTTGTGTTCTCCACGCGCGACCCAGACAGGCCCACGCGCTGGACAGAGCTCCCCAACCTAAAACCTGGGGTCCCCTCATGCCCATGCCAGCAAAGCGCCCCAGGCAAGCCAGCTTCCCCGGTGGCCCTGTTTCTCCTGGTCAAGGGGAGACGGCACCCTCCTGGGGCTGAACAGCAGGGTCTGGGACCACCCAGTGCCGCCCTGCGCAAGGCCCCGAGCTTGGCCCCCGCACACGCCCTCTGGGAGCACCTGCTGCCCTCCGACACTGGCCCTGCCCGGGCACTGGGGCTGCAGACCCTGCCTGCCAGCTTCTCCCAGCCGAGACGGGCGGAGAAGACGCCTCCGGGTCGTCACCAGGCATCACCTAACCGCTGGGGGCTCGGGGTGAGACCAGCGCTGGGCTAAGCTCGTCGAGGGACTTCTCCCCTGAGCCCTCACCGCAGCCATGGGGGCGCCCGTCCTGAGGTTGGGGGGCAGTGTGGAGGGCCCGGGCCGGGCACCCTCAGGCCAGGAGCTGCTCTGGCCACGACCCCGGCCTTTGGTCCACAGCTACTGGCCCACTGCATGGCCCCGACTATTCAGGAAGGACCCCCAGCCCCCCTGGCTTGCTCCCCTCAGAGCCTGAGCTGAGAGCAGAGCACCCCCACTCCAGGGAGGAACCAGCCCCAACATAAGAGCGAGCGCTGAGCCATGTCCTTTCTGCTGGGGGGGGGCAGCTACTGAAAGTGGCCACGACCCCTCCCAGGAAGCCCCCCCCGCGGAGGACACCAGGAACCCCCGGGCCACAGTGACGGCATCCGTCCCCAGGCTGGGCTCCGGACAGACTGCCCTCTGGACAGACAGCCAGTCAAACGCACCGGAGGGGCCCCTGCCTGCCGCCCAGTCCCCCCTCCAGAGCCCGGCGGACGCACCCAGGGCGGCGTCGAACGCGGGCTCGGCGGCGAAGATGTCACAGGCCGGGAAGTCAAACACGTCCTGCTTGAACTGGACCTCACAGCTGAGGAGGGCTTCAGGCTGCAGGCTCTTGACGACCTCCAGCTGGGCCAGGGAGCACTCCCCTGGGGATGGGAGGGGTCAGGAGGGCAGGCCAGGCCCCGGGGTGCAGCGGTCAAAGGTCCCCTCTGGGGCGTGAGTTTCACGGGAAAGCGTGCGCACCCCACTGGGCGGGCACACGGGGCCCCGCCCGCCCCTACCTCTCAGGTTCGAGCTCCTTTCCCCCACGGTGACCATCACGCTGGAGGCTGTGGCCTCCTGGACGCTGGTCTGGACGGGCCGGATGGGGCGGGCCGTGATCCTCTGGGGGACGACCACCACTATCTGAGGAGAAGCCGAGGGAAGGTCGCTGGGCACGGACCGTGTGGGCACAGCCTGCGCCGTCTGACTTCTCCCCGGGGCCTGGGATGCGGGCACTGCCCACTTCACAGGCGACAGACCGAGGCTCAAGGCCGAAGCGCGGAACTCGAACACGGGACGGCAGGTCGGCGCTCGGCTGGTCAGACCCCACTGCCCAGTGCCGCCCACGGAGCAGGGGCAGGGGGCAGCCCGGATTTGTCCACCATCCGGGGGTCAACACCATCATCTCTCTGTCCACCCTTTTGGTTAACTGGTCTTTCAGCCAAGAGAACATAATCTATTTACTTTACCATTTACTCAAAATAAATCCACCTGCTCAAACCGCGAGCGCACAGAGCAAGGAAGGGGCCCAGATGCACCCCTCACGCCCCGGCCACCCTGCAGCCCCAGCTCGGCCTTCACCTCCACACAGCCCGGCCCTGTCTGCCCTGCAGCCCCTCCAGCTGTGCTTCTACCAGCCCGACCTCCCTCAGAGAGGGGGTGGGGCCCACACCCCCAAAGCTCCCGGCCCCCAGGGCCAGAGCAACGCAGACCTGCAGGCAGGTGCCAGGCGGGCAGTGGTCAGCGCGCCCTGTGCTGCCCACCTTCTCCAGGCTGCCCCGCCGCCGTCCTCCCCTCCCCCCCTTTGCAAAAAGGGCCGAGCCCCCCACCCTGGGCCCCGTGTGTCCCCCCCGTGGGCCCCGTGTGTCCCCCCCCGTGGGCCCCGTGTGTCCCCCCCGTGGGCCCCGTGTGTCCCCCCCGTGGGCCCCGTGTGTCCCCCCCGTGGGCCCCGTGTGTCCCCCCCCGTGGGCCCTGTGTGTCCTCAGGCACCACCTGTTCTGCAGCACCACCACCCCCAGCTCAAGCCCTGTGTCCTGGAGCCTCCAGCCCCCCAGATGCCCCCCACCTGAGGACTCAAACTCACCGTGTCTCCACGTCACCTGTTCTCCCCCCAAGTGGCCCCCCTTGTGCCCCCTCAAAACAAGGGGCGTCTAAGCCAGACCACGGGGAGTCATCCCCAAGGCCTCCCTCTCCCTACCCCCACTTCTGAATGGTCACCAAGCTCTGACGACCCTCCCTCCTGAATCCCCCCAAAGTCGCCCTGAGTTCTGCCCGCCCAGGGTACCAGCTGAGGGCCTGCCCTCGGGTCCTGGCAGCTCACTCTGCACGACCCCTCTCTCGGGTTTGGGCTGCGGGGCACCAGGCGACGTCCAGAGCTCACCTCCGACCCTCGTAACTGGTTAGAGTCCCTGAGGGACCCGCTGCACCAGCGTGAGCGCCAAGCTCTCTGCCCGGACGGCAGCGGCTCCCACCCGCCGAGCACACGTGTGCTGGGGCCGTTCCGATGTGTCTCACGGCGCTGCCTCCCCGCTTCACGGACAGGAAACAGGCGCAGGGAGCCCGACACGGCACCCAAGGCCACGCAGCCCCTCAGCGGAGCGGTCAGCTGGGGCTTGGTCAGGCAGCCTGGCCCACACACGTAACCACGCACGCCATGGAACAAACTCCCCGGCAACCGATGCGCTTCCTGGTCTGAGCCCACACCCCAGGTTCCAGCCCCCAGGACGGCCCGGACCCTCGCCCCCCGCCAGCGTCCCTCCCCCAGTCGCTCCTCCAGGACAGCACAGCTTTGATAGTTGCGAGGGCCCCTCCCTGTACCCACTGGCCCCCTGCGGGGCTGCAGCCCTAAGCATGGGTGCCCCCGGGTGCCGCGGGCAGGCTGCAGGGGGAAGAGACCCGGGACATGCTCACTGCCTCCCTTCTGGCCGGAGACAAACAGGACAGAGCATCCCTGGTCACCTCCAGAAAGGCTCGAAGCGGACTCGTGGGGGAGGCTGAACTTTGCTGGGGGGGCCCACAGCCCTGCTTCCAAGAGACACCCACACAGGACACTCGGGGGGAGCCGGAGCGACCCCGGCAGGTCACCGCTCATCACCCGGTTTGGTGGAGGGGGCAGAGGCGGGGACAGAAAGGCCCAATGCCTGTCCCAGAGGCAAGTGGGCAGCAGACTGACCGTGTCCCAAGGCGCTGACACTGACTTCTCAAACCAAAGGGACCCTCAGTATCAAAACCTGAGAGCTTCACCCCAAGAAGTTCAGCCACGCCTCTCGGGCCACGGAGCCACGAGTGTCCTGAAGCCCACCTCTCTGTAGGTCCTCAGGTGCCCAGCAACCTCGTAGTAGACCGTCACAGACCCCGCGTCCCGGGCCACCGCCACTCCCGACTTGGGATCCACGTGGAGGATGCTGTGGGCCGAGGAGCTCCAGGTCCCGGGGAGACCTAGGGGAGAAAGCCCCGGAGGTCACCCACCTTCCCTCCCTGCCCACTGCACAGCTGGAGCCCGGCAAGGCCCCTCCGGCCCCTCCATCCCTCACACCTCCTGCTGGCTGTCCCTCCGTCATTCCGTCCGGAGATGACCTGGGTGCTGGACCCCCAGCCTCCACGCCTACCTGCCCTCCCCCCCAGCCTCGCCCCCATCAGTGATCAGTCCCGTTGCACCAAAGCAGGTGTCGGGCTCAGAGCTGTTACTTAGTTAGAAGCCAATCCCACTATGTAACGAACATGATGAAACACTCAACAACCACATTCTATTCGTGGAAACCGATCTCTGCATGTTTTTAAAGGTAGTGTTTACCTTCCTTTTAAAAGGAAAAAATTAGGTAAAAAAAGAAAAAATAGGGAGCCAACTGGAAAGAAGTTAAATCAATCACTGCACATGTGGCTCATGGGGGTCCAGTTGGCACGGGGAGGCTGAAATCTGGACACCACTGAACTGGCCCAACAGCTGTTCTTTGCTTAGTCTCCTTCCAGAGACACACGGGCGACACGCCGGCTTCCAGGCACAGCGCTCATGAGAACGGGACGTCCCGTTCCTCGGGGCATCAGTCACCTTTCGAAGGATCAGCTGCCAGTGGCCACATGTCAGACAGTGTGGATGCAGGACCTCCCACGGTGCAGGACCTCCCACGGTGCAGGACCTCCCACGGAGCAGGACCTCCCATGGTGCAGGACCTCCCACAGAGCAGGACCTCCCAGGTGCAGGACCTCCCAGGTACAGGACCTCCCACAGGCAGTACCTCCCCAGAGAGCAGGACCTCCCACAGAGAAGGACCTCCCAGGTGCAGGACCTCCCACAGAGCAGGACCTCCCACAGAGCAGGACCTCCCAGGTGCAGGACCTCCCAGGTACAGGACCTCCCACAGAGCAGGACCTCCCACAGAGAAGGACCTCCACGAGCAGGACCTCCCACAGAGCAGGACCTCCCAGGTACAGGACCTCCCACAGAGCAGGACCTCCCACAGAGCAGGACCTCCCAGGTGCAGGACCTCCCACAGAGCAGGACCTCCCACAGAGAAGGACCCCCCACAGAGCAGGACCTCCCACTGTGGGGACCTCCCACGGTGCAGGACCTCCCACAGAGCAGGACCTCCCAGGTGCAGGACCTCCCACAGAGCAGGACCTCCCTCCTACTGGACAGAACAGGGGTTGGCAAAGGCCACATATTTGGGGTTGTGTGTGCCCAAAGGTCTGATGCCACCGTTCAACCTGGCAGTTGGGTGAAAATGGCCACTGACAGGTCCCAATAAACTCTTATTTGCAGAAAAGAGGCTGCAGGCTGGCTGTGGCCCAGGGTGGTGGCTTCTGCTCCAGGACACCATCGAATCCCACTCGCACGTCTCCAGGGAGCCCACGCCCGCATTCTGAGGGCCCACGTCCACAGGGGGGTTCCGTCGGCCAGCGTCTCTTACCTTCCATGCTGACCAGAACGGTGGCCAGACAGAGGACGTCCCCCACCACCACCGCTCCAGACAGCTCCGGGGAGATGGCGTGCAGGACGGGCAGCGGGACGAAGTCGGAGAGGCCCCCGTGCTCCGAGTCCCGCACGCTGAGCAGCGTCAGGCCCACGCTGACCGTGCGCACGACGCAGGTGTTGTTGGTGGGGCCCTTCCCGATCTGCACGAACTCGTCCCTGGGCACCGGAGGGATGGGGGGCTGTCAGTATCTCAGTATCGGGAAGGAGTCCGGCTCCGGGGGAGGGAAGCAGCCGGAGTCCTCGCTGGGCGACACCCTCTGCGGGCGGCAGCCTCAGATGTCACTCCGACTCCCGGGCGCCCAGCAGGCGGTCCAGGTAAGACGACCCTCACCTCATCCTCCAGGTAAGACGGCCCTCACCTCATCCTCCAGGTAAGACGGCCCTCACTCACCCTCCAGGTAAGACGGCCCTCACTCCTCCTCCAGGTAGGACGGCCCTCACCTCATCCTCCAGGTAATGACGGCCCTCACCTCATCCTCCCGGTAAGACGGCCCTCACCTCATCCTCAGGTAAGACGGCCCTCACCTCATCCTCCAGGTAAGACGGCCCTCACCTCATCCTCCAGGTAAGACGGCCTTCACCTCATCCTCCAGGTAAGACGGCCCTCACCTCATCCTCCGGTAAGACGGACCTCACCTCATCCTCCAGGTAAGACGGCCCTCACCTCATCCTCCAGGTAAGACGGCCCTCACCTCATTCTCCCAGGTAAGACGGCCGTCACTCATCCTCCAGGTAAGACGGCCCTCACCTCATCCTCCAGGTACGACGGCCCTCACCTCATCCTCCAGGTAAGACGGCCCTCACCTCATCCTCCAGGTAAGACGCCCTCACCTCATCCTCCAGGTAAGACGGCCCTCACCTCACCTCCATGTTAAGACGGCCCTCACCTCACCCTCCAGTAAGACGGCCCTCACCTCATCCTCCAGGTAAGACGGCCCTCACCTCACCCTCCATGTTTAAGACGGCCCTCTCCCTCATCCTCCAGGTAAGACGGCCCTCACCTCACCCTCCAGGTAGACGGCCCTCACCTCATCCTCCATGTAAGACGGCCCTCACCTCATCCTCCAGGTAAGACGGCCCTCACCTCATCCTCACAGGTAAGACGGCCTCACCTCACCCTCCAGGTAAGACGGCCCTCACCTCACCCTCCAGGTAAGACGGCCCTCACCTCACCCTCCAGGTAAGACGGCCCTCACCTCACCTCCAGGTAAGACGGCCCTCACCTCACCCTCCAGGTAAGACGGCCCTCACCTCACCCTCCAGGTAAGACGGCCCTCACCTCATCCTCCAGGTAAGACGGCCCTCACCTCACCCTCCAGGTAAGACGGCCCTCACCTCATCCTCCAGGTAAGACGCCCTCACCTCATCCTCCAGGTAAGACGGCCCTCACCTCATCCTCCAGGTAAGACGGCCCTCACCTCATCCTCCAGGTAAGACGGCCCTCACCTCATCCTCCAGGTAAGACGACCCTCACCTCACCCTCCAGGTAGACGGCCCTCACCTCATCCTCCAGTAAGACGGCCCTCACCTCACCCTCCAGGTAAGACGGCCCTCACCTCACCCTCCAGGTAAGACGGCCCTCACCTCATCCTCCAGGTAAGACGGCCCTCACCTCATCCTCCAGGTAAGACGGCCCTCACCTCATCCTCCAGGTAAGACGGCCCTCACCTCACCCTCCAGGTAAGACGGCCCTCACCTCACCCTCCAGGTAAGACGGCCCTCACCTCACCCTCCAGGTAAGACGGCCCTCACCTCACCCTCCAGGTAAGACGGCCTAACCTCATCCTCCAGGTAAGACGACCCTCACCTCATCCTCCAGGTAAGAAGGCCCTCTCTCACCTCATCCTCCAGGTAAGACGGCCCTCACCTCACCTCCAGGTAAGACGGCCCTCCACCTCATCCCTCAGGTAAGACGTACCCTCAACCTACATCCTCCAGGTAAGACGGCTGCCTCACTCATCCTCCAGGTAAAGACGGCCCTCACCTCATCCTCCAGGTAAGACGGCCCTCACCTCATCCTCCAGGTAAGACGGGCCCTCACCTCATCCTCCAGGTAGACGGCCCTCACCTCATTCCTCCAGGTAAGACGGCCCTCACCTCATCCTCCAGGTAAGACGGCCCTCACCTCATCCTCCAGGTAGACGGCCCTCACCTCTCCTCCAGGTAAGACGGCCCTCACCTCACCTCCAGGTAAGACGGCCCTCACCTCATCCTCCAGTAAGACGGCCCTCACCTCATCCTCCAGGTAAGACCGGCCCCTCACCACAACCCTCCAGGTAAGACGGCCTCACCATCACCCTCCAGGTAAGAACGGCCCTCACCTCACCCTCCAGGTAAGACGGCCCTCACCTCACCCTCCAGGTAAGACGGCCCTCACCTCACCCTCCAGGTAAGACGGCCCTCACCTCACCCTCCAGGTAAGACGGCCCTCACCTCACCCTCCAGGTAAGACGGCCCTCACCTCACCCTCCAGGTAAGACGGCCCTCACCTCATCCTCCAGGTAAGACGGCCCTCACCTCATCTCTCCAGTAAGACGGCCCTCACCTCATCCTCCAGGTAAGACGGCCCTCACCTCATCCTCCAGGTAAGACGGCCCTCACCTCAACCTCCAGGTAAGACGGCCCTCACCTCACCCTCCAGGTAAGACGGCCCTCACCTCACCCTCCATGTTAGACGGCCCTCACCTCACCCTCCAGGTAAGACGGCCCTCACCTCACCCTCCAGGTAAGGACGGGCCCTCACCTCACCCTCCAGGTAAGACGGCCCTCACCTCACCCTCCAGGTAAGACGGCCCTCACCTCACCCTCCAGGTAAGACGGCCCTCACCTCACCCTCCAGGTAAGACGGCCCTCACCTCATCCTCCAGGTAAGACGGCCCTCACCTCATCCTCCAGGTAAGACGGCCCTCACCTCATCCTCCAGGTAAAGACGGCCCTCACCTCATCCTCCAGGTAAGACGGCCCTCAACCTCATCCTCAGGTAAGACGGCCCTCACCTCATCCTCCAGGTAAGACCGGCCCTCACCTCATCCTCCAGGTAAGACGGCCCTCACCTCATCCTCCAGGTAAGACGGCCCTCACCTCACCCTCCAGGTAAGACGGCCCTCACCTCACCCTCCAGGTAAGAGGCCCTCACCTCACCCTCCAGGTAAGACGGCCCTCACCTCACCCTCCAGGTAAGACGGCCCTTCACCTCACCCTCCAGGTAAGACGGCCCTCCACCTCACCCTCCAGGTAAGACGGCCCTCCCTCACCCTCCAAGGTAAGACGGCCCTCCCCTCACCCTCCAGGTTAGACGGCCCTCACCTCACCCTCCAGGTACAGACGCCCTCACCTCACCCTCCAGGTAAGACGGCCCTCCACCTCAACCTCCAGGTAAGACGGCCCTCACCTCACCCTCCAGGTAAGACGGCCCTCACCTCACCCTCCAGGTAAGACGGCCTCACCTCACCCTCCAGGTTAAGACGCCCCTCACCTCACCCTCCAGGTAAGACGGCCCTCACCTCATCCTCCAGGTAAGACGGCCCTCACCTCACCCTCCAGGTAAGACGGCCCTCACCTCACCCTCCAGGTAAGACGGCCCTCACCTCACCCTCCAGGTAAGACGGCCCTCACCTCACCCTCCAGGTAAGACGGCCCTCACCTCACCCTCCAGGTAAGACGGCCCTCACCTCACCCTCCAGGTAAGACGGCCCTCACCTCACCCTCCAGGTAAGACGGCCCTCACCTCACCCTCCCAGTAAGACGGCCCTCACCTCATCCTCCAGGTTAAGACGGCCCTCACCTCATCCTCCAGGTAAGACGGCCCTCACCTCATCCTCCAGGTAAGACGGCCATCACCTCATCCTCCAGGTAAGACGGCCCTCACCTCATCCTCCAGGTAAGACGGCCCCACCCATCCTCCAGGTAAGACAGGCCCTCACCTCATCCTCCAGGTAAGACGGCCCTCACCTCATCCTCCAGGTAAGACGGCCCTCACCTCATCCTCCAGGTAGACGGCCCTCACCTCATCCTCCAGGTAAGACGGCCCTCACCTCCTACCTCCAGGTAAGAACGGCCCCTCACCTCATCCTCAGTAAGACGGCCCTCACCTCATCCTCCAGGTAAGACGGCCCTCACCTCATCCTCCAGGTAAGACGCCCTCACCTCATCCTCCAGGTAAGACGGCCCCTCACCTCATCCTCCAGGTAAGACGGCCCTCACCTCATCCTCCAGGTAAGACGGCCCTCACCTCATCTCCAGGTAAGACGGCCCTACCTCATCCTCCAGGTAAGACGGCCCTCACCTCATCCTCCAGGTAAGACGGCCTCACCTCATCCTCCAGGTAAGACGGCCCTCACCTCATCCTCCAGGTAAGACGGCCCTCAACCCTCCATCCTCCAGGTAAGACGGCCCTCACCTTCATCCCCAGGTAAGACGGCCCCTCAACTACGGTAAGCGGCCCTCACCTCATCCTCAGGTAAGCGGCCCTCACCTCATCCTCCAGGTAAGACGGCCCTCACCTCATCCTCCAGGTAGACGGCCCTCACCTCATCCTCAAGGTAAGACGGCCCTCACCTCATCCTCCAGGTAACACGGCCCTCACCTCATCCTCCAGGTAAGACGGCCCCCACCTCATCCTCCAGGTACGACGGCCCTCACCTCATCCTCCAGGTAAGACGGCCCTCACCTCATCCTCCAGGTAAGCGGCCCTCACCTCATCCTCCAGGTAAGACGGGCCTCACCTCATCCTCCAGGTAAGACGGCCCTCACCTCATCCTCCAGGGTAGGACGGCCCTCACCTCATCCTCCAGGTAAGACGGCCCTCACCTCATCCTCCAGGTAAGACGGCCCTCACTCATCCTCCAGGTAAGACGGCCCTCCCATCATCCTCCAGGTAAGACGGCCCTCACCTCTCCTCCAGGTAAGACGGCCCTCCACCTCAATCCTCCATGTAAGACGGGCCCCTCACCTCAATCCTCCAGGTTAAGACGGCCCTCACCTCATCCTCCAGGTAAGACGGGCCCTCACCTCATAGCTCAGGTAAGACGGCCCTCACCTCATCCTCCAGGTAAGACGGCCCTCATCTCCTCCTCCAGTAAGACGGCCCTCACCTCATCCTCCAGGTAAGACGGCCCTCACCTTCATCCTCCAGGTAAGACGGCCCTCACCTCATCCTCCAGGTAAGACGGCCCTCACCTCATCCCAGGTAAGACGGCCCTCACCTCATCCTCCAGGTAAGCGACGGCCCTACCTCTCCTCCAGGTAAGCGGCCCTCACCTCATCCTCCAGGTAAGACGGCCCTCACCTCATCCTCCAGGTAAGACGGCCCTCACCTCATCCTCCAGGTAAGACGGCCCTCACCTCATCCTCCAGGTCAAGACGGCCCTCACCTCATCCTCCAGGTAGACGGCCCTCACCCTCATCCTCCATGGTAAGACGGCCCTCACCTCATCCTCCAGGTAAGACGGCCTCACCTCATCCTCCAGGTAAGACGGCCCTCACCTCATCCTCCAGGTAAGACGGCCCTCACCTCATCCTCCAGGTAAGACGGCCCTCACCTCATCCTCCAGGTAAGACGGCCCTCACCTCATCCTCCAGGTAAGACGGCCCTCACCTCATCCTCCAGGTAAGACGGCCCTCCCTCATCCTCCAGGTAAGACGGCCCTCACCTCATCCTCCAGGTAAGACGGCCCTCACCTCATCCTCCAGGTAAGACGGCCCTCACCTCATCCTCCAGGTAGACGGCCCTCACCTCATCTCCAGTAAGACGGCCCTCACCTCCATCCTCCAGGTAAGACGACCCTACCTCATCCTCCAGGTAAGACCGCCTCACCTCACTCCTCCAGGTAAGACGACCTCACCTCATCCTCCAGGTAAGACGACCCTCACCTCATCCTCCAGGTAAGACGACCCTCACCTCATCTCCAGGTAAGACGACCCTCCACCCATCCTCCAGTAAGACGACCCTCACCTCATCCTCCAGGTAAGACGCCCCTCACTCATCCTCCAGGTAAGACGACCCTCCACCTCATCCTCCAGGTAAGACGGACCCTCCACCTCATCCTCCAGGTTAAGACGGCCCTCACCTCATCCTCAGGTAAGACGGCCCTCACACTCATCCTCCAGGTAAGACGGCCCTCACCTCATCCTCCGTAAGACGGCCTCACCAAGACGGCCCTCACCTCATCCTCCAGGTTAAGACGGCCTCACCTCATCCTCCAGGTAAGACGGCCCTCACCTCATCCTCCAGGTAAGACGGCCCTCACCTCCTCCTCCAGGTAAGACGGCCCTCACCTCATCCTCCAGGTAAGGACGGCCCTCACCTCATCCTCCAGGTAAGACGGCCCTCACCTCATCCTCCAGGTAAGACGGCCCTCACCTCATCCTCCAGGTAAAGACGGCCCTCACCTCATCCTCCAGGTAAGACGGCCCTCACCTCATCCTCCAGGTAAGACGGCCCTCACCTCATCCTCCAGGTAAGACGGCCCTCACCTCATCCTCCAGGTAAGACGGCCCTCACCTCATCCTCCAGGTAAGACGGCCCTGACCTCATCCTCCAGGTAAACGGCCCTCACCTCATCCTCCAGGTAAGACGGCCCTCACCTCATCCTCCAGGTAAGACGGCCCTCACCTCATCCTCCAGTAAGACGGCCCTCACCTCATCCTCCAGGTAAGACCCGGACCCTCACCTCCATCCTCCCAGGTAAGAAGGCCCTCACCTCATCCTCCAGGTTAGACGACCCTCACCTCATCCTCCAGGTAAGACGGCCCTCACCTCATCTCCAGGTAAGGACACCCCTCACCTCATCCTCCAGGTAAGACGGCCCTCACCTCATCCTCCAGGTAAGACGGCCCTCACCCTCATCCTCCAGGTAAGACGGCCCTCACCTCATCCTCCAGGTAAGACGACCCTCACCTCATCCTCCAGGTAAGACGGCCCTCACCTCATCCTCCAGGTAAGACGGCCCTCACCTCATCCTCCAGGTAAGACGGCCCTCACCTCATCCTCCAGGTAAGACGGCCCTCACCTCATCCTCCAGGTAAGACGGCCCTCACCTCATCCTCCAGGTAAGACGACCCTCACCTCATCCTCCAGGTAAGACGGCCCTCACCTCATCCTCCAGGTAAGACGGCCCTCACCTCATCCTCCAGGGGCCGCACTGCCCCCCCCCCCCACGTGCGAGAGGGGAAACTGAGGCCCAGAGAGAAAGCAGCTTGCAGAGCGCTTTCCAGTGGGAATGTGTCCTGGGGGACAGACTGCCCCTGTGGTATGACCTGGACAGGCAGAGCAGCCCCCACGTGCTCCCTCGCCGACGAGTATAAGGATGAGCCTCAGTCCGAGGCCTGATGTGAGCACCGAGCCAGACCGGCAGCTGCAGGTGCTCAGCCCAGCGCCTGGCGCAGTCACAGCTCCATCCACACCAGCCACGTCGTCGAGTGAAAAGGCTGGGACCGGGCAGGCGGGGGGCAGGGTCCCCGCTTGGTCACTTCCTCCACCACACCTGTGACGCCTGCGCCCTGCCCGGTCTCCTGGAGAGGCTCCTGCTGCAGTGGGGCCCGGGCGGCTTCTGCCAGGTGGCGGGGGGCAGCACCCGGCTCCACCTCTCCAGGACGGCTCGCCCCCCGCCTGACGGACGGCCAGCCCCTCACACCCACAGCCTCCGCGATGACGCTGGGGACCAGGCTCGTTCTCCTCTTGACGGGTGCGAACACAGAGGCCGGGAGGGTGACCTGCCCGAGCTCTCGGGCCCCATGAAGAGCAGAGCTGGGCTTGAACCAGGGCTCAGTCTACATCTGGGTTCTTCTGCCCCCCCGCCCCTCCCCCGAACCTGGCCTGAACTGTGTCAGCAGCAGCGGGACACAGTCTTCAGTGCCCCCTCCCCTGCCCCGTGCTGCCCAGAACAGCTCCCCAGCCCTGCTCTGCCCCCCGGGCTGGGGCCGCGCACCCCTGCGGCTGTGGTTCTCCGCCTTGTCTCGGAGAAGCCTCCTTGCTGCAGACTGATGGGCCCTGTGCATTTCTAAGGGTCCCCTGGTGATGCTGATGATGCTGGTCTGGGGGTCCCCCCTCTGGAGAACCGGCTCTGCAGTGGACCCAGGTTCCAGCAGGTCCAGACTGAGGCCACGGTGCCCCTGTCCACTGACACCAACCCCCTCTCCTCGCATTGGGCCTGAAGTATTTCTAAGGGTCCCTGACAGCACTGCACGGGGGGCCGGTGGGACCTGGTACTCAAACCTCACTCCCCGGCCGTGTGGCCCTGGACAAGGGAGCCTCTCGGGTCCCGGCAGTGGGCGACATGGCAGGGGCCAGTGGCCAAAGCGCCGGAAGGACGGGGTATGCCCTGCTCCGACCGGCGTCTGCCGAGTCTGTAACTGATGCACCCACGGATCACAGGGCCGGGACAGAGTTTCCGAAGGTACAAGCACGTCTTCCTACAAACCCTCCGACGGCAACCCCGCACCTGGGTCTTGCTTCCTGACCATCGGGATGTCCCCACCCAACCACATCCTGCCACAGAGCGAGCAGGCTCCCAGCCACGCCCTTGCTCCTCCGGCCTCCGACCACGCCTGGCGCGTCCCCGGCGGCCCTGAGAGGGGCCCCTGGTGCCCTCCTCCTAGAAACGCGTCTTTCAAGGGCACGGCCCCTTCGTGTATCCGTCGCCCCGTGAATGTAACCTGGTCCAACCGAGACACGACCTCACCCACACCCGACCTGTTAGCTGCGAAGCTGAGGATCGAACTGTGGGCGTGGAAGACGTCCCCGGAGCTGTCATGGAAGTGGGCAGTGAAGGTCACCGTCATCCCCAGAGGCAGGGCCACCAGGGCCTCGTTGTTCTGCGTGCGCAGGGCCGGGCTCATGGAGATCCTGAGGTAAGACACGGGCGCCACCTGACGGACAACAAGCAGACACGGCCACGGCTGTGCTGGGAGGCGGCTCCCCCAAAACCCACCCCCACGAGGAGATGCTCACCCCTAGCAGGTCCCCAATCAGGAAGGACTGGGGCTGGACCAGCAGAGAGCACAGGCCTCGCTCCCCTCGTGTCCCAACCTGGGGACGAGGTCCCCTCTCCCTGCGGTGAGCCTGCCCAACCCGCAGAGTCAAAACGCACGACTCTGAGAGATCAGCGCATCGTTCACGTGCAAGGACACCCTGGCTTCGACCGCGGTCCTCGGACCCTGCTCTCCGGCGCTGAGCACACGCTGGGGCTCGGGCAGCAGTGACGCGGCCACGAGCACCTGCCGCTGCCCCAGGGAAGGCACAGCTGCGAAGGGGAGAAGGGTTCCGGAGCCCAAGGACCTGAGCCCGTGAGCCTTGCTGTTTAGTTCCACGAAAACCCACCCGAACAAAGGAGAACCCCCCAAAGACCTGCTTCCTTTGAATATACGTTATTTCTTCTATTAATTTTTTTTAAGAGAGAGAGAGTGAAACATCGACGTGAGTGAGAAACACCGACTGGCTGCCTCCTGCACACCCCACACTGGGGAGGAAGCCCATAACCTGGGCATGTGCCCTGCCCAGGAATCGAACCCACAACCTCCCAGTCTGTGGGAGGACGCTCGCTCCACTGAGCCACGCCGGCCAGGCTGCTGCTTTGACAGAGTTCAGCCGAGCAGGGGCTGGCACGGCGGGCGCTCCATGCGTGAGTGTTGGCGTCAGGGGAGCTGCCTGTCACTGTCCCCCCCTCGCAGACTGGGTGAAGTTTCCCACCAGAAACTCATCTGGAAACCAAAAGCCATCACTCAGGAAACAGGCCCACGACCCCGGGAAAATCTGAAGACGGAAGAGGTCATGTTTCCTGTCGTCTAGGTGCAGAGAGGGCTGAGGAGAGAAGGGGTCGCCCGCGTGCAGGGTAAACCCCAGCGCCCACCCCAGACGTCCACGGAGAAAGTCCCCTCCCTGAGGACACAAGCACCGCGACTGACCAGAGACCAGACACCTGAGCCAGGCGGGCGCGGTGGGCCCCAGACGGACTCTCCATCACCGTGACCCTGAGCTGCCCCTTCCGCTACACATTCTGGTTTCCTTGCCCGTAGAATGGGCACCTGCCCGTCCCGGCTGCGAGTGTCCTCGAGAGGCCTGCCGGTCAAGTAACCTGCCCTGGCATTCGGTGGCACCTGTCCCTTCAGGTACCGGCTAGCTGCTCGGGACCCTAGGGTGCCACGTCCAGCCAATCACAGGCCTTGCTGGGCCTCAGTTTCCCCAACTAAAGCAACGTCATTGGGATCTACAACCTCCAGAGACCTCTGGCTCCGACAACCAGGAGACACTGTAGCATCTCAGGACCTTTGTGCCTGGCTATTCCGCAGTAAGTGGTGACATGGTCTTCCGGTTGGAAGGTACCTGCCAGGGGAGAGGCAGCCCCTGAGCCCTACCGCCGCTCCTCCTCTGAAGAGGAGGGTGAGGGCCTACCTTTACCGCCACAATGATGGTCTGGTTGGCTCCGAACGGCTCCTGAGCCGTCACTTCGACGGTGGAGGTGCCGACGGTGGGCCCCGAAGCCAGGAAGCCCTTCTCGTTGACGTGCACGACGGGGCCCTTCTCGGGCCCGCTCAGGATGCGGTAGCTCAGCGAGGCTGTGCCATCCCTGCGGGAAACACGTTTGCGTGTGGGCAGCCTGCCTCCCCGGCCCTGCCAGGCAACCCGGTCTGGAAACTGGACGTCCCCAGGGAAGCCCCCCTTCGCACCCTCCCGATGCAGCACCCAGCGTGGCGGGGGGCAGGGAGGGGAGGCGGGGGGCAGCCCCACGGGCATCCCCTGTAAAGATCGTGTCCGAGGCAAACTGTTTCCAACTGGCCAGAGAGAAAAACACGGATGAGAGAACATCGACTGTCCGCCTCCTGCACGCCCCCCACTGGGCACGTGCTCTGACCACCGGCGACCGCTTCCTGTTATGGGTCGAGCTCAACCACTGAGCCACACTGGCTGGGCTATTTAGTTACTTGAAACTTATCTTTAGTGTTGAATGTATTACAGGTGTTTCTCCTTTTCTCCCTATTGACCCTGTGCTTCCTGCTCCCGCCCTCTCCTGCCTTCTTCACACTGTTGTCTGTGTCCGATGGTTGTGCTCATATGCACAGAAGTTCTTTGGTTCATCTCATCCTGCCCCCTCTCGCCACTTCCCTTTGAGGTTCATCAGTCTAACAACCAATTTGCACTTAATTCCTTCCTCTTCTTCCCCCAGCCCCCAGCCCCCGCCCACCTGTCAAGCAACAAAAAGTTCTCTGGATCCAGGAGTCTGTTTCTGTTCTGCTTGCTCACTTTGTTTGTAGATTCAATTGTTGAGAGATATGTATTTATTGCCATTTTATTGTTTATATTTTTTTTATCTTCTTCTTCAAAAAGACCCATCAAGATTTCGCGTGATACTGGTTTGGTGGTAATAAACTCCTTTAGCTTTTTCTTGTCTGGGAAACTCTTGATATGTCCATCGATTCTAAACGACAGCTTTGCAGGATAGAGTCATCTTGGTTGTAGGTTCTTGCTTTTCATCACCTTGAATATTTCTTGCCACTCCCTTCTGGCCTGCAAAGTTTCTGTTGAGAAATCAGCTGACAGACTTATGGGAACTCCCTTGTAGGTAACTAACTGCTTTTCTCTTGTTGCTTTTAAGATTCTCTCTTTGTCTTGAACCTTTTGCATTTTGATGATGATGTGTCTTGGTGTGGGCCTCTTGGGGTTCATCTTGTTTGGGACTCTCTGTGCTTCCTGGACTTGTATGTCTGTTTGCTTCACCAACTTAGGGATGTTTTCTGTAATTGTTGTTTCAAATACGTTTTCAATTTCTTGCCCTCTCTCTTCTCCTTCTGGCACCACCATGATGTAAATGTTGGTACACTTGAAGCTGTCCCAGAGGCTCCTTACGCTATCTACATTTTTTAAATTCCTTTTCCTTCTTGCTGTTCTGATTGGGTGCTCTTTGTTTCTTTATATTCCAAATTGATGGTTTGCTTTTTGGCTTCAATTATTCTAATACTGAGTCCCTGTAACTTATTATTTCAGTGAGTGTCTCCTTCATTTCTGACTGGTCTTTTTTTGTTGTTGACGTTCTCATTAAGTTCCTTGAAGGCCTCACCAAGTTTTTTGAGCAACCTTATAAGCAGTGTTTTGAACTCTACATCTGATTGCTTATCTCCATTTTATTTAGTTCTTTTCCCAGAGTTTTGCTCTGTTCTTTCATCTGGGACATGTTTCTTTGTCTCTCATCTTGGTTGCTTCTGTGTTTGTTTCTATGTATTAGGTAGAGTTGCTATGTCTCTCAGGCTTCCTAGGGTGGCCTGTTGTAGTAGGTGTCCTGTAGGGTCCAGTGGCACAGCCTCCCTGGTCACCAAGCTGGGCCCTAGTGTGGACTGTACACCCTTCTGTTGTAACTGAGTCGTGGTTACTGTTGGCACATCAACGGGAGGGATTTCCTCAGGCTGATCAGCAAGGACTGGCTGTGCCCACTGACCACTGACCTCGGACTCCCTTGGAGGATCAGCTGTGCAGGGCCCACCACACTGAGCAAGACTTACTTCAGCAGGGCTCTGGTACCCACTGAGTCCGCTCAGTGAGTGTGTCACCTGTGGAGGTGGTTGGGTGGTGGTGCTTCGACGTGGTCTGACGCTGTCCGCTAGGTGTGCTGGCTCTGGGGCAAGGTCAGCCTCTGCCTGTGTTCTACCCAGAGCCACCAGGCATAAGCTACAGAGTGATCTGCAGATGGTGCTTCCTGTGCTGGGCTTGGAGGTGTCCAGGCAAAGCCAAGCTGGGACCCAAGGCTGGCTGCTCCTAGTGCCAGGCCTGCAGCCATTTAATGAAAGGTAGGGGGCTCGCTGAGGCCAAGCTGCTTGTCTGAGAGAATTTGGGAAAATCTGAAGCAGGATCCAAGACAGGCCAATCCTATGGTGAAGCCACTGGCAACAGCTTGGGTGGGCCTGAAAGTTGGATGGGGTGGGGCCTCAGGGAATCACCAGGGCGGGGCTACCAGTGTGAGCCAGGTTGCTGGAGTCCCAGATATGGGGCCTGTCTGCCTGCCCAGGGAAGGGCTCAGCAAGGGAACAAGAGCCTCCACCAGCAGGTCTGTCCAGGAGAAAGCTGCCCCTTCAGCCCTCACCCCGATGCCAAACAGCTCAGTTCTTCCCTGTTCTCTGGTGCCTTTCAAGCTGCCTCCCCCACGCTGGAGCCTGGAGGGAGCAAGTCCGACAAGTCCGTGCGCGGCCCTTTAAGAGCAGCTGCCTGGGGCTCCAGCAGCCTCAGCCTCCCTGAGCCTCAGTTCCCGCTGGTTTTACAGCCAGAAGTGATGGGGATTCTCTTCCTGGCGCTGGAACCCTGAGCTGGGCGCCTGGTGTGGGACGGGGACCCCTCAGTCCTCAGGGGGGACCTTCAACTCCTTAGAGAACTTTAGACAAATGTTCTTTTCTCTACTGCAATGTTCAAACCCCTCAGGCACCTCTCCTCTTAACCTGCAGAACTCCTATGCACCCTTCAAGACCCCGTTCAATCACCTTCATCTGTGACATGCCCCCCCGCCCCCCCAACTCCTTACATGGGAAGCCCTTCTCTGGGCTACGGCTTGAATGTTACACTTCTGTTTTTGTTTTTTTTAATTTTTCCCCTTTATTGATTTTAGAGAGAGAGGAAGGAGAGGGAGAGAGAGAACATGGACTGGCTGCCTCCTGCACGCCCCCCACTGGGGATCAGGCCCACAACCTGGGCATGTGCCCTGACCGGGAATTGAACTGGTGACCTCCTGGTGCAGGGTCGACTTTCAGCCACTGAGCACACCGGCCAGACTACGCTTCTTTTCACTACAACCCTATCATGCTACTGTCCTGTTTCCCTGACCACAGTCCCCCGGGCAGCACGTGTTGTCCACCCCCGTCCTGGATCCTGGCACACAGTCCAGTGTTTCGACCATTCGGTGAAGTGAATACCACGTGGACGTGTTCAGGGAACATGTATGTGCGCATGCAGGCCTCGCCGCCCCCCATCTCACAACAGCAGTTCCAATACTAGTCCTGGTTACCTCAGACGCCCCGAAATGCGAGGTGGGAATGATGTTTGCTGACCTACTTCAACAGCGTGTGTGTGCCCTGGCCGGTGTGGCTCAGTGGTAGAGCGTCGGCGCCCAGGCCAAAGGTTCAATTCCTCTGTGGGCATGTTCCTCTGTGGGTTTGGTCCTTGGCTCTGGTGGGGTCGTGTGGGAGGTGACTGATCATGTGTCTCTCTCACGTCGATGTTTCTCTTTCCCCTTCTCCTCCCTCCCTGTCTGGAAAAATCTCCTTGGGTGAGGATTTAAAACGCATGTGTGTCGAACATTAACGAGCACCGGGAAGTGCGGGTCTGAGGGGGGCGGCGGGTGCCCGGTCACCAGCTCCCCGGCCACGCCCACGCGGGCCCGTGGACAGCGCGCTGAGTGCCAGGTCTCGCAGCGAGGGTTTCAGCAGCGGGCGCTGCCGTTCCAGGCTCGGGAAGGGGGGCCCCACGGGGCTCCGTGGTGAAGAGTGGGGGCGTCCACACAGAGGGGGGAACGCAGAGGCCGGACCCACTTCCAGGCAGTGCCGAGCAGGACGCCCCGTTTCCGCCCCAGCGGCCGACCACCCCGACGGCCACCTGCGGGGCCGGCAGACTCGGGCCCGGCTTTGAAGACCAAGGCACCTACCGGTTCGTCTGAAGCTTGAGGACCGAGTTGGGCGACATCAGGATCTGCTCTGCTTCCACCTCAGGGCTCAGCAGCAGCAGCTTCTCAAACACCTGCAACAGAGCACGGTCCGTCCCTGCGGCACGCCGGGGCTCGGGGCTCGGGGCTCAGGGCTGGGGGCTCGGGCTTCTCTCTCGGCAGGAGCACCGAGGGGGCTGAGGAGCCGGGACGCCTGGGGGGCTGACCGTCAGGGAGGGAGCCGGCGATGCAGAGGGGGGTGGGGGGGGGAGGCTGACCGTTAGAGGCCAGAGGTGTGAGGAGAGCAGGCAGGTGCACCCTGCAGGCCCCTGGGGCTGAGGCTCAGAGCTGGCAGCCGGGGCCTGTCCTCAGGTCCGCGGGGAGGGGCGGGGGCACCAGGGCACCAGGGTGCGTGTGCCAAGGCGGGTGCAGAATTATAGGCCCAGGGTCTTGCTCGGCGGTAACTCAGACAGAACCGAACTTGGAGGAAGCATCACATAAACTCTCCTTTCTCTCACGAGACATCCGCCCCTCACCGACCATCTCAGAACCGCCCGGCCCAGCCCTCGGCCTCACGTCTCCCTCTGTCTGCCGGGCTCTCTCTGGGCCCACCCAGAGCGGGGTTGGGTGCGGGCAGGTGGTGACCTCAGGCCAGCAGAGGACCATCACCTGATCCTGCTGGACTGACTCTGGCCCCGGCCCTACCTGGGCACCGAGCCCCCGACAGCACAGGGTTTCCAAGAGGAAACGGACCCGACGCCCTCCCGTCCAGCACCACCACGTTCTGACCAGATAGTATCTAGGCCCACGTTGTTGTCTGCAGAATTAGTTTAAAACGAGTCATCTTGCCCCGGCCAGTCTGGCTCAGCAGTTAGAGCGTCGGCCCGCGGACCGGAGTCCTGGGTTCGGTTCCCGCTAAGGGCATGAACCTCGGTTGTGGTTTGTCCCCGGCCCTGGTTGGGTCGTGTGGGTGGCAACCAGTCGATGTGTCCCTCTCACGTTGATGTTTCTCTCTCTCTCTCCCTCCCTCCCCCCCGCTCTATCTGAAGACGAATGCAAACGTGACCTTGGGTGAGGATAAAAAAAGAATAAAAAAAGAAAATGGGTCATCCTGGCCGTGGGGTCTCGGAGAGCTCTGGGGGCCCCCAGCCTCAAGGGGCACCCCACATGTCCTCAATGGGGGGCAGCCTGTGCCAGGCAGGGGCATGCAGAGGGCGGTGGCCTGGCTATGCCGACTGGGTCACACGTGCCGTGCAGGAGACACCCACACACACACCCACACACACGTGTCCCTCTTTCTCAAGCGTGTATTTGTTCCTCTACACGGAGGCGAAGGCCCAGGAAATCTCTTCCCTGTTAACTGACTGTGAGAAGCGACAGCGCAGGCACCAAGGTCGACGGCAAGGGACACGGCTCCCCGTCAGGCAAGCTGGGGGCGCAGCTCTACTAAGGGGGGGCTGCTCTCATCTCCCGATTTCGCCACGGGGCCAACATGTGTCCGCAGGACAAGCGGCTGGATGTTTATGCAAAATCTTCCTACTTTTTAATGTTTGCCACGGAGAAAAACTGTCACAAAGCACGAACTGGGCCAAACAGAACACGCCGGGGGCCGGGGTCCAGCCGAGGTTCTGACGCGCGACGGCGCCCACTGTCAGCTGGGGAAACCGAGGCACAGAGCCTGCACGGCCCACGGGCGGGCCCAGGACTCGGGAGATGGACGCCCCGTCTTTAGCTGCATGACGGGAGCTAGAACGTTCCCATTCCACCCAGGAAGAGCATGTACTTGTGTGTCTGCGCGTCCGTGTGTCTGCGCACAATGCTCGTGGGGAGCGGAGCGGACGGGGTGCGGGCTGGCAAACAGGCGCTTCCTTCTCTGGAAATCGGCCCCTTTCCCCCGATGGGGGACGTGCCTGGGCGGGGAGGGTGTATTTCTCCTTGCGGAGTGGCTCCCCCTGTCCCTTTTCTCCCGACAGTCAGGGGTGCTCTCGGTTTTGTCGATTTAGGACGCGGGGGTTTCTGAGCCCAGGTCAGGAGAACAGGGTCCTTGAAGCTAAAAATGCTCTTCGGAGCCACCTGCCACTGCCCGGTTTGTCGAGGGCCGGAGGGCAGAGGGGCCGGAGGGCAGCGGGGCCGGAGGGCAGGCGGCAGGGACGCTGGGGGCTGCGTGCCCTCGAGGGCCACCTCCTGTCTGAGGCCACCACGGGCCCCCACCCCCGTGCTGGGACCTGGGAGCCCCCCACAGCGGGTCACGGGCTCCTTGTCGAGGCTGCTCTGGCCCTCGGGCCTGGGGGGGCCCTGCCACTCAGGTCCTCCAACCGCGTGTGACACAAACGCAGACAATGACACCAGTGCCCAGCACAGACTGTCTTCCAGCCTCTTCCTCCCACGACAGCACCCCAAGCTCGGCTGATCGTCTACGTGGGGACACAGGAAGCTCCAGGCCTCTGCGCCCCTGCAGCCAGCTCCGCCGTCCCAAATGCCAGTCCCCCGCGAGCTCAGTCACCGCGTCCCCCATCCCCGGGCTACACAGCATCTGACGCCCCCCAGCAGACCGAGCCCCCAGAGCAGGCCCCGCCCCGCAGCCCTGGAAGGACTGGGGTGCCTTCAGGGCCCGGAGGAGAAGGGCGCGCCCGGGTCGGCCCCCTACCTGGATCTGGATCTCATCGGACAGCTCTCTGGAGAAGCCCTGCAGCTGCCCGGCCGCGGGGTCCAGAGCCTGGACCACCACCCTCAGCCCGGTGCGGCCCCTCGCCCGGCCGTGCACGGTCATCGCAAAGTTGTGCTGCGACGGCAGCCGGAACGACGCCTGGGACAGACACCGATGTGTTTAGGGGGGCCCGGGGCCCCAGCACCCCCAGAAGGGCAGAGCCAGACAGAAGCCCAGACTGTTCCCGGTCAGGGCCCCGGACGCCCGAGCACAGTCTGCGGTCACCCCGGCGGGCACAGAGCCCGTGACAGGTTTCCCCATGTTCTCGGGTGAACGCGGACAATGGGGGGCCAGCCACCCACAGCCAGCACGTCTGCTGCAGGACTTCTCAGAGCCTTTAGTGGCTCGAGGCGGCTGTGGATCACCACGAGGGACGCTAGGTGGGGCCGTGTTTCCCCGTGGAGCCCTGTGCTGTGCTATCCGGGAAGTCGCTCTGCCCGTGCACCATGGGAACGGCCCAGGGAAGCCCCGGCCCTCGGGACAGGACCCGGCCCCACTGGGTGGGCGGGGGAGGCATTCGCTCTATACTAGGAGCCTGGGGCAGCCGCTAGGAAACCCCATCCCTGTGCCTGGTCCCTCTGCCTCACAACCCCTCCCCCTCACCATGAGGCAAGGAGGAGCACCCCAGAACCCCCTCCCCTCGGGCCCTGCCTGCCCCAGGCGTAGCTGGGGCGGCAGGCTGGTCCCCAGGCCTGGCACCCAGTCCCTCCCCCTGGGCAGCCCGTCCCGTGCATGAGGCTCCCGTTAACACCCGGGGGGGGGGGTAGCAAGTCCTCCCAGCTCAGGTCTGAGGGAGGCAGAGGCCCCCGGATGGAGGGCTAAGGAAGGGGCGTCTGGGCTCCGGGAGGAACCAGGAGACACCCCAGGGCTGCCAGGTACCATCTCAGGAACTGGGTGGAGTTAGAGGTGAGGGGCCCTGACCACGACCCCGTGACCTTCTGGAACTCCTGAGAGTGTGTGAGCTACGACCCCTCTACGTTAGCAAGGACGAGCGTGAATGGACCGGCCGTGGACAGTCCACGGCGCTGGGAGAACAGCTGGGGGGCGTGTTCCCACAGGTCTGAGAGCTGGAGGGTGTGGGGGACCCAGGGGGCAGAGGGGCCTGGCGTGGAGGTGCGGACCCCGTGTGCAGAGCTGGGAACCCCTTGCCCCGCTGGCCTGGGACGAGGGAGGCTCTGGGCCGGGTACCTCGTGGTGCCGCCCCCGGACGTCCAGGATGTCGCGCTTGGTGACCGACCAGTGGAAGGTGAGGCCGGGCACAGCGTTGCCGAAGGAGAAGGGGTTCTGGCTGTTGGTGATCCCGGTGATGTAGACGGGCATCTGCGGAGGAACAGCATGTGGCCCGAGGGTCCCGCTGCCCAGCGGCCCCCGCGCTGCCGGGACCCCAGTCTGGATGCGACCTGCTGGTTCCGCCCTCGCCAGACACAGGTGCACAGGCTCCAGAAGCAAGTGATGGGGGAGACAGGAGCCCCTCCCTGGCCGAGACACTCCGTCCGTCCGGAAGGGACCCCGGAGCTCCAGTCGCCTACAGACCCAGCAGCGCGGCACCCCCACCCCCGCCCGGCCTGTGACCCCCACTCTCGGCCAGCAGGGCCCTGCTCCTCGAGCCGGGATGGGTGTGATCAGTCTCCTCCCACCTGTCCTTCCTGTGTCCACCAGGGGGCGAGCCCAGGGTGCAGCGGAGGGAACAGACCCGAGCCGGGCTGCCCAGGGGGCTCCCCGGAGCTCCGAGCCCACCCCTGCCAGGCAGCAGGGCTGGAGCCGAGCCTCACCTGGGTCCCGGTCCTCATGCGCGTGATGGGGGCTCGGATCCTCACCGCCTGCAGCAGCAGCACCTCCACCTCCACCAGGTCCTGGAGAAAGCGTGGGGGGCTCAGTCTGGCTGGGGTGTGCGGGTGCCGGCCACGGGGTTCCGGGGGTCCCCTCCGAGGAGGGAGGCTGCTGTCGAGCCCAGCGCAGCTGCGTGGCCAGAGGGCACCCACAGGACGTCCAGCTCAAGGCTCCTCCCCAGACCTGCGCTGTGGGTGGCTCGGCACAGACCTGCCCCTCCAGGTCCGCCCGCAGGGACCGGCGCTGTTCTCGGGGCTGGGAAGCCCTCCCAGGGCAGGTCTCCAGCCTCACACCCCGAGTCCAGCCTGCTGGTCTCCGACGGAGCCGAGCAGATGGACACACGGGAGCCAGGCTGTCTGACTGGGGCCGACCGCACACCCGCCTTCACTCGGAGCTCGACGCTCCTACAAACCGAGCCGCCGACGCGCCTACTGCGACTTCTGCCCTGTGGACTCGTGCGGGACAGAAGCCAAGACGACCCCACGCTGAGCCCGTCTCCCGGGTCTGCGATCCCGCTAACCCTGGCGCGGGGCAGGTCCTCCGTGAGCATGTATTCCCTTCCCTTCCTCCTCCTCACCACTCAGACCCCTGCCTGTCCTGGTGCACCCCGCGCTGGGAGCTCAACGCCCTCCGTGGCAGGGGGGCCTCGGGCGGAGCCCCGCCGTCTAGGCTCCAGACACCTCTCAGACGAACACGGTCGTGCGCCTGCCGTCCGCCGAGGGCACCGGGGCCTCTCCCACCTGCCCGACAGGGGGGCGCAGGGACAGGCGGCCCGGCCAGAGCGGTGCTGGGGGGCGTGTGGTGTGCCTCTCACCAACCTTCCTGTCCACTGCCGCTCGGCCACCGGGCCCCGAGGGGGGAAATGAGCCGGTTCCTACGGCTACGACACTTTCTTGGGGGGGGGCACAGTCTCCTCGCTGCCTCATCTCACTCTGCAGACACGGACTTGCCGGGCGCCGCAGGGCAGACGGCGACGTCCCAGCGCTGTCTGACCAGCAGAATCGGCATCCACCTCCGCGGGAAGGGACTGCCGGGCCCAAGGTCAGCTCAAAGTCAGCCTCCGGGGAAGAGGGCCGTCACCCCCCCGGGGTGCACGCACACCAGCCCCCCGCAGCGCACCGCGTCCTTCCGGGGTCCGTGGTCACATCACACAGGACGGAACGCCCTCCTGCCGCCCAGCTGTCCGCTGCAGCCAGAGACACGAAGGCAGGGCGTTGGGGGGTCCCAGCACCCTGGACCCTTGTCGGGAGGTGCAAATGGTTTCCCCTCATTCCCAGATGCCCCAAGGGGTGCCCGCCACCCCTGGGAAGAAGGAACAGGAGCAGATCTGGGGACCCCCACTTTCACTTGCTTGGAGTCCGTTCCACTGGCACAAAGCCATGGGGGTTCCCCTGGGGGAGAGGACCCCAACTAGGCGTTCGAGCATGCTGACCCAGAAAGCACTCAGGACACCCCCCGACTCGGGCACAGAGGCTTGGGGGCAACACCCCGAGTGCAGCCGCGGACAGTGGTGGGCAGTGTGTGTTCTCTGATTCTCCCGGAAACCAAGTCCAGGCTGGAGTCCTTGGCGCAGCCTCCGAAACCCCCCCAGCGACCGCTCACAGCAGGGCCAGGAGCACCCCCTCCTCCTCAGGACACCCCGCCCGGCTTGTGAGCGGACACCAGGACCGAGGGCTCTGCCATCCGCCGCCCCAGGTCCGGCCGAGAACCGCTTCCTAGTAACTGGGTCCCCTGGCCCCTCCCCTGGAAATGGGGAGAGGGGCAAACTCTCAGGGTGCTGAGGGCTGAGGAGGGTTCAAGCGCTCGGGGCTCAGTCCTGTCTCCAGCCCCTGCCCCTTAAATAGAAGCTGCGGCCCTGGCTGGTTGGCTCAGCGGTTAGAGCGTCGGCCTGTGGACCAGAGGGTCCCGGGTTCGGTTCCCGCTAAGGGCACGTACCGCGGTTGCAGTTTGTCCCCGGCCTGGTTGGGGTCGTGCGGGTGGCAGCCACTCGATGTGTCTCTCTCACATCGATGTTTCTCTCTCTCTCTCCCTCCTGCTCTATCTGAAGATAAATGAAAAACCGTCCTCGGGTGACGATAAAAAAAAAGAAGCTGCGGAAACTCAGTCTGGACCAGGGTCCAGGTGTCCCCAAGTCGGCAGGGTGGCCCAGTGACAGGCGGGGCCTGCAGGCGCGGAGGGCAAAGCGAGGCTCAGCGAGGGCTGGTCCTGAGGGCGGAGGCCCAGTCAGCCAACAGGGCCCCCTCCCCTTCTCCAGCGAGCACCCACCTCGCCCGAGAGGCAGGTGGGGAGCAGCCGGCTCGGACGGAGCCCAGGCCCTCACCTGAGACACGACGACGAGCTTGCCGGTCTCGGCGTCCACGGCCCGGACGACGCCCGACACGGTGCAGTTGCCCACGGCGAGCCCCCGGACCAGCCCCGCGCCGTTCACCGCCGCCAGGCTCTCGTTGCTGGTGGAGAACAGGATGTGGGACTGGGGCTGGGGGCCTCCCTCGGACGTGATCTGCAGCGGGGAGAAGCCGTGCGGTCAGCCCGTCCTCCGGGCCAGCGGGCAAGGGGCAACACCTCGGAGCGGCCAGCATCCCTCCGACTGACGCCTGAGCTGAGTGGGCCCGCCCGGAGCCGGGCAGCGGGGGCGGCGGCCGGGCTGGGGCGTCAGGACACGGACTGGGCTCCTACCTGCATCACGGCCCCGATAATCAGCGTCATCCTCCTGGGTATCAGCCTGAACGGGGGAAAGACCTGGGGGTGGAGACGAGAGAGGGGACGTTGTATTCTGAAGCTGGTGCCCTGGGCACCCCACACGGGACGTTTCCGGGGAGAGGGGACGTCACTCCTGTGAAGAGGCACCGAGGAGAGTCTTGGGGTCCTGGGCAGCTCCGGGGGGGCCTGAGTCGGCCCCAGGAGCTCATCCTGCCCACGGGCCCAAGGATCTGGGGTTGGGGTGCGTCCTGCTGCTGCGACACGTCCTGGGAACCGCTGGGGATGCACCTTCTCGGGCCCAGACCCTCAGGGCAGCTGGTCCAGCGACCTGGGCCTTAGCCGGTCCTCTGGGAGCTTCGGACGATGTCAGCCCCCAGTCACGGGAGTCACATCCCCTCCCCCTCTTCGGAGGACGCCCCCTTCACTGGAGTTCTCCGAATGTCTACGGACAAACTGCCTAAGCTCTCTCCTATGTCCTCAGAACTTATGTTTTTCCTTCATTGATTTTAGAGAGAGGAAGGGAGAGAGAGAGAGAGAGAAACATTGATGAGAGAGAACATCGACTGGCTGCCTCCTGCACGCCCCCCACTGGGGATCAGCCCACAACCTGGGCTGTGTCCTGACCGGGAATCGAACCGGCGACCTCTTGGTGCAGGGTCGACGCTCAACCCCTGAGCACACCGGCCGGACTGTCCTCTCTTTGGAGAGCGGGCACCAGGGCAGGGCGAGGAGGCTCCGTCGCTGCGGCAGGGTGAGGCCCGTCCTCCCGGCGCCCACCCCCACCGGCGAGGGCACGAGGGTGAGCACACGCCAGGGGCCGAGGCGCTGCTCTGGGTGTGAGGGTCGGTCTCTCAGGCAGACGCGAAGGTGCCTGCTCACTTGCAGGAACCTCGCATCCGGCTTCAGAGCAGATTCGTTCCCATGTAGGCCGCCCGCCCGTGACCCTGACCCTGACCCTGACCCCTGGAGGGCGCCGGCAGGACCTCTTGGCCAACGCGGCCGTGGTGGAGACCTAACACGACAGCCAGGTCACCTGCCGAGATGATGCTGGGACCTCAGAGCCTCCGCGCCCAGGAAGTGCCGGCTCCCGGGGCTCCAGTGCGAGCTCAGCCTCCCTCCCGCGGGCCTGTCCTGCCGCTCAGACGGGTGAGAGGACCCTCCACACGCCACCCACTGCATCCCGGCGTTTCAACCGCGTACAGCATGACCTGCAGCTGCCCTGCCCAGTGGTCGGCCGTGTCCCTTCTCTGAGCCAAGTCAACGTCCCTGTGTCCCGGGGGAGGCTGAAGCCACTCGGCCCTCCCGGGGCTGGTCGTCAGGGCCCATGCAGGGCACCGAGCTTCGAACGGCCTCTCCAGCCCGGCCAGGGTGGCTCAGTGGCTGAGCGTCGACCCTGCACCAAGAGGTCACTGGTTCGATTCCCGGTCAGGGCACATGCCCAGGTTGTGGGCTAATCCCCAGTGGGGGGCGTGCAGGAGGCGGCCAGTCGATGTTCTCTCTCATCGATGTTTCTCTCTCTCTCTCCCTCTCCCTTCCTCTCTCTCTAAAATCAATAAAGAAAAATAAATTAAATACAATAAAATGGCCTCTCCAGCCCAGCTAGTGTGGCTCCGTGGTTAGAGTATCAGCCCCAGGACCGGACCGAAGGGTTGCAGGTTCAATTCCTGGTCACGGGCACATCCTGGGTTGAAGGGTCGATCCCCGGCCCCGTCTGGGGTCAGGAGGGAGGCAACTGATTGAGGTGCCTGTCTCTCCCTCCCTCCCTCTCTCTCCTCTCTCCCTAAAAATCACTGGAAGAATGTCCTCAGGTGAAGATTAATAAAAATAAATAAATAAATAAATAGCCCTGGCCAGTGTGGCTCAGCGGTTAGAGCGTCGGCCTGTGGTCCAGAGAGACCCGGGTTCGGTTCCCGCTAAGGGCATGTACCTCGGTTGCGGTTCGTCCCCGGCCCTGGTCGGGTCATGCCGGAGGCAGCCAGTCGATGTGTCCCTCTCACGTTGATGTGTCTCTCTGTCTCTCCCTCCCTCCCTTTCTCCCTCCCGTTCTATCTGATAATAAGTAGAAAACTACCCTCAGGTGAGGAATAATAAATAAATAATAAACAAGCCTCCCCACAGTGGCTTCCGGGACGTTCCTGGAGATTCCAGCCTTTTCCCAAAAGAGATGACTCCCCTCCCCCGTGTGTCCCGGGGGGCTGGGCTGACCCCACGTGGCGTGAAGAGTAACAACTTCACCTCGATCTGCTGTGGGGCCGAGTTGATCCTCTGTCCAGCCTTATCGGTCACCACGGCAGTGAGACTGGTCTGGCCGATGGCCACCCCGTGGACGAGGAAGGTGGCGGTGTCGTTGTCGGGGGCCTCGTCCAGGGGGCTGGAGCAAAGGGAAGGGCTGGGACTTGGCCGCCAGACGGACCTGCCAGCTCCGTCCCCAGACGCCCGCTCGGACCCGGGGGGACTCACGTCAGGGTGACGATCGGGGAGGCGGCTTGCAGCTTCAGGTTCATGAAGCCGAAGTATTTGGCCAGGAAAGGCTTCTTGTACGAGTCCAGCACGCGGACATACGCCTTGACCGTCTTCCCGATCTCCACCTGCATCGGGGGGACAGGCTCAGGGGGCTCGGAAAGACCGAATCCACCGCCGAGGGCAGCCGAGGACCTTCCGAGAAACATCACCAAGCGCAGACACACAGACCTGGACGCTGGGGACAGGCCCCTGGGCCGACCTGCAGACTCCGCTGACCCACGTGAAGTCAGTTCGGTGACTGCTGTGCACAAGGAGCCCTGGAGGCACCACAGGCGTAGATCACACGCAACACTCTCCCCGAACTAACAGTCCCGTGGACAAGGCGCAGCTTAGAACGGCAGCAGGTGTACCGCCGAGTCCAACACCTGCACCGTGACTGTCCCACACCCAGCGTGCAACCCACACAGCAGGAGCTTTGGGGAACGGGACCCAGAAATGCTTCCTTCACTCCGCAAATCACCAGTGGAAATGGGGCCACGGGAGGGATACGAGACGGTGTGAGAGAATAGGGGCTTTTTAAGTTGTCTGAGCTGCGCAAACACCGCCCGTTTAGTCACTAACTATGCTGTCGGCTCAGAGAACTAGAAACCGGTGCGGACTGTCTACACGCCCAGCTACAGTTGCTGAGGGCGTCTGGCGTAGACACATTTCCTGCGCATACGAAAGGAAAGCCGACATCTGCTTATTTACTGTGTGAAGACATGGCACTGGTGAGCTTCACCCCTTCTCCACCGAAATTCCCGAGAATCCCAAAGCCACACGGGGGAGAGGAATTCCCGTCCAGCCAGGTGTGCACCTAGCGGGCCGGTGACCTACGCCGGCTGGACAGGGATTCCCGTCAGGGCCGATGCGGAAACAACTCCGAGCGGGGTTTGCCGCCGAGCCCACGGATGTCAGCCGAGCTGAAGAAACCCAACCTCGGGGGCTGCATCGCGCAAAGGGCACAGCAGGGACGGCAGAGCGGAGCGGGCTCCCGGCAGCTCAGGAGGGACGGAGAAACCAGGCGGGAAGGCGAGGGACACGAGAAAGGGGTCTCCACGCCCCAGCCCCGTCCGCTCCTGTGAGGCGGCAGAGCGGGCGCCACAGGGAGCTGCACTGACCTTGTCCACCACCCGGACGTACAGCTCCTGAATGTCCGACACGTGCACGTCGGCCCTCGCCGGGGCCGGGAAGGCGAGGCACAGGTCGTGGATCATGATGGTCGACGTGCCGGGGAGCAAGGGGTGCACCTGGGGGTCAGAGGGGCTCGGTTACAGCAGTTCAAGCAGCAGACGCCCCCTCGCAGACACCTCTGGTGCAGGGCTCGGGAGTCGTGACCGGGGAAGATCCCAGCCCGAATGAGGACCTGGCCGCCCCTTGTCGGGAGCACCCGCTGCCTGAAGAGAGAGACACTGGTGCCGGGAAGGACCTCAGGAACATTCTCTTTGGTCCGAGTCACAAAGACAACGGGAGCCGCTCCCAGGGGCTCAGTGAGTGGCCGTGGGCATAGAGCATCTTGCAGGCAGAATGAGGATCCAGCCCAGGGTCCATCTCCCGCCCAGGCGACCGGACCCAGCAGCGCGGTGATGGACAAGCAGCTGGCGAGTCCGGGGCTGGACGGGCAGGTGCAGTGCCCACCTGAGCTCAACGCATCACAGACCCGGGGACGGACCGCGAGGCCGTCGCACGGCCAGTGTCAGCCCTGGCACCTCACCCACCCCCACGTTCATGTCCACCGCGGCTCCGTGGGATCGGAGACCTCGTCTCAAGTCCTGGTGAGTGAGCACATCTCCCGTCTCTGCCCGAGAGACCACCCCTGCGTGCGCCTTCTCTCGCCACCCACGTCCCGGGTCCCACCTCCGAACAACCAATCCCCCAAACTACACCCAACACTCTTCATGCTGCAGGTGGATTTGCAGAAACGTGTCCCATTTCACAGGTGCATTTCAACCAGGGGTCTGGGAGGCGCCCGGCGGGGGCGAGTGCGGGGCCCGCGGGTGAGCCCGGGGCTGCCTCCCAGGCCTCTCTGGCCCGGGCTCTGTGGCCTTCGCTCTGCTCTCTCGTTCCTGGGGGGGGGGTCCCTGTGAACCCTGAACGAGCTGGCGTCTGCAAAGCTAACTTTAATATCAACCACCTGTGGGGGAAAAACTCAGGTTTCTGACCCTAAGGAGACAAGCAAATATGATCCTGTCACGTGGAGGGTAAACCCTCGAGGTCGGACCAGAGGGTGTCACACCCTTAACGCATCCTGTGAGACCTGAGTGTCCGGCCCCTGCCCGTGGCCCGTGGCCCGTGGCTCTGATTTCGCCGGGAACCACAGTGCCCCCGCGTCAGGGCAGCCACTCTGTCCCGTCCCTCAGAGCTGGCCAGCACCTGCCGGCCGGCCTCAGGGCTGCTGTCCTTCCTACGCCCAGATGTGCGATGCTCCCCCACCATGTCACCTGCTGGCCACTCTCATGCTCTGGTCCTCGTCAAGCCTCCTCCCGGGACAGTCTGCCCTGACCCCGCACAGGCCAGGTTCCCTCACCTCTGCCCACTTCCAGGTTCACCGCCTGCAAGCAGTCTGGGCGCAGCCCCTGTGTGTGCCCGTCCCCGCCCTCTGGGCTGTGTCCTCTCCCCTGAGCCTCGGGACTGAGCCCGGTAGCGGTGCAGACGACCCCCAACACCCTTGTCCTCACCGCCCTGGACCGGGGGACGGAGCCCCTGAGCCACTCGGTTCACAGAGAGACGGAGTTTCAGCCGCTTGCTTAGCTTCACCTTCAGCTTAAGACCTGGCGAGTTGGGTGGGGGGGACTCTGCGAACCCCGTGTACCCGCATCTATTGGGAAGGCCTGTTTCTAGTCCGGCCCCTTCCACACACAGGTGGGGAAACCGAGGCTCGCACAGCCGTAAAGGGGCCGCCGGGGAGGCATCCAGGTGCCCAGCCCAGCGCGGGCTCCTCCCCCCACACCCCGGCACATCCGGGGCTCAGGCCCCAGAACCAGACTGGACCGGCTGGCGGGGCGGGGCCGAGCCCTCAGTCGCGAGCTTGGCCTCACTGAACACTCCACCAGGACCACTGAGCTCAAGGGCACGACCCACAGACCAAGCAGCCGGGCGGCTCCACACGGGACCGAAAGCAGGTCAGGACCGAGCCCGGGGGACACATCAACGGTGCTGGAAGCGCGGCCGGAGCCACGCCAGCCCGGGGTCTGCGACAGGCGGAGGGGGGCCTAGAGCAGCAGGGCCCCTCCAGAGGACGCCCCCGGGCGAGAGACAAAGGATTTCTCTGGAACCTTCCGCGAGCGTCTGCGTGACCCCTGGGAAAGTCCCCCGTCGGGAGCGGCCCGTCCCCACCGTGCGGAGAAGCCGCAGGCTGCGCTGGCCGCTGAGACCCGCCCAGGAGCCGCACACGGGCTTTCTCCTGCGTCTCTTCTTTCCTGCCCAGTTCGCACATTTTAGACAAAGACAAGGCAGCGTTGGGGAAACACATTCCTTCCCCTCGATTCCCAGAGCCGAGCCACGTCCCGGGGGACACACAGGGATGGGGCTGCCCGTCCCCCGGCGCTCATCGCTCGCCCCGCGCCACGTGAACAATGCGGCAGAGAACCTGCTCTCGGGGGTCAGAGGACACGCCGGCGGTGGCCCAGTGGGGACCTGGCCACCACTCAGGAGGGTGTGAAGAGGACGAGGTGGGGAATCCACGCCCAGGAGGAGTCTGAGCGGGGAGACTGCAGCGAATACCCAGCGGGGAGAAGGTCTCCGGAGATGGGGAGGCCCCGTGACTGTGCAGACGCCGTGACTGGACCGGAAGCAGCTTTGTTCGTCTGTGGGCTGCAGCTTGATGCCCGCCTGTGCCCACCAGGCCCCGAGCTTCTGCTCACAGAAACCTGCTCCTTGCTTCCCGCGGCCCCATCTTGCTTCAGACCTGTGCCCTGACGGGCATCTGCACAAGGGCAAGGACCCTACAAATATCCAGGAATATCCCGGGGCCCACGGCTCCCATTTCCTACCGCGTGCCCGTCAGCGCCACGTGGTGGGCCAGGCGCGACTGTCGGGTCCGAGCCTCGAGGAGATGCCCTAAAGGCTGTGGGGACGACCAACCACACGCATGTCTCAGGCACCGTGAGGGTCTTGGCTTGGACGCCGGATAAAACTTCATCCGGGGACTCAGACCAGCTCTCAACTTCCCAGCCAGGGCTGGGGACAGGCTCCTCGCCCACAGGTGGTTCTCAGGGGAGAAGCAGGACACACACGTCCGAGCCCTGCAGCTGCGGCCTCCTGTCGACCTTGAACAGAGAGGCACCATGTCGCCACGATGGGCTCGTCACAGGCGGAGGAGGATCACCCTGCTCCTGAGGGCCCTGCTTCATCGTCCTCAGCCGGGACCAGCATCGGACACAGGACAGGCCCCAGCACTTCCCGAGGGGCCGCACGGATCTGGGTGGAGAGCTCAGCCCCCAGCAGGTCCTTCTCCCGCTGTCGGAACCCATGGGTTCTGCTCACCAGTCTTACTTTGGGATGTAAATGTTTCTTGAGAAGGAAAAAAACCTAAGTTTAAATCAGGTCATCAGTCCAGTGTGCACGCCCGCTGAAAACGAAATCAAGGGCCCCCGCGGGGAGTCAGGCCATGTGAGCGGCACGGAGCACAGCCCTGCGCGGAACACCCGTGGGCGCCGCCTCCCCGAGCACACTGGGGTGGGAGCCCCGCGGACCCCACGGACGCTTGGAAGCCCACACACACTCAGGAGCCATTCTTATGCCCAGACGTGTGTCGACGGGGAAGGAAAGAGACATGTGGGCGTTCCTGCCTCCGTGGATACGCCGAGTGAGAACACTAGGCATGCACAGTGGGAACACGCCACAGGGATGTGCCAGCGTCCTTCAGAAATAACCGCTTGAGAGAAGCTGCTCGGGCCTGGCACGGGCTGCGTTCGGGCCACGAACGTTCCCCGGCAGGTGGCAGAGGTGCGAGGAGACCAGAGCACCGGGGGCACCTCTGGCCGCAATGGTCTCGGCACAGGTCCCAGCCGGGGGGAAGCAGAACGGTCGCCAGGATACCTTCCAGGGCAAAAGCAATGTTTGCAGGGCCTGCCCCTGGGTGCTGCTGGCGTGCCCACAGCGCTGGACTCGTCCGGGGCTCAAGCCTGCGACGGGCACTCTGTGCCCCTCAGGAGGGCCACGGCGGGGAGGAGACAGGTGAGCATAGGCCACACCTGGAGGACAGCTGTGCAGGGACCACCTGTGAGGTGAGCAGAGCCCTGCAGTGGCTGCTGAGGAGCTGCAGGGGGCGCCCTAGACCGGCAGCACAGTGGACCCAACAGGGGTGCACAGGTCTGGGGAAACCCACTCTGACGCTGGAGTCCCCCCTGAGGTCTCTCGGACAAGGGCCCAGCTTCGGTTCCAGCCAGAGCAGGGGCTCACCACCCACGGAGGCGACCCAGCCCTTCACGGACGGCAGGAGCTCTTGTTCTAGGAGCCAAGGTCCCCCTCGGGCCCCGGGTTCACCTCAGGGCTTCTGCAGAAAGTGAGATGCAACTCTCCCCAACTTGGAACCTCGTTTTCTTAAGAACAGAAGAGCCGCTGTCCATCTCCAGAAGCAAAGCAAGACGGGCACCTTTCAAGCAGCCGGAATTACATTGTGACGTTTTCCTTTTTCTAAATGTATCTTCACTGTTGACGGTATTACAGACCCCTCCTCCTCCGCTTCCTGTGAAGGGTCTGACAGTGGCCACTCGCTTACGTGGCCTGGGGAGTTTCTCTCTTCCTTTCTTATTTTTTAATTTATTTTTGTTACAGATGTTTCTCCATTTTCCCCCATTGACACCCTCCTCCTGCCCCGCCCCCTCCCCCCAGCACTGCTGTCTGTGTCCATGGTTACACATACATGCATATAGGTTCTGTGGTTTATCTCTTCCCTTCCTCCCACCCCCTCTTCTGAGGTTTGTCAGTCTGCACCCCACATCCATGTCTCTGGGTCTATTTTGTTCATCATTTTGTTTTGTTCATTATGTTCCACAAATAAGTGAGATCATATGGTACTTGTCTTTCTCTGCTTGGCTTGTTTCACTTAGGATAATACTCTCCAGGTCCCTCCATGTCGTCTCAAAGGATGAGATCTTTCTTTCTCACAGCTGCATAGTACTCCATTGTGTATATGTACCACAGCTTTTTGATCCATTCATCTACTGATGGACACTTGGGCTGTTTACAGATCTAAGTTATTGTAAATAGTGCTGCTATGAACATGGGGGTACATATATTCTTTCTGATTGGTGTTTCAGACTTCTTAGGGTATATTCCTAGAAGCGGGATCACTGGGTCAAATGGCAGTTCCATTTTTAATATTTTGAGAGAACACCATATTGTTTTCCATAGTGGCTGCACCAGTCTAAACAACCCTCAAAATGGAAAGGGAACCCACTCTATGGGAGAGCATAACTGCCAATGATACATCAGATAAGGGCTTAATTTCCAAAATATACAGAGTGTTCATACAGCTCAACAAAAGGAAGACAAAGAACCCAATTTAAAAAATGGGCAGAGGAGCTAAAGAGACACCTCTCCACCCAGGACATACAAATGGCCGAGACACATGAAGAAATGCTCACGGTCACTCATCATCAGAGTTACCCTCTTTTCTAAGGGGGTGAAAATGCTGGGGGGGGGCTTCTGCTATGGCCGCAGGCTTCCCGCCCCCGTCCCCGCTTCCTCTCAAGCGCGTGTCTGTGCCCCGGGGCTGAGAGGCAGGTTTCCTGCCCTGACTTACAGCAGGTGAACCTGAGATCCTGCCACCCATGTCCCTGCCTCTGAGAACAGGGTCCCCCCCCCCCCAGGGAGAGACTGGTCCACGCCCAGCACCCTCTCCACGGTGCTCGAGACCAAGGCTGACCACTGGAGGAATGTCAAAAAAAAGTTAAAAAAACAATACCACAGCAACAACAAAAATCTGAAGCAAACAAAAAAGTTCGGAAGACACACGCTCGCAAAGCGGACGAGAAGAAACAGACAGGGCAAATAGACCCGTAGCAGGGGAAAAGACTGAATTAATAATCTGGAAACTAGCCACAAAGCAAAGCCCACGTCCAGTAGCCTCGCTGGTTGATTCTACCAAACATTCGAGAGTGACCGTTACCAATGCTACACAATCTCTTCCAAAATTTAGAAGAGAGAACACTTCTAAGTCATCCCAAGATACCAGTATAAGCCTTCTACCCAAACCAGACCAAGACGTCACAGAAAAAAACAACAACACAGACCAGTATTTTTTATGTAACATAAAGTCTCCCGCAGGATACCAGCAAACTGAATCTACTTACAGGTAAGAAGAATTCTATAACATGACCAAGCAGCAGTTATCCGAGGAATGCAGGGCTGGTTTAACATCTGAAAGTCCATTCCTGTGAGACATCACATCAACAGAATACAAAGCAAACACCACACCGCCCTGGCTGGTTTGGCTCAGTGGTTAGAGTGTCGGCCCACGGACCAGAGAGTCCTGGGTTCAGTTCTGGCCAAGGGCACGTACCTTGGTTGTGGTTCGTCCCTGGCCCCGGTTGGGGTCGTGTGGGAGGCAACCAATCGATGTTTCTCTCGCTCTCTTCCTCCCTCCCTCCTGCTATAGATGGTAAAATATCCTTGGGTGAGGATTAAAAAATAAATAGAAACCACATGATTGTCTCGAGAGATACAGAAAAGCATTTGAGAATCCAATACCCTTTCCTGTGTGTGTGTGTGTGTGTGTGTGTGTGTACACAAATACAGGTGACAGACTGGGTGGGTTCTTTTCAAAGTGATGAAATACTGTGAAACTGACTAGTGGCGGCTGCACATCTGTAGGAATAGACTAGAACCACCGCACTGTGCACTTTAAGTAGGTGAGTTACGTTGCGCGTGAACAACACCAAATAGAGCAGGACTTCAGGTACCAACACAAGTGAGTTACCGACGCGTCGTGGTTCTACCTGGTCGTGGCCTGTGCTCTCCTTTGCCCGAGTCCCCACCGCCGAGGCTACGCATCGCCTGACTCTCCAGCACAGCCCTCCCCAACCACGTCCCCCACACCCTGCTTGTCTCCCTCGCTTACTTGACACCTGTCCCACCTCAGAAGCAACCGATGTTGTGACACGGTGTCAAGACAGGCAGTGGATGAAAACAGAAAAAGTGACGGCTGGAAATAGCCTGTAGACTCGGGGGACAGGAGTCTGGTTTCTGACTCGGCCACGAGCTTACTGCACAACTATTTCCAAAAGGGACTGGGGAACAGGTCTCTGTGAAGGTTCATTCCGAGGTCAGCCTTCCCTGGAATTAGTCTGTTACAGGCCCTGCGAGGGCTCACCGGCAGGAACAGGGCAATGCCAGAGGCCACAGTGGGCATCAGGACAGCAGGCGGCTCGCGGTCAATGTGAGGCCCTAACCTGTCCTCCCTCCCCACACGGCCTGCACAGTGCCCGCCTCGTGCCAAACGCCGAACCAACCCGGCGCCTCTCGAGTCCAGGAAAACGTCTCCAAGTCTCGCTGGTGCCAGGACGACTGGCAGAGGGGGAGACCACCCCTTCACAACGGAAAAGCAGGCCTCAGGCTCAGAGCTGTCCAACGGCCATTCCGTGACCCTGCTCCGGGGCCGTTCTGTCTGTCTGTCCGTGGCCGCCTGCATTTATGACTCCTGAGAGCGAGTGGTCTGGCGGTCAGGGGTAAGAGCCCCCTTTCAGAGAAAGCTCGGTTCTCGTGACTGCATAGCTCACTGTTCGGATAAGCAGCATCGAGACCACTGGTGTTTGTTTTTACTCTGTGCTACAACCACAGGGCTATTTGAACTTATTTTATTTTTTCCTTATTGATTTTAGAGAGAGAGGAAGGGAGAGGAAAAGAGAGAGAAATATCGATGAGAGGGAACAACGACTGGCCGCCTCCTGCGTGTCCCCCACTGGGGATCAGCCCACAACCTGGGCATGTGCCCTGACCCGGAATCGAACCAGTGACCTCTTGGTGCAGGGTGACGCTCAACCACTGAGCCACACCGGCCGGACAGGCTACTTCATTTTTACATGATTTAAACACCAAAACATCCTACCCGGAGAAAACGGCTGCACAGAAGCAACCCTCCAGCCTACACAGCAACACGGGGAAACGCAGGACACGCTCCCTGCAGAGTGGAAAGCGCCGTCCCTCCGAGCGGCGGACAAAGATGCCGACTTGGCAAGAACAGGGAGGGTGGCAGAAGGAATCGGAAACGCAGCTGACACATCCCTTAGAAACAACTGGATGGTCGTCAGGGTAGTGCTCACGACGTGAATATTTCAATCCTAATGAGGACAGACTGAAAGGAAACCCTCAGCTGACTCACAATGTGGGAATTTGTGGAGACAAAGAGAAATCACAAAGGTAGCAAATGACTGAAGCAGCGCAACAATGTATCAGGCTCCAAAGGCCCGAGCACCGCTGCTGACGACACTGTCGGCTGAGTCATCACAGCCTGAACCCCACGGCCGCCCCCTAGTGGCCACAGGCCCACTCACCACGGCACTGCCCCTGGCCTCCTGGTAGGCCACCGCGACGACCTCGGTGCTGCTGCTGTTGAGGAAGAAGTAGCCAGAACCTTCTCTGATGTGCAGCTCAGCCTGTAAAAAGGGGGGGCTGGGAGGCCAGAACTGCCGAGCCGGGGGCCCCACCCGGGCGGCGAGGGGCAGGGGCAGGGCCGTACCTGGACTCCGGGGTGGTTGTAGATGGTCACCTCTTCCGGGCTCACCCTCACGTCCTCTACCAGGATGAGTTCGATGGAGGCCGACACGGGCACGAGAGGCGGGTGCTGACGGGCAAGGCCAGGCCCTCAGATCGGGGCAACAGGCCGACCCACCCACCCCTCCAAGGAAAAGCGGGACCAGAGGCCCCTGGTGTCACCCCAGGGCATTCGTTACGTCTGGAGCACAAGCAGCAGAGAGGCCAAGGCCCTTTGAGGCGTCTTCTAACCCCGCCAAGGCCAGTGCCTCGCCCCACCTTCCGGGCCGCACCCCCCCTGGGAAGCAGCCACACAGCAAATGGCCAGCCGCAGTGCCATGTGCAAGGGGTGGGTGCCGGGCAAAGGGCAAAGGGCAAAGGCCCCACGAGAGAACGAGCTTGGCCTGCACCCTTGGGCCGTGTGCGTATTTAAGTATCTGTTTCCTGCCACCCGTCATTCCGGGGAGACCGCGGGACCTGACCCAGCTCTGACCCACCCGCGTGCTCGGACGTTTGAGCTCCTACGGGGCCAGGCCCAGGCTCTACACTGGACACCAGGCGGCTGCCCTCAGGGACTCTGAGCAAGGGGTAAAGGTGAGGGAATGACCGGAAGGTGTCAGCCTGGAGGGGGCGGGGCTCTCAGGTGAGTGGAGACACGCAGGGAAGGTGTGAGTGACGTCAGGAAACTGCAAAAAGCCCACAGGGTGTACGTGCAGAGGCCCGGAAGGGGGGCCCTGCTGGGATGTCTGCAGCCAGCTGAGGGACCCCTGGTGCTGTGGGGTGACTGAGGACCTAACCACTGAGGACAGGTGCCAGTGTGCTCCTCAGGGCCACCCCCTCCCGGCCAGCCTCCTAGTGCAGCCCCCACTGGGGTCCCACCCTCTTCAAAAGTGTCCTTGCTCCCCAGTGCCCAGGAGACAGTTCAAGCTCATGCTGGCTGGCGGAGCCCTCCAAGTCCTACCCAGCTTCCCCGTTACCTGCTGCCCCAGCCCACTCATGATCCAGGCTGACTGCCACCTGCTTCCACCATGGGGTGGGTGCCATCCAGGCAGCGCCATTCTGGGGGAGCCCTGCCACTCCCCTCACGTGCCCCTCTGCACCCACCGCAGCCCTCCACTGGGCCCATGACGGGCCACCCACACCCGTGCAGGAGGCGGTGACCGAGCCTGTGGGGGCTGCACCCTGAGGACGGGGCAAAGGCAGCCGCTCTGCCTGGAGTCAGGGAACTAACTGCACGGGGGCTGGTGCTGTGACGGGAAAGAACGGACGGCCACTGGGCAGAGCAGGGAGGGCGTGGCCGCCTGCACCACCAGGGCACACGGGGCGGGGGGGCAGTGAACGGGGGGGGTGCAGTGAACGGGGGGTGCAGTGAACGGAGGGTGCAGTGATCTGAGGGGGCAGTGATCTGGGGGTGCAGTGAACAGAGGGTGCAGTGAACGGAGGGTGCAGTGATCTGAAGGGGCAGAGAACTGGGGGTGCAGTGAACGGAGGGGTGCACCCTGCAAGGGTGCCCAGGATACGAGGACACGAGGAGAATGCGGGCAGAGTGGGCGACCCCCCCCCCCCCCGGCACCAGTGGGCCCGAGGAGGTACCGGCTGCGTCACGCTGGCGGCACGGAGGTGGGACAGCTGGTAGCCGGTCGCGGTGGCGGAAATGGCTGCGGTGCCCGACGCCCTGTGCACGGAGACGGCCTGCAGACCTGCTGGGAGGGAGAGCCACCTCGTTCCTGCCCCACTGCTGCCTGGGCCTCCCTCCCGACCTGCAGGTTTAACCCTTCGGGGCCCTCACGGCCGGGCTGAGTGCTGAGACCCTGCCGTCCACCAGTGAGCAGAGCAGGGGCCTTGGGGCAGCTCCAACCAGCAGCAGGTGGGTCTGCTCTCGGCTACTGGAGCCGCTGGGCTGTCCCCCGGGGCCTGGGGTTAGCTGTGTGTGGCTGAGCCCGGCTCCCGGGGCTCTCACGGCAGGGGGGTGGGGGGGCGTCACGGGACAGAGAGGAGCGAGCTCGCCGTGCCCCTGGGTTTCGTCCTAGAGAAAGGGGGTCCCAGACACAACTCCGGCGGCCGCCCCCGCTCCTCGGACACGGCTGGCCTGCAGGGTGCTGCCCGGCCCAGCGGCCCTCCACCCCAGCTCACCGTGCAGCTTCCTCTGGCCGCTCCCGTCGTCCCGGGACACCAGCTGCAGGGGCAGGGCAGGCTCGATGCTGGCCAGCTCCGGCCTCGTCGACTCCCACCGGACGCTCAGGGAGCTGAAGTTGTTGAACCTGCGGCCCTGCTGGTCATAGGCGGCCACGTCCAGGAGGGGGTTGCGGTGGCTGGAGACCGGAACCTGCAAGCAGCCAAGGTCGGGCGCGGCGGTCACGCCCAGACCACACGGCCGCACGGCCACTTCTGGCCGCACGGTGAGCCCGCAGCCCAGCTGGCGGCCTGACACACTCGTCCTGGAGAGGGTGCTGGGGTGTCACTGACCAGCCCTCACTACTGCTCGTGATCAGGGTGCCCACAGCCCTGTCCGCCCGGGCCTCTGACTCCAGACCAGGGTCAGAGGGGCTCCGACAACGCCTAAAAAAAGCGTTTTTGATGACATGCTGCAGGGGTGCAGATGGCATGTCCTGGGTGGAGGTCAAGGGTGTCACTGAGTGCCCCAGCGCCCAGGACAGCCCCCGAGAAGGGAGAATTGGGTCCCAGCACCAACAGTGCCAAGGGGGAGACCCTGCCCTCGACCTCCATCCAGCCCTGGCCGGTCCCGGGCACGTCCTCCCGCCCCACACCTCTGCCCGGTCCAGGTGTGTTCCTAGCTGGTCTCACAGGAGTGCCAGCTCCAACCCCCGAATGTCCCAGAGCCCCTCGCTCTGCGAGGCTCCTGCCCCCGTACAGCCCAGTGACGTGGGAGCTGACCACGTACCGAGGGTGAGGACGCAGAGCCCAGGGAAGGGAAAGAGCAAAGCGACCCTGCGGAGGGGCGGCCCTGACCACCACACTCAGCTCCCGCACAGGGGCCCACCCCGAGTCGGCCTGGTTCATCCCCTCCCGAATGGCACGGGGCAGGGGGACCGAGCAGCAGAGGGGGGACCCTAAGCTACTAGACTTCTGAATCCCACAGCTGGGACTCGAACCCCAGTTCTGCTTCTCCCCACCCAGGCAAGCCGGCCACTTCCCAGAGCCTCGGTTCCAACTGTGAGATGGGATCAGGGATGTGGAGCCGTGTGGGGCCGTGTGGGGCCGTGTGGGGCCGTGTGGGGCCGTGACGGACAGGTGAGCAGGGGCCGGGCGGCCTCAGCGACGCTCACACCTGTGCTCCGCCCGTCCTCAGGCCCCGAAGGAAGGGCTGTACCCCTCTGGCCCTTGTGGTCAGCAGTGACCACGTCGTCTACTTGGGCCAGCAGTGAGCAGAACACCTGAGTGGTGTGCGGCCCCGGCACCTGTCACTGCGGCCCGCCCGCCCTGACGGACCCCGCTCTCCTCCCCCCAAGAACTCTGAGCCAAAGCTGCAAACTGCAAACGCAGGTCAGCACGACCGCCTGAGGAGACACAGGGTGTTTCTCGTAGTCGGGACCTAAGCTGGGAGCGAGGGCCACCGGCAGGGGCGAAGGCCGGTCCTGGGGCCCCTCGTTCCACCAGATGCAATCCGGGGGACGCTGTGCTCTTCCCTCCTCCTGCTCTCCCCGGAAGGGTGTTAGCGCCCTGTGCCCAGCTTCCCGGAGCTCCCAACGGCCAGTGCAGGCGATGATTTCATCCCCAGCTTACAGACGGGGAGGCTGAGGCGGAGGCATGAGCAACTTGCCCGAGGTCACTCGGCTTAGGGGTGGACTCGGCTGGTCCGATTTCAAAGCCCACAGGCCCCCTGACCGTGCGGCCTCCCTGTGGTGCGGGAGGCGGTTCGGAAGGCTCACGGGCCTCCTGGCGCTCAGCTGCGGCGGCCGGGCACAGGCCGGCCTGTGGATCCTCCGCCGCCCCCATCGGTCAGCTCTGTCCCGGCGCCTGCCTTGCCCCGATTCACTCTGCAAACCTCTCGGGCAGCCTCGGGCTTTGGAGACGTGTGGGTGACAGCGATGCTGCACCCAGGACCCCGCTTTCTCAAGGCCCCCGGGGGACCCCCTACAGCACGGGGTCCGTGCCTAATCGGCTCTCAGCCCCAGAACCTCAGGACTGGCGACCACTCTCCTTGTTCAAGGTCCACCGCACACGCCAATGCAGAGCCACGCCCCGGGGCCTGGCCGGCAACTTTCCGTCCAGTGACACGACCTGGGCTGACCCAGAGGTCACAGACTGCGCTCGGCCTGAACCTGCTCCCTGGGCAAACAGCCAGCACGGAAGGACAGGGAGGCTGCAGGTGATCGGATGGTCTTTGGTTCTGAAAATGAGGTGTGGCCGGTCTGGGAGGGAATGGGCTGGAGCCGAGCGGGGTGGGCTATCCTTTGGACGGTGCCAGCTCGCCAGGGGGGTCTCCTGGGGGCACCATCCCCCCGGCTCCCCCTCCTCAGCAGCGTCTCCCCTTGGCTGCCCCAGGTGTCCAGACCCACAGGAGTCAGGCAGAGGTCGCAGGGACCCAGCCCGGTGGCTCTACTCCCCTCGGCCACCCGGCAGCTGTGCTGACTCCTCCCCCACGCGAGGCCCCTTCTGGAGGTGCACAGAGGAGCAACGCAAGCCTCCGGTGGCCTTCGACGGCGCTCGGGCCCGGGCGGCAGGAAGGGACTGGAATATGAAATGTTGAGGGGTGAGACCAGACTGAGGTCTGAGGCTGAGGAGGCGGCACTTTAATCAAGAGCGAAAAACAGGCAGAAGAGGGCGGGGCCAGTCAGCCCAGCAGGGCCGGTCCAGCGTGTCCCCGGGCGACAGAGCACGTGGAGGGGCTGGGGCTCGGGGGAGGGGTGCTCTCGCTCTGTGCCGGGCGGACGCCCCCGGCCGGGCTGCGGGGAGAACAGCGGAAAGAGCAGCACTCTGAGCACTCACGTCTGGTCGTATCTTTCTCTACAACACCTCTAAGCCAGGGACCCCTGATCACCAAAGGAGACCAGGCCACACGGGGGCAGGCTCGGCCCCAGCGCTCGGACCACGGAGCTGAGCTCTCTGGCTCCCAGCCTCCACCACGGCCCCTGCAGACCGGGTTTTCCGGGTCCACACTGAGTGCACCTCAGTCTTCCATGGAGGAGGGTTTGGCAAACACGTAAAAGTGGTTTAAAACGTAACACGCTCAGGAGCTTCATCTCCATAGTCCCCCAAGTCAGGGAAACACGTGTCCTTCCCTGAACACACACGGTTCTGGTTTGGGAGGGTCCGTGCTCCCTGCAGACACCAGGCCCGAGCAGGGTGCACGTCTGGGCACGGAGCCGGCTCCCCTCACTCGCCAAGGGGCCCAGGGGCAGGTATTCCTGGCCCAGTCCCTGAGGGAGTGAGCTGGGGGTGCTCTGAGGCTGAGCACTGAGACCCCTCAATTTTTTAAAAAAAAATATATATATATATATTTTTATCCTCACCCGAGGACATTTTTCCATATTTTGTTCAGAGAGAGTGGGAGGGGGAGAGAGAGAGCGAGAAAGAGAAACATCGACGGGAAGGGACACATCGAGTGGCTGCCTCCCACACAACCCAACCAGGGCCGGGGACAAACTGCAACTGAGGTCCGTGCCCTTAGCGGGAACCGAACCCGGGTCTCTCCGGACCGCAGGCCTACGCTCTAACCGCTGAGCCAAACCGGCCAGGGCAAAAAAATATTTTTTCTTTATTGATGTTAGAGAGGAAGAGAGAGGGAGAGAGATATAAACATTGATAAGAGAGAACATCGACTGGCCGCCTCCTGCACGCCCCCCACTGGGGATGGGCCCACAACCTGGGCATGTGTCCTGACCGGGAATCGAACCGGCGACCTCTTGGTGCAGGTCGATGCTCAGCCACTGAGCCGCCCCGGCTGCGCAAGACCCTCCCTTCTCACCACAGAGGCTCTGACACGTATGGGACCAGCGTCAGGGGCAGGGGAGGACCCCACACGCCCACGTGCCCAGAGCTGAGGGACCAGTGACGCCCGAGAGAAGGCAGGAGCCCACCCACCAGCTGCCCGAGCAGGCAGGAGCGGACACAACCACGTAAGGGCCACGGAGGCTGACGGTCCGTGGCAGGTGGCGGATGGTCCCCAGTCCCAGACACTGCCGTCCGGAGCCCCTCTGGGACTTTCGGGAGACTCACGTTGTCCAGATACAAAGCTGCTCTGCCCTGTCCCCACGAGGAGCCAAACCCCAGACCCGGAAGGAGCGGCTGCTGGTACGAAGAGCTCAGGAAGGTGCCCCGAGCGCTCCCCGGGAGCTGCGGGAGCTGAGAGAGCCGGGCGGGGCGCGGCTGGGTCAGGGCTGGGCTGGACGAGCAGAAGCAGCTCCAGGGGCCACTGAGGAGGCACCGAGCTTGTCGCGGGGCAGATCCATGTCCCGCCTGCGGGACCCTGGCCAGCTGGGCCTCGTGGGCAAACCCGTGAGGGGCGCCTGGTCTCGCAGGCCGTCCTGGTGGAGGCACCGAGGCACCGAGGGGAAAGCTCCTGGCACATGGACACAGAGACCCCAGGGCCTTTGCACCTGCTGTTCTGCCTGCCCAGGGCACCCACCTCAGCTCTGAGGCCCTTCCCCGCTCCGTCTGAAGTGGCCTCCGCCTGTGTCCCGTCCTCACTCTGCGTTCCTGAGCCTAGAACCCAGCCTGGCACAGAGGAGGCTCAACAACGAAACGTCCAGGGATGAGCCAAAAGCTGCCCAGTGCCCGCCTCTGAGAAGGGGCCGGGCCAGCTGCGTGTGTGTTCACGCACCCGAACCCGGACAGGACGCCCACATCTCGCGTTGAGTCGTCCGGTCCCTGAGTGTCTTAGAGGCAGAGGCTGGTTGGCTGCAGCCCCAAGGGGACCAGGCCGGCGGGTTTCACCGGTACCCCAGCTGCCAGAGTGAACCCCACCTGGCTGGGCCCAGGTCTGTGGGTTTCACTGGTACCCCAGCTGCCAGAGTGAACCCCACGTGGCTTTCTTTTCTGTGCCCTCATTTATGCTCGGAACACAGCCCCTGGAGAACACTGCAGGCGTCACCTGTACTCGGCCACCCTCGCTCTGACCACACGCTGCCCACTAACAAGTCCCCTCCTCACCAGCCTCGAGTCACAGACAAAGACGATTCTTACAAACTGCCAAGGGCCGTGCAGAGAGCGGCACCTGCGTCTGGCTGCTGAGTCCCGTCCGCTCCCCAGGTCTCGGGACCCCTGCCTGTGATGCTCAGACAGGAGCACCCGCCACGCAGGGCGGGCTGAGGGCGGGGAGGAGGCGGCGGGCACCGAGCCCTCGCGATCGTCCGGCAGCGCCCACTCACCACCTGCTTGTTCTGCTGCAGCAGCGGGCAGGACAGGCCCAGCTGGGGGCTGGCGTAGACGGGCGTCAGGGTGATCCGGGAGGGCGGGGCACACACCAACTTCACGATGGCCGGCTCCAGCGCAGGGAAGGGGTTGGTGACGCTCGGCTTGTTCCCCACCGACAGGGCAATGACCTGGGGGCAGAAGAGCCGTCAGCCACCCCCTGTGCCCACCTCGCCCCCCAGCTCTGGGGCTCAGCCTGCTTCTCTGCGGAATGGGAACGACGATGCACCCACATCCCGGGGGCGACAAAGGCCCAGCCCCCACCGACACCAGCCAGAACCTCTGCCCTGAGCCCGGGAGAGGCGGGGGGCAGTGCCCTGTGGGTTCCCAGCCCCTGTGAAAACCCAGGTGGCACAAGCCAGTTCCCAAGGCTGGGTTTTCACACGAAGAGTCTCGCTGACTTGAAAACACCGTCACCACGAGGAGCAGGGGTGACTGATGTGCCGATGGACTGAGACCCGCGGGGTGGACCAGACGGGGGGCCTGGCCCTCGGTGACACACTGCGGGAAGGAACGGTCTCATCCAAAAGCCCCTCACCCTTCCTGACCCCGAGGCCGGACACGGCAGCTTCCACGCTGACCCACAGGGTCCCTGCCTCCTGCCTGGCGCCCTGAGGACAGAGTGCGGACCAGGGAGGGCGCTGGAGGGTCCGACGGCGACAGCGGGGGGGGGGGAGGGCAGGGGACCCAAAGTCAGGGACGGGGAACTTCTCCAACCCAACTCTGGGCTAAGTTTACTCCTGTCGTGGTGTCACTTAGTAGCACGTATTTACTTTTCTTAATCTCCGTGTGTGAGCTTTTGAAAACAAAGCCGCCAGGAAGTAGGGCCTTTCGCTAGGCTCCCTGCTCACACCGGCAGCCCTGGCACAGCCGACTTCGGAGGTGCCGTGGGCAGTGTGCGCGTGTGTTAGCATCCGTGTGTACATGTTAGCATCCGTGTTAGCATCCATGTGCGCATGTTAGCATCCGTGTGTTAGCATCCGTGTGTACATGTTAGCATCCGTGTGCGTGCGTGTTAGCATCCGTGCGCACGTGTTAGAATCCATGTGCGCGTTAGCCTCCGTGTGCACATTAGCATCCGTGCGCGCGTGTTAGCATCCGTGTGCACGTGTTAGCATCTGTGTGTGCATGTGTTAGCATCCATGTGTGCGTGTGTTAGCATCCGTGTGTGCGTGTTAGCATCCGTGTGCACGTGTTAGCATCCGTGTGTGCACGTGTGTTAGCATCCGTGCGTGCGTGTTAGCATCCGTGTGCACGTGTGTTAGCATCCATGTGCACGTGTTAGCATCCATGTGTGCGTTAGCATCCGTGCGCACGTGTTAGCATCTGTGTGCGCGTGTGTTAGCATCCGTGTGCACGTGTGTTAGCCTCCACCAGTGTTCTCTGCACGAGCAAACGTGCACACCTTCCCCAGACATGGGCTCTCCCCGCCCTGAATCACGCTGGCCTCCCACCTGGCTCTGGGTCCCAGCTGCAGAGCACCCTGTGAACACAGAGGTACAGCCCGACCGGGGCCGAGGAGCACAGGGCCCGAGGGAGAGACCGCGGGGCACGGGGCCCGGACGGCAAGCTGCCTGCCCTCCATCTGGCGATTCCAGCCCCGAGGGGTTCGGGGCATTGTGTTCAGCCTACCCCGTCTCCCAATGTCTCGGTTTTCAGCATTAAAAATAAATAAATAAAAATGAAGAGATCTCACAGGAAAACAACAACAACACTGGGATTCCCAAATTATCCTGAACCACCAAAACGGTCCGCCCGACACGCCGCTTCACGCCTGACAGCCCTTCCGTCCCTGGAGACCTCCGGCCCTGCGCCCCGATCTCGGCTCACCCTCCTCCCCGCCCCGTTTGGCGGGAGGGGCACTGAAGCCGGAGAGAGGGGCGGTCACCAGGGTGAAGGGGGCGGGAATAACGAGCTCTATCAAAGCCTGTACAGGGGGGCCCTCTGCTCACACCCGCCCAGCCCTTCCTCGGACCCTCGGTGTGTCTGTCCGAGAGACGGCACAGCTCGCTCAGGCTTACTCTGAAGGTTAAACCAAAGGACGCATGCGCGCCGCAGGGCACTCCAGGGACACGGTGGGTCTGGGGGGGCTGTGCTCTCACCTGTTCACCGAGGGCCCGGCAGGTCACGAGGATCCAGTGCTGCTGGTAATTGCGGGGGGCAGGGAGCCCCAAGAGGGCCAGGCTGATGCTGTCCGCGTCCTCGGAGGTGACGTTTCGGAAGAACTTGGATGGCTCGAGGACCCAGGGCCGGGGACCTCCTTCGAACAGCATCTCTTGTGAGGAGCCGAGGGTCACCAAGGCGACAGAGGAGGGGTCCACGGCCTGTGGGGCAGAGAGGAGGGGAGTCAGCGCCTGCCTCTGGGGGGCACGTGCACACAGGCTGCCACTCTGAGACCCTGCTGGGGGTTGGGGGGCACCCGGCGCTCTGCTGCTCTGCAAAGCAGTCCAGTGCCAGGAGGAGAGACGAGCCCGAGCACAGAGATGTCAGCTCACTCGACCCCCACCGCACACCATCGGGGACAGTCCGCGGTCCCAGGGCGGCTGCGTGAGTCTGGGGTGCGTCCCGCCAGGCCTGGGTGCTCCCCGAGGCGGCATCGCCGAGTGGGGTTCAGGCCTCACCGGGCGGTGTGATCACACCGTCTTGTTTCAAAAAGCGTGAAACAATTCTAAACGGAAACACGCTCAACGACCAAGGGAAACGGAGATGCGGGTCCTGGCGGCCCGGTTCCCAGTGGTTCGCTTCCCTTACTTTACACGCCGCGGCGTCTCCTGCGCTTTCCACGGCACGCGGCTTGGGGAACACGCCCCCCCCCGCCCCCCCGCCCTCCCCCCCGCCGCTGTGCCGGCCCCAGAGCAGTGCCAGGCACTGAGCAGCTCTACCGTGCTTCGTTCTTCGTTCAGCGAAAGAGTGAGTATCACACCTTCCAAGGACCCAAGGACCCAATTAACACAAGTAAATAACGTCTGCAAGAAGCTCGCACCTGCTCTCCCAGGGCAGCCGCCCGGGGTGCCCACGTGGACACGGGCCGTGCTCGGGGTCTGCAGTGCCGCCCCCACCACAGCAGGGGGAGGGGTTCCACGTGAGGACACCGCCCCGTACAGACACGGCTGGGGTGCGAGGAGGAACGGGGCCCCGAGGGCCCTGCAGCCCTGCTCCTGGACTCCAGCCCACCCTCCAGGAGCTGCCGCAGGGCCTCCCGCACACCGGCCGTGCCCCTCCGTGGTAGGCGGCTCCACGTGTCCGCTGCCCCGGGAACAGAGGCTGAACCACGTCCACCCCGGGATTCAGGCTCTCCCAGCCGGGCCCTGGCCTCGGCGCCCCCTCGTCCCACCTTCAGACTAGTCTGTCCCCGGCCGTCCCAGGCCGGCTGCCCTCCATCACCGGGGGCCTCCCCCTCCCAGGCCGATGACTTGTTCTCCGGCACCGGCTTCAAGCGTTGCTCAGTTGCATCGGGAGGAAATTATTTGTTGGGGTGTCTACCTCCCGCTCAGGCTCTGGGCTCCTAGGGAGGGGGCATCTGTCTCCTTCTATATCTACAGCATGGTCTCAACCACACCAGAAACAAAATACCGTAGAGGGACAACTAAAATAGTCACAAACAGACAAGAGTCCATGACGACACCGATATTCCTCCTCGGCCCCCTGATTGGCAGAAGTCGAAAGGTCGGATGCCCCGGCACCCACATGCTGGGTGGGGGTCTGTGGACAACGCGGACACTTTTCCAAAATCAGTTCATTCTGGCCCAACACAGGGGCCTTCCCTGCAGCGGCCTCTGCGTTATCCACCAGGTCCAGGGGCACGAAGACCCTCGCGGAGCCTGACCTCCCTCAGCTCCGCCCACGTCTCCCCCACCAGGGGCCCCCAGGCCTGCCCACGGCCTGAAGTCCTGGCAGGTACAGGCTGACCACTCAGCTGCCACCACAGTCCTGAACCCGGGGCTCGGCTCCAACCAGATGCCCCCGGCATGGGGAAGGGACCGTGCCCTGGTACCAGCTTCAAGACGGGCACACCCTCAAAGGCGGGGCAGGGGCTGAGGTGAGGATACGCTGAGGCCTATGGGTGCAGGTTCTCCTACTGGGTACTGACTCTGCGCCCCTCCCTACACACACACAGTCCTGGGGTCCCTCATGGACACCCAGCCCCAGACTCTACCTTGTCACACACCCAGGTTTTAAACCCATCAAAGGGCCCATTCCCAACAGGAGACGCTGGGCATGCGCAGGGCCTCTGCCCTGCCCCCCCCGGGACCACCCTCACAACAGTGTAGCCAGAGCCTCTGCTTTGCTCCGGCCTCTGTCCCAACGCCTCCTCGGACAGGCTGCTCGGACCCCACCCAGGGCAGGACCTCCCAAAGCCTGCTCCTCCCGTCCGCTCAACTGCCCTTGCCCCTGCCCGCCATCCCTTACACGGCGTGTGTCCATGGGCTCCTGCCCCACAGCTCGGTCCCTCCCCCTGTGAAAGGGCAGGGACATCGGGTCCTCCGGTTCCAGGGCCGGAAGGAAGCGTGTGCTCGGTGAACGGCCCTGCTCGTACCAGTGTCTTCAGCAACACGTCATCCCCTCTCACAGGGCCACCACCCAGCGGAGTGGAGCCGTGTACCCACATTCGCCCAGCCGGTGGGCTCCAGATGCCCTCCCTGGCTGGATGCCACGGTCAGCCCGACCCCACTGTGGGTGCAGCAGGCCACCAGGAGCCTCGCCGAAGGGTGCTGTTCACGACCAGCCCGAGGGGAAAGGTTGGGCAAAGGTACCACACGTCCTTGAGTCACAGCTGGGGAACCACGGACGGCGCTGCCGCAGGGGACGCCCTTCTCGCTCGGCCTGAACGTGTCACCGACTCTAGGCCAGGGAGACAGGTCGGGGACCAACACGGCTCGCGGAGACCCGCAGGCTCCTCGGCGCCCGCCCAGTGCGGATGTCCGGGCAGCGCCAGAGAGGAGCGTGCCCGTGAACAGGGCGAGGTCCGGGGCCTCCGTCTCCTAGTTCGCAAAACCAGAGGATGGTTTGCTCTCGAGCCCTCCGTGCGGACAGCATGTTTCTAGGGGTTTCCACGTGCCTCTTAGCGGGGGTGCCCACACTCGGTCTCGGATCAAAACACAGAGGCCAGGGCCGGGCAGAAGGTGAAGACCTGGCTGGCAGAGGCCCAGGCCAGTCCCTGCTCACGGGGACAGAACAAAGCAGGGGGCTCCCCAGGCAGGCACTTGGGGCTCCCAGAGAGCAGCAGGTGGACAAGGCCTCTGAACCCCGCCGCAGACAACGGCTGAGGTGCCTGTTAACTGCGGAAGGAGTCAGGTCTCCGGCAAGCATGAGTCTCACCACGATGCCAGCAGAGAAAAGACAGCATGTAACTCAGGGAGGGGAGGGCCCAGCAGGTCAAAGAAGATCTGGACAGAGCCGTGGCGGGGGTGGCAGGCCGTGGCGGGGGTGGCGGGCTTCCTCAAGAGGAACCACTGCCATCTCAGGAATTTCCATTTTCTTTAGCTCTGCTCTGAACCTCTCACCTGGTCCAGGGCCGGCACCAATGAGGGGCGTCTGACCTCATTAGAAACTGCTCCCTCCCTCCCTCCGCTCTCTCCATCCACACTGAACACGAACACTGTCCGAGACGGGCACATAAAAGCACGTTACTTGTTTGGTTTATTTACTGTCTGTCTCTGCCTCTGCCCCCATCTCTGCTAGAATGAGGACCAGGAGTTCTGCGCATCTTCTGCAACATTGTATCCCGTAGGCTGGGAGCTCGGCGTAAGCACCATGTATCCCTCCAGTACATGGATGAGTGGAGGAGGGGAGCAGGCTGGGCCCTTTCTCCCTAATGAGACATTTACACGTATCTGCGATTTTAGGTCTGGGGTCAGGAGACCTTGGTTTCAGTCCTGGACGGCTAACCCTGAACACATCTGCCCTACTTGCTCACTTTATTTTATCTTTTTTCCTTTATTGATTTTAGAAAGGGAGAGAGACAGAAACATCGATGAGAGAGAACATCGACTGGCCGCCTCCTGCACGCCCCCCACTGGGGATCAGGCCCACAATCTGGGCATGTGCCCTGACCGGGAATTGAACCAGCGACCTCCTGGTGCAGGGTCGACGCTCAGCCACCGAGCCGCACCAGCCGGGCCACTTGTTCATTTTAAATAGAACAGCCTTTCTCAAATAATTAAAACATAACTACTCAATGACCCATCAATTCCTCTTCTGGAAGAAAGCAAAGGAGACAAAAACACTGACTTAGAAAGATGTCTGCACCCCCGTGTTCACCGTAGAGTTTTTCACAATCATCTAGACACAAAACAACCTAAGCATCTGCTGAGGATTGAACGAGTAAGAAAAATATGGCACAGATATAGAGTGGAATAGTACTCAGCCATGAAAAAGAAGCACCGTCATTTGTGACACCGTGGACAGACCACGAGAGCATTACTGTGAAGTAAGTCAGACGGAGAAGGACATACAGTGTATGATTTCACTTAGATGTGGAATCAAAAATACACCCACAAAAAACAGATACAGAACACCATCTGGTGACTGCTGGGGTGGGGGTGGGGGGCGGGGGAGGTTCCGAAGGTACAAACTTCCAGTGTAGAATAAATTGGTTCTGCGGATGTGACGTGCAGCATGGTGCCGACAGTCAACAGCACTGTGCTGCTCATTTTTAAGCTGCTAAGAGAGTACAGCTTAAAAGTTCTCATCGCGAGAGGAAAATGTTTAATTTTGGGCGGCAATGGGCCACTAGACTCATTACAGCGATCATGACGCAATATACACACACACTGATTGGTTGTGCTGTACACCTGAAACTAATATGACACAAAGTCAACTGTGCCTCAATTTAGAAAAACAAAAGCGATCCTTGGTTGCTGCCTGCTCTGCGTTGGGGACTATGCCCAGGGTCAGGGTCTGAGATGAGATTCTGATGTTACTGAACTTGCTTTAATGCGTAAGAGGCACAGACCAGGGACCGGAGCGGTGCGAGGCTGATGCTGTGTCCGGGAGACACAAGTGCTGACTGGCCCAGCCTGGGGAGCCCCCGGCCCTCTCCCTGGGCCTCCTGTGTGAGAAGCAGTCAGAACAAGAAGCCGGTCCAGTCACCATCCTGCTGTGAAGCTTCACAACAACCCTTGGAGGGAGGGCAATTCTTTTTTTTTTAATCCTCACCCAAGGACAATTTTTTCCATTTTTTGTTCAGATAGAGCGGGAGGGAGAGAGAGGAAGAGAGAGAGAGAAACATCATTTGAGAGACACATCAAGTGGTCACCATCCACACGACCCCAACCAGGGCTGGGGACAAACTGCAACCGAGGTGCATGCCCTTAGCGGGAACCGAACCCGGGCCTCTCTGGTCTGCGGGCTGAAGCTCTAACCTCTGAGCCACACCGGCCAGGGCCACCCGAGGATATTTTTACATTTATCTTCAGATAGAGCAGGAGGGAGAGAGGAAGAGAGAGAGAGAGAAACATCGATGTGAAAAAGACACATCGACTGTTGCCACCCACACAACCCCAACCCGGGCTGGGGACGAACCGCAACCCAGGTATGTTCTAAACACTGAATCGAACCCGCGGGCCGACGCTCTAACCACTGAACCAAACCCGCCAGGGCCGTCCAATTTTTTTTTATTCTTTTTGTTGTTGTTAATCCTCACCTGAGGATATTTTTCCACTGACTTTTTAGAGAGAGTAGGAGGGAGGGAGGGAGAGATGGGTGTGGAAAAGACACATCAATGTTTCCCTCCCGCACAACCGCGACCTGGGCTGGGGATCAAACCTGCAATCCAGGTACGTGCCCTTAACCGGAATCGAACCTGCAACCCTTCAGTCTGCGGGCCAACGCTCTAACCGTAGAGCCAAACTGGCCAGGGCTTTCCATTCGTATTTTAACAGCTAAACCTCAGTGAGCACGGACTACTGACCGGGACCGTTAAGCCCATTTTGCTCACAGTTCAGCTAATCCTCACCACCACCCCATGAAGTGGGTACTATATTACCCCCTTTTACAGGCAGGAAAACTGAGGCCCACAGATATTCAAGGAGCCCAGGTCCCAGCGTTGGTGTCAGCCCTAGAGTCCAGGACCTGCTTCCTGCCCACAGGGGGCCAAGGGGCACGCCGACCTTGATGGTCACCTGACCTCCAGCAGGGGGAGAATCCAAACCTGTCCCAGGTTCCGGAGGCCCCAGAATGTGCACCCGCAAGCCAGGGCCACTGTCCCCATTCCAGGGTTCTGCGGAGACCCTGCAGGGTAACTGGAGGTCACGGGAACCAGCGATGGCAACATTGTATCCACAGGGTGCAGGACGCACTGTCTGCCCGCAGGGGCTCAGCTCCCTCGGCTTCCTGGTTTCAGCTCAGAAGTCAGGGGAGAGTGCTGTTCTTAAGGCCATTCCGAGGGGCCAGCACCAAGGAGATTCCCGTCGGGGAAGCGGGGAGGGCAGGCCCGACTCACCGTGAGGGGCAGGTAGGCGGCGATGGTGATGCGGGCGCTCAGGTGGATGTGGTTGTGCTTGTAGCTCACCAGCAGCGCCGTGTAGCCCTGGGCCTCGGCTCGCACCCGGACTCCGCTGCAGTGCTCAGGCCCCGGCTGCAGCCTCCCTGTGGGAAGAACAGGCCGCGTCAGCCCGCCTTTGCCGGAACGCGTGTCCAGGCCTGCGCCTGGTACACACCCCGTCCCCACACCGAAAGGACCCGTCCGAGATGCACAGTTCACCGTGATGCACCCCCTCCCTGAACGGAGCGCACCCCCCAGGACTGGGACCGGCAAACAATCTGACCTGTGCCCTGGAGGCTCCCCAGACCCCCCACGAGCTCCTCCCCAAAGGAGAACCTCGGCTGCCTTCTAACAGCACAGCCTGACTGTGCTTCTGCGTTTCACAGAAAGGGAACGTCTGGGCTCCTACTCCTTTGTGGCTGCCCCTCCGGCGCAGGGGAGAGAGGCCCCCCCTGCGGCTGGCACGGTGCAGACCTCCCCTGGGAAGAGTCCGCCACCGACCTCTCCCTGCTATGGCGCACATTCCTCTGGGTGAACATCCCCCCGCCTTTACGTGGGTGTTTCCCAAAGACCACTGTCTGTGCGCCCCGATACCCACTGTCCGGGGCACACAGATGTCCATGTCTCAACGGCACTACCGGATCTCTCTCCCAAAACGGTTGCGACACGTGACGCTACCTCTAACGACTGTGCGTGGTATTTTCCACCCATTATTAAAGAGGCCGATCTAATGGGAGTGTAAAGAATTGTTTTCTTCCCCAACATTTAGAAGAAAATTACACTGTGAAACCCTCATCCCCACCCCCAGACCCTGTAATTACCACGTTGCTCTGTTTTCTTACTGCGTTATCAACCCACCGCCGACCCATCCACCCATCGCTCTGTTTTTTACGCACTTAAAAGGAAGTTGCGGGTGTCGGGCGCTAGCTTCCCCGAACGGTCACTCATTCTACAGAATCGCCCATTTCAAGTGCACCTGAGCCCCGGCCGGTGTGGCTCAACCAGGGGTTCTCAGCCTTCCTGATGCTGCGACCCTTTCATCCAGCTCCTCACGCTGTGGGGACCCCCGACCATAAAACTATTTCCGTTGCTACTTCATAAGTGTCATTTTGCTCCTGTTATGTCCTAGGTGACCCCTGTGAAAGGGTCGTTCGACCCAAAGGGGTCGCGGCCCCCAGGTTGAGGAGGCTCTAATGGTTAGGGCGTCGGCATCTGGGCCGTTTCCCGTTTGGGGCGATTAGTGGAAAAGCCGCTGTGCACATCGGAGAACAACCTCCTCCCCAGGCCGAGGATACATTTCCCTGCGTGCTGATCCGCTAACGGCCACTCCGCGCCCGGGGCAGAAGTCCCCACGCCGCCCAGAGGGCTGGCCAGAGCCCAGGGCAGAGCCAAATGAAAACCGAAACGCCGAACGGGCCGTTTGTGTCCAAATTACCAAGCAGAAGGAACCGGGACGGTGCGTCTGAGCAGGGACCCCGCTGCCTTCCCATCGGTTCGAGGGGTCTGCCCAACGTGGTGCTGCACTGGAAGGGAGGGGCCCTCAGTACAGGTGGGGAGAGACGCTGAAGGGGGAGCCCAGGGGGCACCCGGCTCCACAGCCCTGCCCCGGACCCTGGAGGCCACCTCGGCACCTGGCAGGGACCTGATGCGGGACACACCCTTTCCTGTCTCGGCTCCAACACACGCTTCCTGCTCCCAGAATCCCCTCCCCCACCTCCCTGACCATCCTCCGGGTGGTCGTCCCTCTGACCGTCCTCCCCTCCCCCACGCTGGCTCAGGAACCCGTCTTCAGCACATCTTCTGGGGGACACGTCTGGGCATTTCGGGTGCATCCATGCCCCGGACTGGGAGAACCCCCAGGACCCTGCTACCCCTCGGCACACCCGCCCAGCACCACACCTACCTGTCCGCCATCAGTCTCCTACAGGGTCCGGGGGACCCCAGAGTGCAGCACTTGGGAGGTGCTCTGTGAACAGGGGGCTGAAAACCAGCCGAGGCTCAGAACAGAGAAAGGGTCAGGGAGGAGCCAGAGCTGAGGTACGGCCACCCCAGGGTGCCTGGCCAAGCCCAATCCGGGGGCTCCCTGGAGAAGTTCACAGTAACACCCACAACCCAAGGGCTTTCAGGGGGCTTCCATGATGAGAAGGCAGAAAGGGGAGCCCAGCAGCCACGTCCAGGGGGAGAAGGTGAGGGCCCCAGGTGGACCGCGGCTGCCCCCCCAAGAACCAGGAGCTGAGCCCCTCGCTGTGCTCTCAGATCAGGGTCATGCAGTCGAGGGCGAGAGGGGGAGAAGGTGCCCAGCAGCCTGACTGAGATCACGCCCACGAGACCCCCGAGCCCTGGGGCAGGCGCCACAGCCCACTGCCCCACCCGGTCTCCAGTGCCTCTGACTCCTGCGCGAATCCCCCACCCTCGCCGGCTTCCCGTCACCTGGGCCCAGCACAGGCCTCACACAGCCACACGAACGCGGTATCGGGGCACCCGAGGCGCTCCGCTCCCTGAGGGGTCTTCTGACGCCCAGGGGTCGTCTCCGCTGCTGTCTTCAGAATCAAACCCCGGCACTGGGCGGAGGGGCATGTGTACCCCTCCCTGCAGGCAAGGGGCCCGTATCCCCACGTGTACACGCGGAATCCAAGGCTCAGAGGGGTTGGGCGATGTGAAGAAGGGGTGCTCAGACCCCGGAGTGTGGTGTTCCAAAGCCTGCCCTCCTCCCTGGGGTCCCGGATGTTGACACAGTGCCTGGGCAGGACCTGCACACTGCCCGCCAGGGCGCGTGTGGGGCAGAGCTGGGGGCTCCTCGCCCGCGGCCGTGGGTGCTCCCCACTAATGCTTCCCTCTGTCTATGGTGTTGCCTCCCCAAAGACACTGAAGACGTCACACAGCTGGGTTTCTCCTGGACGGTCCTCGAGGACACGGCAGCGCCTCCAGGGAAGGACACGGACGTGGGGGTGTCAGAGACGCGGCCGCATCTGGGCAGCGGCATTCACGGGGCTCCACGCAGAACCACAGCTCAGGAGGGGGCCGCCACTCTCTGCTCACAAACGCCAGGGGCTCCCCACTGCGGGGACACGTGGCCCCGGCCCTCCGACGCCCTCCTCATTCATGGTTCAGCAGCTCAGCCATTCCTGGTCGCTGAGTGTGGCCGCGAGCCTGCACATGCCCACCGCGGGGCCTGGCTCAGGAGGCCCCGATGCTGTTCCCGCCCACTCCTCCCTCTGCCCTAACCTCACCCTCCCTCCTCGGCCCGGCCCTGGCTTTTCCCCGCCTACCGACGGAGAGGAACCCTCTGCTGCCGAGCCGACTCCCCTGCAGGCCCCTTCCGCAGAGGACAGACTTCAGACAGCACCCAGACTCTGACCTGTGCACCATCACGCCCTGTGCCCTTGTGTGACCTTGGGGGGGCCACAGTGCCTCAGCCTATCTGTCAGTGGCCCGACCTGTCTCCCCCCATGACGGCTGTGTCATCTAATGAGTCACACACGCAAGGTGCTCCCCCACCCGACCAGCAGGGCTGAGGCTATAAATAACCTCCAGGCACCAGCACCACCGTCACCACCACCCAGACCCTGCAGGGGGCGCCGGAGAGGAGACAACAGGGTGCAGGGCTCCCAGGGCTCAGGCGGGCTGGACCCCGCGGGTGTGTCCAGAGGCATTGCTTCCGCCACGCCCCCCAAGCCCCCAGCAGTGTGCCCGCGTCCTGAGCACCCCTGCATTCCAGGCCCTGCGGGGGGCTCTCCTACTGCCGCCCCAGGAGGACGGCACCCGTTTCAGAGACGAGAAATCAGACCCTCGAGCAGGCGATGGGTCCCGAGGCAGGTAAGGTCCAAAGCAGACCAGGCTGCTGGGGACGGGGAGACAGACACAGCTCCTCGCGCTGTGCCCCCCGCGGCCTCGCCCCGCGGAGGAGTGTGGGCGGCCCCAGTCCCCCTGCTGCCGGGGGGCTCGGCGGGGCCAGTTTACCTGGAAGCGGCTGGAACACACCCTGGTTCTCCACCTCGACCGCCAAGTCGAAGTGGGAGCAGTCGCTCAGGGTGACCACCTCACTGGCCCCGCCGGGCATCAGGCCGTTGATCCTCAGGGGCAGCTCCAGGGTCTGGCCCACTCGCGCCTCCACCTGGCACGGGGCGAACTCCATGCCTCGGGGTTCGATCACGTACACCTGCAAGACAGGTACGGTGCTGAGTGTACATCGGTGAGAAGGCTTCGCCTGAGGGACACGCGGGGTGTGCGGGGACTGGGGTGACGTTCGGGGACAGAGCTGTCAGGGAAGGCCTCTCTGAGAAGGTGCGTAGGAGCTTAGATCTGAGAGCTATGCCAGAGGCAACTGGACAAAAGTCGGGAAGAAAGACGTTCTGGGAAGAAGGGATGGTCTGTGCAAAGGCCCTGGGGCATGCACCAGCTCAGCACGTTGGAGAGAGATACAGAAGGTGGTGCCCAGTAACAATGAGTTTCTGTACGAAATGTACCCCCAGCTTCTGGCCGAGCAGGGTGACAGGTGGCATATTCGCTGAGACGAGATGCCTGGGTGATGGGGGGAGGAGGGACAAGGCAGTTCCTGTTGACCCAAATATTTGACAACTATGATGTAGCCAAAGGGTCCCCATTACAACCCCTCCATACAGAACTCAGATCAGTCTTAAGGTGGGGCGTGGGGGTGCATATGTGTCACAATAAAAAGAGAAAATCACCTCTCATCAGCGTCCCAAGTAACTTAAGAGAAGGGCAAGATCAGATGACAGGTGGACCTTCGATCTCTGCTCTAAGTGACGTAATGAACGGGGCTGAGGTCAGGAGGCCACCAGGCTCAGCTACAGAGGACCAGGCCCACCTGTGGCCTTCGAGTGAGTGACCCCACGCCACTGGGGGGCAGAAGCCAGGTGTGGAGCCTGGCAGAGGGAGCCCTGACTGGGACCTACCACAACAGTCAGCGACCCTTCCCGGTGGGGAGCTGTCTCTCAGGTCTGGTGAATTCCCCGGAGGGACTCGCTGGAGGAGCTCATGTCTCCTGTGGCCCCTGGTCTCCGATCCAGGGGTCCAGCTCTGTGCCCCCCCCCGCCTTGTACGGGGCTTGAGCTCCTCAGGACAGGGCTGGGGCCCCGCCCAGCACCCCCTCACCGCTGCCAACACTAAGGACAAAGCCAAGGGCTGAGGGTGGTTCCGAATTCAGCCTGAGGGCTGGGCCGGATCTCAGGTCTCACCTTCATGTCCCCGAAGTGCAGTGGGTTCTGGACATCATGGGCCTGGATGACGCTGAGTCCTGTGTCACTGCCCGTGGTCATCACGCCCTTGACGGTGACGGTGGCAACTGCGTAGGCTGACGAAGACCAGCTGAAGTTTCCACTCCCGCCGTGGGCCTGCGGGGAGAACGTCACGTAACCAGCCACCGCGTGGTCTCTCTCTGCTCCACGCACACCCCCTCACGCAGGCAGCGTCTCCCACGACAAGGAGAAACAGCCGAGTCCACGCCCGACGGGGGCTGCCCCATGTCCACTCTGCTGCGGTTCCAGTCCTCACGTGGCTGATGGACACCCCCCCCCCCCGTGACAGTGGCCCCAGAACCTCGCGCACCTCCCGGAGCGCAGGCTGGAAAGGAAAGACCTTTCCAGAGCCAGGGGCAGGAGGCTGCCCGACCGGACACCACGCTCCCTCCTGCCCACTCGGAGGAGAACAGCAGCCCAGCAGCTGCCGAGACCCAGGGCCACTGCCCAGGAAGGTGCCACGCCGAGCGGCTACCAGGGCACAGACAGGACCCTGCATCAGAGCCAGGAGGGAGGCCGGCGGGCAGCGTGCCGGCCACGGGGGCTCAGGCCCAAGGGAGTCCGTCCACCACACACGTGGCAGCTGGCAGGGTTGGGGACATTCCCCTTGAATTTCACACTCTTCTCTGAGAATGTTCACACTGCTTCAGGGACAATTTTTTTTTAATCCTCTCTTGAGGACATTTTTCCATTTTTTGTTCAGACAGAGTGAGAGGGAGAGAGAGAGAGAAACATCGACGTGAAAGGGACACATCGATTGGTCGCCACCCGCACGACCGACCAGGGCCGGGGACAAACTGCAACCGAGGTGCATGCCCTTAGCGGGAACCGAACCCGGGTCTCTCTGGACCACAGGTCGACGCTCCAACCGCTGAGCCAAACCGAGGTTTCAGGTTGGCTCCCAGGGCACAGGCAGGAATCAACCAGATGCATCCGTAGGCAGAACAACAAGTTGATGTCTCCCTCTCTTCTCCCCCCCTTCTCCTGTCTCCAAAACCAGTAAATTCTTAAGAAATGCACGTGGGGGTTACGTCTGTATTCCACGATTTCTCTATTTTCTGTTTCTCAGGGTTTTGTTTGTTTGTTTGTTTTTTCTGATCAGAATATGCAGAAAATGCAGGAGACTCTGACTGCAGCCCTGGCCGGTGTGGCTCAGCAGTTAGAGCGTCGGCCTGCGGTCCAGAGAGACGCGGGTTCGGTTCCCGCTAAGGGCATGTACCTCGGTTGCAGTTTGTCCCCGGCCCTGGTTGGTCGTGCGGGTGGCAGCCACTCGATGTGTCCCTTTCACGTCGATGTTTCTCTCTCTCCCTTCCTCTCTCTCCCCCCCTTCCCTCCCACTGTATCTGAAGCTAAATGCAGCAGTGTCCTCGGGTGAGGATAAAGAAAAGACCCTCTGACTGTAAACCCTCGGCAGCCCCAGGAGATGATACTGGAAGAGAGCGGCCCACAGGCCCACCCCCAGGAGCCCCGAGTGCGGTCAGGCCCGTTACCTGGATGGTGTACTGGTAGGTGCCTGTCTTCGGTTGCCACGGAAACGTCAAGATGCTGGGAGAGAGGGTGATGGGGGCGTGAATCTCCACCTCCTGCTGGTTCCACACCGGCGCTCGCAACACGTGCACCCCGCCATCCTGCAGGGGTGAGGGTGCCCACATCACACGACAACCCGGTGGTCAGCCGTCTTCCCAGACGTGCAGACCCTGCCCTGGGGGTCAGTCGCAAAAGTCGATCTTGGGGCTGGGGGGGTGGGGGGGGGGCGCGGCCAGATAACCTTCCGCCTCGGTCTCCATGGAGACGGCTCGGCTGGCGCCGCCCCGCCGCTGGGTAAATGCTGTTCGACACCATCCTCGGGGCCCCCACAGGCGGCTGTGGGTGTCCCCGCTTTACAATGGGGAACTCGAGGGGCGTTACGCTCAAGCGCCTGGCCCCCCGCCCCAGCCGAGGTGCAGACCGGCAGGGGCAGCGATGTGGACCCCAGGCCCCTCGCCCCGCTGCCTCGAGCAGGCTGCTGGGGAGCACAGGGCCCGGCCAGGGCTCCAACCGGTGCAGGCTGCTCCCACCCACGGACTGGGAGGACCCTCAGCCCAAAGGGGCTCCGGTGGTGCCCAGCTGGACGCGGGGCCAGCATGTCTCTCAACACGGGCTCCAGCCTCAGCCCAAAGGTGAGGGTCCCTTGTCCAGGGGCTGCAGAGGAAGGGGCTCTGCCTGGTGTGGGGACCGGTGACAGGAAGAGCACCCCCACCCCAGACACCCCTGCAAGCCCAGAGAGGGAGGGGCCCTCAGGGCACGAGTCGGAGACACAGGCTGGGTCAACATTTCTGCCCGCGCGGGACCCAAGGGGCGGGCGAGCAGGTGCCCACTTGCCTGGTCCACCACGGAGGTGAGCGTCGCCTCAATAGCCGTCTGGCCTCTCTTTATCGCCCTGACGTGATGGAACGACCCGTTCTGGGAAGACGAGAGGACCTCGAAGAACTCAGGGGGCAGCGTGGTCTCAACGCGGATGTTCTGGAGGGTGAGACCAATGGGTGAGGAGCTTCTCAGACCACCCAGGGTGCAGGACAGAGAACAAGACAGACTGCAGGACAGACTGCAGGACAGGGTGCAGGACAGGGTGCAGGACAGACTGCAGGACAGAGAGCAGGACAGAAGCCTTGGACCTGCAGGTGCAGTCAGGCCAAGGGCCCTGAGGCCCACAGACCTCCAAAGGCCAGCAGCCAAGCTGGACAAAGCCCTCCCTGGCCTTTGCCCCTCCCAGCTCCCCTCCCTGGGTGGCCAATGAGCGGGAGCTCCTGGGGCAGCTGCCCACGTGCAGCACAGGGGAGCTGAAGCCTTCAGTCGGCTCTTAGCACTGAGGTCCCGGCGAGGAGACAGGAAACACAAAGAGGTCATCGCCATGCCCTGTGGGAGACTGTTTGCATGGCATCCATTTTGCAAAAATCTGCTCTGCCATCTCCTGCCCCAAGGCAGGATATCTCTGTCTGCATCTCTGCATACAATGTTTCTGCATTCCTTTAAGTAACCATTTACTCAGCCAGTTATGCTGTTTGTCTTTTGTTCCACCTGTGATATTTACATGATATTTACTTGAAATTGCTTCGAGGTGGTCACCACAGACATGCTTGGCAACAAATGTTCTTGTTTTTCTGCTTCTTGCCATATATATACTGTGGATCTCCCCAGAATAAACGAGACTTGATCAGAGCCCTGTCTTGTCTCCATTTCTCGTGTCTCTTGTCCCTCCTCATCCTCACTCCCCCTCTAGAGTCCTCATTGCTCGACCTACGGGACGGGTCAATGCCCAGAGCTAAGGAAGCTCAGGTACCAGGCAGCCACCGGACTCCACTCCCCACCCCCGCCTGCAGGCTGCCCCATGCCTGAGCGGCCCCACAATCCCACAGGACGTCTCCCACGGAGCCAGCAGCAACGCCAGGACGTTCCTGAACTCGGCCTGTTTCTTGGGGGGGGCAGCTCACTGAGCAGGGGCTCCAGAGACACACCCCACAGCGCACCCCCAGGGCCCCAGGCGGGCACTCACATCTGACAGGTAGACCTTGTTGCCAGACTTGTCCAGCACGTCGATGGTGATTTCATAGAGGCGGCCAGTCTCCAGCACCCACCTGTCTCCAGGGTGGACCGTGAACCCTGTAGGGTAGGAAGTGGCAGTGCCGATGGGTCAGGCCAGGGGTACAGGGCGCACAGGGGTACAGGGCGCACAGGGGTACAGGAGTACAGGGGTACAGGGCACGCAGGGCGCACGCCGCTGCCACCTCCTGGCCGGGCAGACCACTCACCTGAAGACGTACAACCGCCCAACTAAAGGCACCTACAACCACTCACCTGGGGGCCCCAAAACCACCTGCGTGGAAGGTCTCAGCCCACCCCGTCGGGACCCACAACTGCTCGTGGGAAGGGCTCACAGTCGCTCACGGAGACAGCCCGCAGCCGCTCACCTGCTTCCCTCCGTGGGAAAGGCCAAGTGTTCATCACTGTGAAATCTCACACGGCCACCGGCACTGAGCCCTACAGACGTGAGCTGACCCCTGAGGGTCCCCCGGACAATCCCACACTCACTGCCCAGACTCCCTCAACGTGAGCCTGCCCACAGGTCTGTGCTCAACATCCACGCGGGCGTCCACTCTGAATCCACGGCGGCCCGAACTGAATCCATGTCTCTACACTCTCGTTCCCAAGTGCGTCTGCGCCGTGACCCAGGGCAGGTCTACGCTCCGAACCCACCGTTGACGCCGGAATGCACCGCAGGCTGACGGGCCCCGGGCACCGAGCACCCCGAGCCGACCCCGCTCCCAGGCCTCTCGCTCTTACAGCAGATGCCACGCCGGCTGCCTGCTGACCCCGGTGACCCCTGTGCGTCCTCACGCCTACCCCTGACCCACCTGCTCTTGCCTGACGGCCCCCAGCAAAGCGCAGCTTCCCGGGGAAGGGCCGCTCGGGGGTCATCTCCGGAGCCTTTCTCTGCACCCTCGTTTACTGACCCCTCCCACCTGCCACCTGCGGCGGGGGAGGGGGTCTCTCCCCACAAAACCAAGCACCGAGGATCTCGTCCTCCTCCTCTGGGGACCCCAGTGCCCAGCACAGGCCAGACAGTTGGAGGTGCCAGGAACCACTGCTAAGGGATGGAATTGCGGGGACCCGCAGGGCCGTCTGCCTGGTGTCTGCACCCTGTCCACGGCGCCTGCTCCCAACAGCAACCCCAGGGGCCTTGGGGTTCGCTACACGTCTGACCTCTCTTCCCTGGCCCACGTCGCTGAGCCAACAGGTGGGTAAACTCAGACCAAAAGCAGCCGTCGAGACGGTGACCCAGGGTGTGTCCCGGGCACCTCCCAAGTGGTCATCACAACGGCAGCTCCCAGGCCCGGGCTGTACCCCAGCGAGTCCTCGCGGCCGTGGGTTCCTCCCCTTCCTCCCTGAGAGGGCACCTACCGACTGTCACATGACGTCAGGAGCCCCTGCACCTGGGCCGCCCCAACCTCCAAACGCCATGGCCAGGGTCAGGCCTGCACAGACCAGACCCAACCCAACCCGCCCCAGTCCTCCTCCCCCACCCCCACCCCCGACAAGCTGGCCGCCGGCCTGGCCCTGTGCAGCTGAGTGTTTCTGGGTTCAGACAGGGGAAGGACTGGGCAGCAGCCCTGGCTGGGCAGGTGGATGCTGAGGGCCCCAGGAGGGTGCTGAGGGCCCCAGGTGGGTGCCGAGGGCCCCGAGAGGGTGCCGAGGGCCCCGGGCGGGTGCCGAGGGCCCCGGGCGGGTGCCGAGGGCCCCGGGCGGGTGCTGAGGACCCCGGGCGGGTGCTGAGGGCCCCGGGCGGGTGCTGAGGGCCCCAGGCGGGTGCTGAGGGCCCCAGGCGGGTGCTGAGGGCCCTGGCCTCTCAGCCGGTAGAGCTGTCCAGAGTAAAGTGTTTTCGGGGGAGGCTTTTATTTTTTTTACTTTTGCTTTTCTAAGTCACGTCACAAGAGCCGTGTCCAGGACCCCGGAAGCCATACTCACCCAGGTACCCGGGTTCCACCACGTAGACGGTGCCGTTGGGTAGCCTGGAAGCACCCTGCATGCGGATACCTGATTCTTCGTTAAGGGAGAAACAGGACAGCAACCGAGGCAGCTGCAGGCTCCGCCCCACAGAGGAGGGAGGGGGGCAGCCGGGGCCACCACCACCCATCCCGGGAGCTTCTCCAGCAAGTCGCCCACAGAGCCGAGCAATCTCGCTGGTTTTTAGAAACAGGGCTATTTTCAGCTGCGCCTGGCTTCCAGGGAGGAAGGGCTTTGGAACAGAGCTCCGGGCACAGGTCATGCACCTGGGCACACGTACGGCCTGAGGAAAGGATACTCCTGTGGCCGAGGACCAGGCTGCTCTGTCCCAGCTGCAGGGCGGTGACTGTCGACGTGTCCTGAGCCAGGACAGCCACGGGCCGGCCCGGGTCTCCCTCGGGGCCCGGGATGCTGTTCTGCAGCTGCAGCTCATACTGATCCGAAGGCATGGAGAGTTCTGGCCATGAACCCGGAGCACCAGGTGGAGACGGAGTGGGAGAGAGAAAACCGTGGTTAGAGGCCAAGCTCACCCCAAATGCCTCTGCTTTCTTTCATGATTTTTTTTTTAGAGCGAGGGAGAGAGAGGAAGGGAGAGGGAAAGATAAAAACATCGATGAGATGCCCTGGCCGGTTTGGCTCAGCGGTTAGAGCGTCGGCCTGCGGTCCAGAGAGACCCAGGTTCGGTTCCCACTAAGGGCACGTAATTCGGTTGCAGTTTGTCCCCGGCCCTGGTTGGTCATGCGGGTGGCAGCCACTAGATATGTCCCTTCACGTCGATGTTTCTCTCTCTCTCCCTTCCTCTCTCTCCCTCCCACTCTATCTGAACTAAAAATGGAAAAATATCCTCGGGTGAGGATAAAAACAAAAAAAACAAAACATCGATGAGAGAGAACATCGACTGGCCGCCTCCTGCACGCCCCCCACTGGGGATCAGCCCACAACCTGGGCATGTGCCCTGACCGGGAATCGAACCAGCGACCTCTTGGTGCAGGGTCGACGCTCAGCCACGGAGCCACACCCGCCGGGCCCTGCTGCTTTCAACCCCACATTCTAGTAGCATCTCCCCGACTCTGGCAAAGGCAGACGCTCTGTGTGGACGTTTATGTTTTTTCCAGGCTGCTTTTTAAAATTCAGCACAGCCTCCGTCAGAATGCCTGCCCGCAGAACAACATCATCAGACCCGTCTGTGTCCACGGCAGACGGGGGCTCCAGGACGGGCGCCCTGGGTCTGTGCCCGCGGGAGGTTCCAGGAAGGTGCTGGTCCGGGTGCCCCGCGTGGCCGGGGCTCAGTGCAGACTACGGAAGAATCTCCTCGGTGGCTGACGTGACCACCATCCTCCTCCCGCTCGGTGCCAGGTGCAGGGAGAACTGCTCACCAGGGCCGGATGGAAAGGTGCGTCCCGGGAGGAACAGCGGACAGAACCTACCACCTCTGCTCACAGTCGCTCACGTCCATCTCCCCGTTGGGGTGAGATCCCAGCAGATCCCTCCCCCAGGCTCAGAGCCCCCAGCAGAGCCTCAAGGGCTCACCTCAGGGTAAAGGGGAAGAAAGCCCGGCTTTGCTGTACAAAGTTCTCCAAACGAATAGGGATCTTTTAGGAAGTGAATATGAGACACTCTACAGATGTTGCAAACGGATGTACCAACACGGGGTGGGGCGAACATAGGTTCAGTCGTGAGTACGCGAACAGTTCATCCTTGTATTTTCTCTTTTAACTCATCTTTATTGTTGAATGTATTACAGATGTTCTCCCTTTTCCCCCCACTGACCCCCTCCTCCCCTACCCCGCCCCCCTCCTGCCTTCCCCACACTATTGTCGGTGTCCATGGGTTGTGCACATGTGCACAGAAGTTCTTTAGTTTATCTCATCCCTCCCTCCCTGCCCCCGTCCCTTTGAGGTTCATCAGTCTAACAACCAATTTGTACTTCTTACTCCCTTCATATTTTTCACCCATCCCTCCAGCCCCCTCCCATCTGGCAACCAACAAAAAGTTCTGTTTCTGTTCTGCTTGCTCATTTTGTTTGTAGATTCAATTGCGGATAGATACGTATTTATTGCCATTTTATTGTTCATATTTTTGATCTTCTTCTCCTTCAAAAAGACCCTTCAACATTTCATATAATACTGGTTTGGTGGTGATGAACTCCTTTAGCTTTTCCTTGTCTGGGAAACTCTTGATATGTCTGTCCATTGATTCTAAATGACAGCTTTGCAGGATAGAGTCATCTTGGTTGTAGGTTCTTGCTTTTCATCACTCTGAATATTTCTTGCCACTCCCTTCTGGCCTGCAAAGTTTCTTTGGAGAAATCAGCTGACAGTCTTATGGGAGCTCCATGTAGGTAACTAACTGCTTTTCTCCTGCTGCTTTTAAGATTCTCTTTGTGTTTAACCTTTGGCATTTGGATGATGATGTGTCTTGGTGTGGACCTCTTTGGTTCATCTTGTTTGGGACTCTCTGTGCTTCTTGGACTTGAATGTCCTTCACCAAGTTAGGGAAGTTTTCTGTCATTATTGTTTCAAATCGTTTTCGATTTCTTATTCTCGCTCTTCTCCTTCTGGCACCCCCGTGATGTGGGTGTTCTTGAAGTTGTCTCAGAGGATCCTTACACTATCCTCATTTTGGGGGTGCTTTTTTCTTTTTGCTGTGCTGATTGAGTGTTTTTTGCTTCCTTATATTCCAAATCGATGGTATTCTTCCTGGCTTTACATGGTCTACTATTGATTCCCTGTAAATTATTTTTTATTTCAGTTACTGCATTCTTCACTTCTGACTGGTCCTTCTTTATGTTGTTGATGTTCTCACTAAGTTCCTTGAAGTTCTCATTAAGATTCTTTTTTTTTGTTTGTTTTTTTATCCTCACCCGAGGACATTTTTCCATTTTTTGTTCAGGTAGAGTGGGAGGGAGAGAGGAACAGAGAGAGAGAGAGAGAAACATCGACGTGAAAGAAACACATCGAGTGGCTGCCACCCGCACAACCGACCAGGGCCGGGGACAAACTGCAACCGAGGTACGCGCCCTTAGCGGGAACCGAACCCGGGTCTCTCAGGACCGCAGGCCGATGCTCTAACCGCTGAGCCAAACCGGCCAGGGCTCTCATTAAGATTCTTGAAGGTCTCCTTAAGTTCCATGAAGGTGTCACTAAGTTCCTTGAGCAACCTTATAGCCAGTGTTCTGAACTCTGCATCTGTTAGGTTGCTCATCTCCATTTCATTTAGTTCTTTTCCTGGAGTTTTGTTCTGTTTTTTTTATTTGGGACATGTTTCTTGGTCTCCTCATTTTGGCTGCTTCCCTGTGTTTGTTCTTATGTAATAGGTAGAGTTGCTATGTCTCCCAGGCTTCCTAGGGTGGCCTATTGTACTAGGTGTCCTGTAGGATCCGGTGGCACAGCCTCCCTGGTCACCCAGCTGGGCCCTCAAGGTGCACCTCTCATGTGGACCGTACACCCTCGTGTTGTAATTGAGCCTTGATTGCTGTTGGCATGTCAGTGGGAGGGATTTACTCAGGCTGATCAGCTGCAAGGACTGGCTGTGCCCACTGCCCACTGGCCTCTGACTCCCTTGGAGGATCAGCTGTGCAGGGCCCACCACACTGAGCAAGACTGACCTCAGCAGGGCTCTGGTACGCACTGAGTCCTCATTGAGTGTGTTACTCGTGGAGGTGGTTGAGTGTTGGTGCTTCGACATGGTCTGAGGCTGTCCACTGGGTGTGCTGGCTCTGGGGCAAGGTCAGCCACTGCCTGTGTTCTACCCGAGGTCACCAGGCTTAAGCTACAGAGTGATCTGCAGATGGTGCTTCTTGTGCTGGGCTTGGAGGTGTCCAGGCAAAGCCAAGCTGTGACCCAAGGCTGGCTGCTCCAGGCCACTTAACGAGAGGTATGGGGCTTGCTGAGACCAGATGCTGCTTGTTTGAGAGAATTTGGGATATCTGAAGCAGGATCCCAAAAGGCCAATCCTATGGTAAAGCTACTGGCAACAGCTTGGGTGGGCCTGAAAGTTGGGTGGGGCGGGGCCTCAGGGAATCACCAGGGCGGGGCCAACAGTGTGAGCCAGGTTGCTGGAGTCCCAGATATGGGGCCTGTCTGCCTGCCCCAGGGAAGGGCTTAGCAAAGGAACAAAGGCCTCTAACAGCCCATCTGTCCAGGAGAAAGCCCCCTCTCCAGCCCTCGCCCTGATGCCAAACAGCTCAGTTCTTCCCTGGACGTCTCTGGTGTCCCTTGAGCTGCCTCCTCTCCAAACTTAGAGGGAGCGAGTCTGACTAGTCTGTGCGCAGGCCCTTGAAGAGGAGCTGCCTGGGGCTCCCGCAGCCTCAGCCTCCCTGAGCCTCATTCCCACTGGTTTTACAGCCAGAAGTGATGGGGATTCTCTTCCTGGCACTGGGACCCTGAGCTGGGCGCCTGGTGTGGGACGGGGACCCCCCAGTCCTCAGAAGGGACCTTCCCAGCCAAGGTGTCCCCTGATTTTTATCCGCCACACATGGGTGTGGGACCAGCCTGCCCCTCCGCCCTCCTACCCGTCTCCATGTGGTTCTGCTTCAATCTCGTGGCTGTAGGACTCCATCCAGCTTGGGGTCAGGTGGTTCTGAAGATGGTGGTTCTGTAGCTCAGTTGTCATTTCGATGTGGTCGTGAGGGGAGGCGATACCATGTTTACCTTCCCGCCACCCTGAGCAGAAGTCTAATTTCATTTTTTAACTTTATTTTATTGTTGACACGACAGCAGATGCCCCATCCCCTTCCCTCTGACCAGCTGCTGTCTGTGTCCATGGGCTATTCATCTATGTTCTTGGGGGACCCTTCACCTTCTTTCATCCGATCCCCCCTCCCCAACCCCTCCATGCCTGTTTCATTGTTATTAATTATTGTATTAGTTCCATGTGAACAATGATCAACCTACTTTTCCCACCACGTATATACAAAACCCTAAAACGACTAAAAGAAGGAGCTCGGCAGGCTCCTTCAATGCCTCTTGCAATGCAGAACTCACGACCTGTCAAAGGCACCGAACGTGGGAGGCTTTGCAGATGTTCGGGGTCTCTGTCCACAGACAGGGCAGCAGCTCCTGGGGTCTCAGTCCAGCGTCTGCAGAGTGGACGGCCAACCCACGGCGCCCACACACTCTCCAGGAGACACGGCCTCTTCCCCTCCCAACGCTGGCTGGCTCTCCTGCCCCCGAGCTGAGGCTCCTGCGTGGGGGGCTGGGGCCCGGGGTGGCAGGGATGGCCCTGCTCCGCAGCCCTGAGGGTCAGCCCCGAGCAGCCACGGTCAAGGGCGTGCTGGGTCCCAAGTTCCTTCTGCACCTGGGTCTCTGGCCCAGGACCCCAGCCCACATCCGTCCACACGGTCGGTTTCCCAAACCTCAGCTCACTTCACATCGGTCATTCCCACCCGCCAATCACTCAGGTTCTTCCCAGGTACCGACTCCACCAGCCAACGTGCCCTTCCCGCAGTTCACCCTGAATAAGGACCTGGCTGCCGTGCCCCCCGGGTCGGCAGGAACCCAGATGGAACAGGGGCGGCCGCACAGAGGCAGACAGACAGGCATCGGTTGAACAGGGAAGGGGGCAACCCATCCACGGGTCTCTCTCACATCAAGGACTCCCTCTCTCTCCTCCTCCCTCCCTTCCACTCTCTCTAAAAATTAATGGAAAAGTATCCTCGAGTGAGGATAAGTTTAAACAAGGAAAGGAGTAAGTTTCGATACACGGATGAACCCGGAGGACATTCTACAACCTGGAATGAGCCTGTCACAAGATGACAGGTGCGGTCGGATTCCCCGTATCGGAGGTACTCGGAGAAGTCAAGTCCAGAGACAGAAATCAGAGCGGCGGCCGCGGGCGAGGGGACAGGGCATCAGTTTTACAAGATGAAAGTCTGGAGTTGACAGCGGTGAAGGGGGCCCAACGGGAGGGTGTCCTAACGCCCCAGAACCGCACGGTCAGAGGGTCCACCTGTCAGTCAGTGGTGGACGGCGCACGTGTGCCGGGGCCGTGACTCACCTGTGATCCGTCCCTGCCTGATCTTCTGCACCTTGTAGCGGATGGACGTGCCTACCAGCAGGTAAACGTCAGAAGCCGGGTTCAGGAGGATGTTCTCCAAGATCAGCAGCCTGACCTCCGCGGGGTGGACGTTCTTGGCACAAAGAGCAGAGAAGGTGAGACAGGGAAGTTGGGGTGAAATCCGAGGCGGTGCCTCGGGCTCCCGGACCCCAGGGGAACCGGGCGCGTGCGGCAGGTGTGTGTGCGTCACAGCTCCACTCACAATAATATTTAAACAGAAAGAGACTTGAGCAGCCGGGAGCAACTCCCACGGACCCTGTGGTCACCGGGGTCAGGGGTTCTCCCCACAGACGCCCCAAAGGCCAGCAAGATTGGGGAGCCTCGGGCACACCTGGAAAGGCAGAGGCCTGTGTCCCTGGACACACTCAGGCCCTGCTCCTCGGCGCCTCCCTGCCCACCGCTCAGCCCCCCCCCACCGCCTCATCAGTGGCCCGAGGGGACCCAGACGGCCTGTGGGGACACCAGGGGCCGTGGGGCCCGCACCTCCCTCTGCCCTCTGGCTGCCCAGCAGCTGTGCCAGTCGGAGAAAACAGATGGCAAAGCCGACGACCCTCGTCCACAGACAGACCCCCACCTTCTCTGGAGCAGGTGCGACCGCTGACCACCCAGTGGACGGTGACCAGCTCTGCACCTATTCACAGATTGTGTGGGTTCTCTCCCTTTTTGCTTTATTGATTTTAGAGAGAAAGGAAGAGAGAGGGAGAGACATAGAAACACTGATGAGAGGGAACATCGACTGGCTGCCTCCTGCACGCCCCCCACTGGGGATCAGCCCACAACCTGGGCATGTGCCCTGACCGGGAATCGAACCAGTGACCTCTTGGCGCAGGGTCGACGCTCAACCACTGAGCTTGGCTGTGTCCCCACACTGGGACAGGGGCACTTGTGGAAAATGAGCTCCTTAATGCCCTGGCCGGTTTGGCTCAGCGGTTAGAGCATCGGCCTGCGGTCCAGAGAGTCCCGGGTTCGGTTCCCGCTAAGGGCACGCACCTCGGTTGCAGTTTGTCCCCGGCCCTGGTTGGGTCGTGAGGGTGGCAGCCACTCGATGTGTCCCTTTCACACCGATGTTTTTCTCTCTCTCTCCCTCCCACTCTATCTGAACAAAAATGGAAAAATGTCCTCGGGTGAGGATAAAAGAAAAGAAAATAAACTCCTTAACGAGAACCCCAGTGCTCCTGAACCTCCCTCGACAGAGAAGGAACAGACGCCCTGTGAACCCCCACGGTGCCCTCTGCCGCCCCGGCCGCCTCCCCGAGCTGTGGCCACAGACATGAACCGAAGAGAAGGTGGAATCGCACCCCAGAGCTCCCCTCTCATGAACAGACACGTCGCGGTAGGGCCGTCACCTCTGCGACTGCACGTGTGCCTGGGGTGCACAGCCGGCCGGCGCCCACTCTCCCACACCCCGGGCCCACCTTGTACACGGCCTCCTGGATGCGGGCCTTGAGCTTGGAGCTCCCGGTCTTCATCCCGGACACCAGGATGGTGTCCCCCTGCTTGGCCACCTTCTCCATCTCGGATATGTAGGAAGGAGGCGTGTACGTCGACTCCAGGAAGGGGAGGATTCTGGGAAGACACAAGGGGTCCAACCTGACGTGTGGAACCAAAGGCCCTGACACATGCCCCGCCCACCGGGACGTCCCGGGAGGGGCCGGACGCCGAAATAAGGGTGCTGCCCAGGGGTCGCTGCTTAGAAATGTGTCCCTGAAAATTCCCACGTGGGAACTGCCGACGTCCTTTGAAAAGGGCAGGTTCTCGGCCCCCGGGCCAGGCCTCTGTCTGCGCTTTCTCCGAATCTGCACGTGATGTTGATCGACACTGAACTGTGAGGATCAGCCCTCGGTAGAAATGCTTCCCTCGCGCAGATGCGACCAGGCCCGGGGAAGCCGCGCAGCAGGCCCAGGCCAGCGGGGTGCAGTCAGAGGGGCCCATCGGGCACCCGGGCCGCCTGCATGTTTCAGCCCCTCCCTGGACGAGCTCCTGCCGCTGGAGAACGGGCCTCAGTGACCCCTCAGGCATCAGGGCGCGGACATCGCCTCACTTCGAGTCCCTCCTGGGGCCGGCCCTGGGGAGAAGCCCAGCGTGTTGGTGGCCAGTCCAGGCGCCTTGAGGGCCCCTGTGCAACCGCCTCTTCCTCGCAGCCTGGGGTCTACAAGCCAGCACCCCTCTCTCGCCTGAGCCCAGGTCTGCCTCCTGCTCTGCCTCAGCGGTGGCACAGGCCGCGTTTGCTGAACAGCTGGGACGTGGGTCCCACGCACCTGAGTGCCTGGCACCTCAGGCAACAACGGCCTCAGACCCGGGTGACTGGAAGCTCCTCCTGACGGCAAACAGGCCGGTTGGGCCAAAAGGGGCCGGGAACAGCGCCCCCTGAACAGCTGGTGCGCACGAGGCCCGGGAAGGGCCCTGGACACCGTCCACGTGCTGACCCAGACGGCCACCGTCCGCGGGACACAGCTACCCCATCCAACGCCCCGCGGCCGCTCTCCTTCCCTGAGGCCGCCGGTGGAACCCAGATCTCGGACTGACAAGCCCGTGTTCCCGGCTTTAGGAGACGCCGGCGGTTCTCTTCCGGGGAACAGCACAGCCCCAGGCCCTGGGAGAGCTCCCACCCAGGGCCTCCGGGTGCAGTCAGGACCTGGGCATGGCCACCAGGACACGCTGTGAGCCTGGGTGCTCCCAGAGCCCTACGCTAGGTTTCTGTTTCCCTTTACTGATGTTAGAGAGAGAGGAAGGGAGAGGGAGAGAGAGAAACATGGATGAGAGAGAACATGGACTGGCCGCCTCCTGCACGGCCCCCACTGGGGATCAGCCCACAACCTGGGCATGTGCCCTGACCGGGAATCGAACCCGCGACCTCTTGGTGCAGGTTCGATGCTCAGCCTGCACTGAGCCACGCTGGCCGGGCCCTGAGCTAGACTTTTAAAGGTATAAATAAATGGCAGACTCTGAACTGCCCACGAAATACGTACTAATTGCCAGGGGGTACAAGACTGACTTCATAACGGGGCCCCTCGCGGACATTCTACCCAAGTGATGACTGCGATGGACCCCAATAAATCGTGATATGACGCAATTAGAAGAATACGAATCTCACTTGTTTTATGTTCCTGCCAAAGATGCAACACACCGAGTCTAATCAGGAGCAATCAGCAGACAAACGCAAAATGAGAGACCGTCTGCGAAAGAGCTGGACTGACCTTCACAAGGGTCAAGGTCCCGAAAGTCATGACCGTGCAACGGGTCCAGGCTGAGGGAGACGAAGGGACGGGACAACAGGTTGGGGCTCGGGCTGGGATGTGCCACCAAGGATGCAATTGGATAAGTGTCAAATCTGAACGAGGCCTCGCGAGCATCCGTGTCCACCCGCGAGCATCCGCGCCCCAGGCCACACCGTGGAGAAGCAGGTGACATGAAGTCACCAGGGTGACAGGGAGACGGGCCGGCAACCTGGACTCCCACACTTAGGGCCGCGATGCTCAGCCTTGTTCAGCTCGGGGCACATACACGAATCACTAACATTCTGTGGCGCACCAAAAGGCGTGTTCTATTCTCTGTCGATCTGACACAAAATAACAGGTGTGATTGTGATGCACCGACACCGGACGGCTATGGTCCTGTGGGCTGCTGCCAGTTTTCCGTTTGACCGTCTGAGAAATGCAGCCCGTGCCCCGACGAAACAGTCAGGTGATGCACGTGTTAGACATTCTTGCCGCTGAAAACCGCCGGTTCAGGGAAACCCACCTTCGTACTGTTCTTGCAACTGTTCCGTAGGCTGGAAACAGCTGCAGAATTTTTTTAAAATTTGGTTTCCCTCCCCAGAAAGGGACGGTAGTCTGTTGAAGCCGACTTGATAAAACACGAGACGTGTAGTAGGGCAGACCCCAGCCCCGGGTGTGCGCCCTGCCCAGGACCTGCAGCGGGACGGACACGCTGCACCCACCCCGCCACGGCTACGAGCAGGGACCTCTGGCGCGTGGGCGCTGCAGGCAGCTCGAGCGCCTCCGGACTGAGCTCCCCGGTCGCCTCCTTCAGATGCAAACGGCCGGGCCGGGGTGGCAGCCACCACACTGCCTTGTGCAGCCGTCTGCAGATCTGAGTTCGAATCCTCGCTCTGCCTTCACCAATCGGAGACAAACGGCTCCGCCCCTCCGTTTCCATCTGAGCCGCGTGGCTGCCGGGAGCAGAGGCTGAGTCGAGACGGGGAGGAGGGGTCCGTCGGTACCCCTGGGGCTGCGAACACAGCCTCTCGCACCTGCTGGGGTGTCCTCTCGGCCGAAACCTGTCCCCCGTTAACTGACCCCCAACAGGAGGCTGCCCTCTGGGGCCACACAGAACCCTTCCCCTGCACCCCATTACCTGGGACACCTTCTCTCTTCTGCAGCTGGACCCCCAGCCTCCTTGACAACTTCCTGCAGAGCCCCCCCACCCCGTGGCTGCAAAAGCATCAACATTCCTGCCCAACAGTGGGGGCCAAAGCGCTGCCCCAAAATCGGTCCAGGGGGATGCCGGCTGGCACCCCGGCACGCGCCCCTCGCTGACACCCCCTCCCAATGCCCTGCCCAGGGGAGGGCCTCACCGCAGTGCGTTGTGGGAGTCGGAGAACCGGCTGCTCCCCTCCGTGTCCTTCACGATCGTCCAGTCAAACACCAGCCCGGCCAGCGTGCTGAATGTGTTCCCTGGGGGAGCAGACGGGAGCAAACTCGTGAGTGGATCCCCGGCCCGGGGAGGGAGAGCCCAGGGCCCCGAGGGAGCCGGGGTCTCCGGAGGGGAAGGGACCGAGGCGGCAGGGCCCGTGTCCCGGGCTGAGCTGGACCCGGCCTGTCCCGATGCCTTTGGACCCGTGACCCAGGGTGTGGCCGATGGACAGCCGGCCCTGCTCGAAAGTCTGAGGACCCGAGCTCCAGGGCTCTACGCCCTCCCGTGGCCAGCGGCCAGCTCGGCCTCTCCAGAGGGGCCTGACCTCAGGCACGCCGCACCCCCACACCTGTCGTCCACACCACTGCACCTCTGCCCGCCCCATCTGACCATCCCCAGCAGGGCCTCTGGGGCCGGGAAAAGCTTTTCACAGCTCGGCCTTCGGGGTGAGATCGGACGGGGCTCCGGCCCGCAGGCCTGCTGGACGGTCAGAGGCCCCGACACACCGGGCTGAGCAGAAGCTCCTCAGGGCATCTGTGGGGGGGCCGGTCCTCACAGCTCCCTGCGCGTCTTCCCATCAGAGACCCACGCACGGGGCTGACGACGGGCAACAGAGAGGGACCAGGGCAGGGGCCAGGGGAGGCAGCCACAGGGACCCTGCCCCTCCGCCCAGACTGGACCCCAGCCCAGCGAGCGGGCAGCCAGCTGACCACACCCAGCACGGCCCTCCCACCGCACAGCAGGTGCTCGGTGAATGATTCTGAGCAAAAAAAGGTCTGTGATTTCTTAAAGCCCAAAGCGTGTTGACGGAAGTCGACGGCCTTCCCAGTGTCTGGACGCTCGGTAAGAAGGGAGCCCGTAAAACCACGCGAGGGAGTATTCGGCCGTCCAGCCTGAGGACACCGCTCCCTGCCGCCGGACCAGGCCTTTCCGGCTCAGCCAGGGCGGCAGCTGCCACCCCAACACAGCCGTCCCTGTTTCAGGGTTCCCTGGGGAACCTTCCTCCACCGCTGAGCCGAAATGGGGTCCCTGAGGCCGAGCCAAGCACGCCCAGTCCGCAGCGACGGCGAAAGAACGCCCAGAGATCCAACACGGCGGCGGCTGACGAAGCGTCCAAGTCCAAACGCCACGGAGGTGCGCGAGAACCTCCCGGGGCACCTCCAAGCCGTGAGGCAGGAGCGAAACCGCCCATCGGGGGGTTGCCGGGACGGTGGAAGGGCGAGGCCCCCCAAGGCGCAGGGCAGCGCTGGCCGCCGGGGAGCAAGGGCCGTTCACAGCGGCCTCCGAGGACGAGACGGCTGTCCTCTGCAAGTTCCAACGAGAGGACGGACGGACGGACGGCAGTTCCGAGAGCAGAAAGGGTCCTGAGCCTCTGTCTCACCCACTTGGGCCGATCAGGGCCGCCCACGGCCTGCAGGGCTCCAGCAATGAAGTGGGGGAGGGGCCGGGAGGGGAGGCTGGAAGGACACAGAGGCCCCAGAGCACAGAGCCGGCCTGAGGCAGCCGGACGCCCAGGGAGCTGGCGGAGCCTACGAGGCCCCCGGAGGCCCCCCCACCACCTGGGGCACATGGGGGCCGGGCAGCTGCCAGGTCCAGGCTCCCCCCTGCCAGGTGCCAGACCCACAACCACGTCCCGCTGGAGCAGGCTCTGGGGAAACTGAGGCAGGCATGTCTCCTTCCCACCATGAATACCCTGTACGCACGTGCGCCGGGTGTGCTGGGTGCTGGGGAGCTAGGACCCCACGCTCCCTGACATACCCCAGGGCACACGACGACCCACCTGACCCTCCCGCCCAGTCCCGCCACCACGTCCAGTCTCTGGCGGCAGAGTCCCTGGGCGAGGACGGGACGGAGAGGCCAGGGCACCAGGGTCAGGAAACCGGAGCTCACACCCCAGGAGGCCGGCAGGCGGGCGGGACGCAGGCCCCCAGCCCACGACGCACGTTCCACGGTCCCTGCAGGTCCCATTCGCAGGACCCCGTTCAGAGATGAGTGTATCAGGGGTTTCAAGAGGGAAACACCCAGGTGTGAAGCCTGGGGCCCCCCTGAGCAGGGGCCCTGTGAAAGGGGACGGGCAGGAAAGGGGGTGGCTGTCCAGTAAGTGAGGAGGGCACCCCTCAGACTGACAGGTTCAGCAAGAATTTGTGGGGTTGGCTAGGGAAGGGGGGGGTCAAAAAATTTCTGCCTGAAGTGTTGCTTTTTCCACTCAAAAAGGAGCTATGAGCACCCACGACGTGACACAGGCCAGCCTCACAGCCAAGAGCCAACATGGAGGAGAAAACCCAGGTCCAGTCTCGGGGGCTGCACCTCCCGTCCCGTCCCGTCCCGGGGACAGCGGAAAACATTAAGCGATTCAACTAACAAACACCTGCCAAGTACCTGCGGGGCCCAAAGTCCAGCGGCAAACAGAAGAGCCAGAAGAAGGAAGTCGCCCCGTTGTGCCCTCCAAGGGCTGCACTGGGCAGAGTCAGAAGTGCCTGGGGGGGAGGGGGACACCAACTCCAGCAGGTACTAGGCACACGGACCCCAGCCCCTGCCAGCCCCCCACCCAGGTAAAGCACTTTGGCAGGAAACAGGCGACGTGCCCTGGGGGACAAGAGCTCCGGTGTCCAAGTGAGACACCCTGAGTTCCTACCCACACGCTGCACCCGCGAGGTCAGAGCTATGTGGCCTCGGGCCCGTTACTCCAGCTCTCTGGGCCTCTGCGTCCTGGTCTACGCAACAGGCATCACCCCTGGGAGGGAATGACGGCGGCGTCGAGGGCCGGCCCGTCCACGGGACTCGGGGCACCGGACAGTGCTTCCCGAGCTGCACGCAGACTCTCCGGCACACACCCGCCGTCTGGATGAGGTGCGTCCCTTCTGAGACGCTCGGAGGTCAGGTTCACCTTCACGAAGGAGGCTGTGCCCGGGGAGAAGAAAGAAGAGACCACTGAGGTTCCAGTCCAAGGGTCCTGGGCGAGGACGACCAGCCAGGACGCGGGACTCACACTCGGCCACGGGGAGGGCGGACAGGTGGAGCTGACCAGCGTCCGCCGCCGGCTGGCGAGCCCAGCCTTCCTGCTCCGGAACCGGCCTCATGCACCTCGAAGCCTTCCGAGTGTGCGAGGTGCCTGCCAAGGGCCATGGGCGTCGGTGCCACAGGGACGGGCCGGGACCGGCTGCCTCCCACCCCGACGTCCCTGCCCGAGGGAACAGGACACACACCCAGCGGAACCGGAAAAGTGACTTCAACATGACCAAACTGTAACAAAACAGATAACAGCAGCCATGCCAGCCAGGACGTGGAGAGTGGAGGAGTCCTGGGGGGCTGGGGAGAAAGTCCAAGGGCACGGCCGCCCCCCACGACCCAGCCGCTGCAGCCCTAGGTCTACACCCGAGACCCCGGCCCTCGCACACTCTGCTCAGCGCCAGGCAGTCACCAAAGGCCACAGCTGTCTGAGTCCGTCCACACGAAGTGTCCACCAGCCCAGGACGTGGGTTGGTGGTTGCCCGGGAGGGAGCGAGGCAGCAATGGGAGGTGACTGCGGAGGAGGTGGGTCTCCTCTGCAGAAAGATGGATGTTCGACCAGAGGTGGGGGGATGTGATTTTGTGACCACGTCAACAACCCCCTGAATTATACGCTTCAGACAGGTGAACTTCGTGACATAAAATATTGATCAAAAGAAACTTCCTTTCCCCACAAAATCGGTTTTATGTCATTTTATTATTTTATTTTTTTATTCTCACCCAAGGACATATTTTCATTTTTTGTTCAGACAGAGTGTGAAGGAGAGAGAAGGAGAGAGAGAGAGAGAGAAACATCGACGTGAAGGGACACATCGAGTGGCTGCCACCCGCACGACCAACCAGGGCCGGGGACAAACTGCAACCGAGGTACATGCCCTTAGCGGGAACTGAACCCGGGTCTCTCCGGACCGCAGGCCGACGCTCTAACCGCTGAGCCAAACTGGCCAGGGCTCTGAACAGTTTTATTACAGCACAGCCTCGCCCGCTCACCCGCCTCCGGAAGACCACCTGGGAGCCGATGGCAGGCTGAGCGGCCGCGACGCGGACGCGGACGGCGGAGTCTAGGACGTCCGTCACCTGGCCTTTCGTGGTGACTCCAGCCCCAGAGAGCGGACCCTGGGGACAGGCTGGAGCGCAGACTCGGGGTCTGCCTCACCCTCAGACACGTGTGTGTGCGTGTGTGTATGTGCATCTGCGTGTGTGTGCGTGTGCGTGTTCACTCCCTGTGCCGGGCTCAGCACCTGGACCTGAAATGACCTGGAAAACACAAGTGGTCAGAGGAGGCCTGGCCCCTGTGTGGACTCACACTGCGGCCCCACCCCCAGCCCACCCAGAGCCCTCAGGGGAGCAGCGCTGGTCACCTCACTGCACAAGCCCCTCCCTCAGCTCCTGGGCTCCCCGCTCCCAGCCAAGAGCAGAGCCCACACCCGACACACAGGACCCTTCCCCTGTCTGAGCTCATCTCTTCCAGAGCAAAACGGCTCCCCTGCCCGCAGCCCACATCCCCAAGGCCCAGGCAACCCCGTGTCTTCCCGGGAACTGTCCTGGCCTCTGCCCTCACACCCCACCTCCTACTTCCCCGGGGTTGGCTCCCCCAAACTCTGGTCCATTCACACTTTGCCTCTGATCTGACTCTAAACAGCACCAGCTGAGATGCGTAGGTGCATTTACTCACACACGGACGTCCCCAAATTCTGGGAGCAGAGGCCAGGCCGTCCATCCTGGTCCCGGGCAGCACCCCCAGGCCCTGGCAGAACACCCAGTGGGAGAAAGTGCTCGGACGCCACTTCGCTTACTGAGTACTCGCTATGGGCCACCCCGCACTGACCTGACCACCCCTCCCAGCCCTCCACCCGCACTGACCCGACCGCCGCTCCCAGCCCCCCGACTGTCCCACTCTGACAGAACAGAGCAGCTAGGCAGCTCAGCTGACGAATGAACACACCGAGGACGGGAGGGTCGGGCCGGGGCTCCAGAACCGCAGCCCTGCCCCTCCCAAGGGACACCTGGCACTGACGGGGTGTGTCTGGCTGGTGAACTTGGGGAGCTCTGCTGCCGTTCAGGGAGTGGAGACCAGGGGTGGCACCAAACATCCTACGATGCGTTAGACAGCCTTTCACCGCAAAGAATCATCTCCCCCGAATGTCCACACCGCCGACACCGAGAAACCCCGATCTAGAGAATGTTTTCTCAAAGCAGAGGGTTGGGGGGCTGGCGTGGCCAGGGCAGATTTCAAAGACAAGGATGATTTGAACTTGAAGTTTTAGGCAATCCTTCGCCTAAATGTGTAAATGTCCAGTCACTCTGGGGTACACCGGAAACTAGTATTTTTAAACCCCATTTTTTAAAGTAATTTTTTATTTCAATTATAGCTGACGTACACTATTATATTAGTTTCATGAGTACACCCCAGTGACTAGACATTACATAACTACTCGGTCATCACCCTGATGAATCTCGTACCCATCTGACACCATTCACGGTTACTGCAGTATCACGGACTGTATTCCCTGTGCTGTACTTTACATCCACACGGGTGCTCAGTAACCACCACTTTGTATTTCATAATCCCTCCACCTTTTCCACCTGTCCTCCCAGCCCCCCGCCCCTCAGACAACCGTCAGAATGTTCTCTGTACCCACGAGTCGGTTTCTGTTCTGCTTACTCATTTATTTTTAGATTCGATTGTCGACAGGTACGTATTTATTGCCATTTTATTGTTCATATTTTTGTTGTTGTTCTTCTTCTTCAAGAAGACCCTTCAACATTTCATATAATACCGGTTTGGTGGTGATGAACTCCTTTAGCTTTTTCTTGTCTGGGAAACTCTTGATATGTCCGTCGATTTTAATAACAGCTTTGCAGGATAGAGTCATCTTGGTTGTAGGTCACTGCTTTTCATCACTTTGAATATTTCTTGCCACTGCCTTCTGGCCTGCAAAGTTTCTTTGGAGAAATCAGCTGACAGTCTTATGGGAGCTCCCTTGTAGGTAACTAACTGCTTTTCTCTTGCTGCTTCTAAGATTCTCTCTTTGTCTTGAACCTTTTGCATTTTGATGATTATGGGTCTTGGTGTGGGCCTCTTTGGTTCATCTTGTTTGGGACTCTCTGTGCTTCCTGGACTTTGTGTCTGTTTCCTTCACCAAGTTAGGGAAGTTTTCTGTCATTATTGTTTCAAACAGGTTTTCAATTTCTTACTCTCTCTCTTCTTCTGGCACCCCTATGATGCAAATGTTGGCACGCTTGAAGTTGTCCCAGAGGCTCCTGTACTATCCTCATTTTTTTGGATTCTTTTTTCTTTCTGCTGTTCTGAGTGGGTTTTTGCTTCCTAATATTCCAAATTGCTGATTTGATTCTTGGCTTCATCTAATTACTGTTGATTCTCTGTAAATTATTCTTCATTTCAGTGAACGTAGTCTTCATTTCTGACTGGTCCTTTTTTATGCTGTTGAAATTCTCCTAAGTTCGTTGAGCATCCTTGTAATCATTATTTTAAAAATGGTTTTATAGATTTTTTAGAGGGTGAGGGGAAGAGAGACATAGAAACATGTTTGTGAGAGAGAAACATCGATTGCACACCCCCTCCAGGGATCGAGCCCTATACCCAGGTTTGTGCCCTGACCTGGAATCAAACTGGGACCTCTCGGTCCACGGGACGAAGCTCAATCCACTGAGCCACACCAGCCAGGTCAGTGTCTTGAACTCTCCATCTGGTAGATTGCTTGTCTCCATTTTGTTTCGTTCTTTTCATGGAGTTCTGTTCTGTTCTTTCGTTTTAAACATGTTTCCTTGTCTCCTCATTCTGGCTGCCTCCCTGTGTTTGGTTCTATGTATCCAGCAGAGCTGCCCCGTCTCCCGGACTTGGCAGACTGGCCTCATGTCGTAGGTGTGCTGCAGGGTTTGTGGCACAGCCTCCCCAGTCTCCAAAGTTGGACACTTGAGGGACACTTCCTTGCGGGCTGTGCACGCCCTCCTCTTGTAGTTGAACCCTGACGGCTGCTGGTACCTCAACGGGAAGGATTTACTCCCAGGCCAGTCAGCTGCAACCACCAACCACTGACCTCCAACCACGGAGGAGGATCCGCTGTGCAGGGGCCCTCCCTACAGAGTAGGGTTTGGGTACCCCTTGAGTGTGTCGCTAGTGGAGGTGGTTGGGTGGTGGTGCTTCGACGTGGCCGGAAGCTGTCCACTGGGTGTGCTGGCTCTGGGGCCTCCCAGGAGGTGCAGACCAAGTCGGCCACCACCTGTGATCTCCCCGGGATACCAAGTATAAGTTACAAAGCATCTGCAGACGGCTGCGCCTTGTGCTCCGCTTGGTGCCCTGATGAGGCCAAGCTGTGAACCAAGGCCGGCTGCTACTAGTGCCAGGCCGGGGCCCACTCAGAGACAGGCACAGGGTTCGCTGAGGCCAGATGCTGCTTGTTTGAGAGAATTCAGAAAATTTGCAGCAGGAGCCAAGACAGGCCATTCATACTGAAAACAACTGGAAACAGCCTGGGGCGGGGCCTCAGGGAATCACCAGGGCGGGGCCAACTGTGGCTCCCAGAGCTGGCTGGGGGGGGGGGGGCGCTCATCAGAGAACTGTGGCCTCTGCCAGCTCTTTGTTTGGAGAAAGGGCCCCCCCAGCTCTGGTCCTGACTCTGGACAATTCAGTTCCTCCTCGTGTGTCTCTGGTGCCTTTCCCGCTGCCGCCCCTGTGCTGGACCCCAGAGGGACTGAGTCTGCCCTTTGGGTTTTAGAGACGGGGGGGGGGGGGACATCGATGTGAGAGGAAAAATGATCAGCTGCCTTCTGGTATGTGCCCCAACGGGGGACTGAACCTGCAACCTGGGTACATGCCCTGACTAGGAATCGAACTCACAACCTTTCATCATTGTACAGGACGATGCTCCAACCAACCGAGCCATCCTGGCCAGGGCTGCGCGGGCCCTTTAGGAGGAGCTGCCTGGGGCTCCAGCAGCCTCAGCCCCCCTCAGCCTCAGTTCCTACTGGTTTTCCAGCCAGAAGTGATGGGGATTCTCTTCCGGGCACTGGGACCCTGAGCTGGGTGCCTGGTGTGGGACGGGGACCCCTCAGTCCTCAGGGAGGACCTTCCCAGCCGAGGTGTCCCCCTCATTTTCATCCACCACACGTGGGTGTGGGACCAGCCTGTCCACCTCCCTCCTACCCGTCTCCATGTGGTTCTGCTTTAATCCCGTAGCTGTAGGACTCCATCCCCCAGCCCCCGGCCCCCCACCTGAAACTAATGTCGTATCGTATGTGAACCGTAATTGAGAAATACATTTCTTAAATAAGTGCACTACATTTAATTTAAAAAGAAAAGAAAAAGAGAATCTAAACGACACATATTCCCTGCGTCCCTTCACCACAAGGTCAGACTACAGTCTGTCCACCGCCAGAGACTCTAGGAAGAGTCCTGGCCCAGGGCAGCTGGTGGTCCACTCTGGTGAGCCGACAGGGCATGGGGCCAGCCACCCCCACCTACACCCCCACACCTACACCCCCACACAGTGACACACACACACTGACACACTCGCACACACTCACACTCACTCTGCCACAGACCAGGAGCCACATCATCACTCGGCCCAGCAAGGAGCACACTCCTGTTTCTAACCTGCTGAGCCAGGAGACCCTCCTGCTTCCCAAGAGGGGCCTTTACCGAACAGAACCCCTGTGCACAGGCCTGGAGTCGCCCCAGGACTGCGAGAGCTCCCAGCCCCTCAGGACGCGTGCAGAGACCCGTGTGCACCAGGGGCCTGGCCTCCCTGCCCCGGGCCGGGATGTACCTCCGGGGGGGCCGGAGCTCTCCACGCCGCTCCCCTCCCCCCGCGCCGACCCCCTGTCCTGGCTGGAGCAGCCTCTGTGGGGAGCAGGGGGCCAGACCCAGGCCGGAGAGAAAGGGGCTGACGGGGGACATCACCTTCCGAGTCCAGCGCCTGGATCTTCAGCTCCAGGGGCGAGTCCTCCAGGTACAGCTCGCGCGTGGTGGACACGATCTGGATGCCGTGGATGAGGTCGACGATGGCGTCACAGCGCAGCACCTGGCCGGAGGCTGAAGGGACGGGACCGAGGTCAGGCGGAGGGCCGCGCCGTGGCTGCCCCCACCTCCTGGGCCTACAGGTCAGGGGCTCCCACAGGTCGGCAGATACCGGAGCAACCAACGGAACAAGCTGGAAGGGCCCGGTGCCGTCTCGGAAGCCAGGACGCCGGCCAGCCCAGGCCCTTCTGAGAGCCAGTGAGACGGCCAGGCCGTGAGCCCTTTGGGGACATGCCCCCCGCCCCCGTGTGCCTTCCCGGCATGAGCCCAGCGCTGCAGGTGTGGGCAGAGCGCCCCTAGGAACACCTCCTCTGTCTGGCCATCAGGGTAAAGGACGACGTCTGTCCCTGCACTGGGGCATCTGCGCATCTACCCGGCGTCCCTGCGAGACTCCGACCACACAGAGGGGGGGGCCGTGTCCCCAGGTGCACCGACTTCCTCTGTGCTCCACAGTAGGACCCACTCAGGGCACCACTCGGAGGACTCCCGGGTGCAAAGCAACAGCCCCTGACCCCCCTCAGGCTCCCGACCAGACTTCCCGCGCTCACTGTGAGAGATCAACACAGCCCACGGACCAAACACCTCAAGACTATTCATATGGGGTCACCCAGTAAAACGGGGGCTCTATCATGAGCTGAAAATGGCCTAAAGGACCTCAAAATAAATCTCTGGAGAGGAAAGTTTATTTGTCTTTTATAATTCTTTTTTTTTTTTAATCCTCACCCGAGAACATTTTTTTATCTTTTGTTCAGATACAGTGGGAGGGAGAGAGAGAGAGAGAAACATCGATGTGAAAGGGACACATCGAGTGGCTGCCACCCATGGGACCCAACCAGGGCCAGGGACAAACTGCAACCGAGGTACGTGCCCTTAGCGGGAACCGAACCCGGGTCTCTCTGTCTGCAGGTCGACGCTCTAACCGCTGAGCCAAACTGGCCAGGGCCTTTTTTTTATTTAACTTTACTTTTTATTTATTGTTGAAAGTATTACAGATGTCTCCCCTTTTTCTCCCACTGACCCCCTCCTCCCCACTCCCACCCCCGTTTATTTTTCTATATAACACTGAAACAGACATCTAAAAACGACATAAACGTCCAATGTCAGAAATGCTTGTAGGACAACCTAACGCTAAGAATATTACTGATGCCCGGCTGGTGTGGCTCAGTGGTTGAGCGTCGACCCTGCACCAAGAGGTCACCGGACCAAATCCCGGTCAGGGCACCTGCCCCGGTTGTGGGCCCAATGGGGGGCGTGCAGGAGGCGGCCAATCAATGTTCTCTCTCATCAATGTTTCTCTCTCTCTCTCCCTCTCCCTTCCTCTCTCTAACACGAATAAAGAAGAAAAAAAAAGTTTGAAAACATTTTTTTAAAAAGAATATTACTCAACCATTAAAAATAACTCTAGCCCTGGCCGGTTTGGCTCAGCAGTTACAGCACTGGCCCGAGGACCAATGAGTCGTGGGTTCGATTCCGGCCAAGAGCATGTATCTTGGTTGCGGTTCGTCCCCAGCCCTGGTTGGGGTCAGGCAGGAGGCAACCAGTCGACGTGTCCCTCTCACTTCGATGTTTCTCTCCCTCTCTCCCCCTCCACCTCTATCTGCAGATAAACAGAAAAATATCCTCGGGTGAGGATTAAAAACAAAAAAATCTGCCCTGGCCAGTTTGGCTCAGTGGTTAGAGCGTTGGCCTGCGGTCCGGAGAGACCCGGGTTCGGTTCCCGCTAAGGGCATGTACCTCGGTTGCAGTTTGTCCCCGGCCCTGGTTGGTCGTGTGGGTGGCAGCCACTCGATGTGTCCCTTTCACGTCGATGTTTCTCTCTCTTCCTCTCTCTCCCTCCCGCTCTATCTGAACAAAAAGTGGAAAAATGTCCTCGGGTGAGGATAAAAAAAATAAAAAAATAAAAGTAAAATAAAAACAAAAAAATCTAATGAGATGGAAAACGCACACCATGTCAGGCAGAAGGAAAGGACAGAAAAGCGTACGGATTATTTTCTAAGTGTTTCACAGCCACCACGCGGTGAATGGAGCTGGTGACGCGGAAGGGTCACAACCACCTTCTTCACTCTGATTCAGCACCCACGGGGCTGTGGGCGGAGTGAACAGGGGCTCGGAAGCGAAAAGCCTCCCCGTGGGAGCAGCTCCGTGCTGCAGGAGGGGCTCGCGGTGCTGCGTGGGCGGCGTCCCTGTCCGGCCTGGGGTCCTCTGCCCAACGGGAGAGACAGGAGGCGCGGCCATGGGCCCTGGCGGCCTCCGCGGCTGGGATCTCAAGGGGGTGTTTCCACACTGTCCCCCCGGGGCCCCACAGGACCCCGAAGCCCTTACTGATGTCCTCTGCAAAGATGATGCTGGTGAGGCGGGCGGGCTGGGACAGCCGGGCCTGGACCACGGCCTTCTGGGAGCACTGCCGCTCGTCCGGGCCCAACGGCTCGATGCTGGCCACCTCCGGCCGGGTCGACGACCTGTGGGGAGAAGACAGAACAGGACTCTCCGCAGCCATCCCACGAGGCACGGCTGGGGCCGGAAGCCACGGCCTCGGCCCCCACCTGAGGTGCTGTCCAGGCTCAAACACGGAAGAAAGGTGCCGTCTCACCAACTCCCCATCCGGAAGAGAATCGGGGCCCAGCCACGACCCGAGACAGGAGGGCGGCAGCAGGCCCCCCTGAAATACCCCAACAGCAGACCAGAGACTTTGAAGCCACCTCGCTGTTCAACAGTCACCTTAGGAGACTCTTCTAGGGGCCCGGGAATAAATACTCCACAGGAGGGCTGGAAGGGTTAGTAACGTTTAACAAAATTAAACTCCATTCTGACCAGTTATTCCTGCATGTAAACACCCGAGCAGTTTTCTAAAAACCCTGGGTCTGGCCCAGAGGAACCATGAAGATAAGGGGTTAATGGCCCAGACCTCGGGGAGCAGACTCCTGACCTCGGAGACGGCTCGGATCAGCCCTGACACCAATTACCCGGTGCCAAGGGAATTGGGTTTTTTTTTTGTTTGTTTGTTTTTTTTATCCTCACCCGAGGACATTTTTCCATTTTTTGTACAGATAGAGTGGGAGGGAGAGAGAGGAAGAGAGAGAGAGAGAGAGAGAGAGGGAAACATCGATGTGAAAGGGACACATCGAGTGGCTGCCACCCGCACGACCAACCAGGGCCGGGGACAAACTGCAACCGAGGTACGTGCCCTTAGCGGGAACCGAACCCGGGTCTCTCCAGACCGCAGGCGGACGCTCTAACCGCTGAGCCAAACCGGCCAGGGCAATGTGGTCTTTTTTAATGTCGTTTTTTTTTTAGTTTCTGTAGTTTGGGCCTGTAACAGCCAGCGAACACAGAGATTCTGAGGCTGAGCTAGAAATTTGCATCTCAACCCGCCTGCACCCAGGCGCGTGCAATAGGCCACCTGGCCCTGCACTGGCCTTGGTGGTGGGTGTGACCCCCGCCGCCCTGACCTCCTAAGGACGACTGCCGGTGGTCCGGTGAGAAGAGACACATCACGTCTCTGGGGACCTCTACACTGGGCCTGCACGCGGCCAACCCCAACACTGGCTTCTCTCTCCACGCGGGCTCTACCGAAGCTGGGGTGACCAACCAGAAGGACCGCGATGACGTCAGGTCCCCGCGCGACGGAGCCAGCCCCACGGGTGACGTGGTAGGAAAGGCAGGTCAACACACGAACAGAGCTGTAAGGTGCCTTCCCACGGAGAGGCAGCCTCCAGAAGACATGGGTGAAGGGACAGCGGGACCCGGCGGCATCCGGACAGCGCACGGCCCTCCCTTCGGAGCCCTGGAGCCGCAGGGCTGGGTGGAGGCGGCAAGCAGGGTGGGGAGCACAGGCCAGGCGCCCTCAGGGCTGTCCGCAGACGGCGCTCCCCAAGCCCCGGGCGGTGACTCTCCGATTGCGCAGACCCTGGTGTGCGGGCGGGCACCGGTCAGCACAGGCCTTAGTCTGGAAGGATGGGGCTGCAGGAACAAAAAGACCAGAGCAGCCCGACCCTGCGGCTCCACACGGGAAGAGCTCCAGGAGATGGGCGACTGCGGGGGTCAGGTCAACGAGATAAGCGGGGCCGACACCGCGGGCACTGAAGGCACAGTGAGGAGCCCAGATTTACTCCAAGGGCAGGGACGCGTTCTGGGGTCTTCAGCAGGTGAACATTCTGCTCTAAGGAGCATTTGTGGTGCAGGGAATGAAGTGCTGGCCCGGAGCTCACAGGGTGACTGAGGACCCGGGAGGGGTGCCCAGGGCACAGAGCACCCAGGCTCCGCCCGCTGCGCCCAGCTCAGCACCCAGCGGAGCAGACACCTGAGCTGGCCTCCTCCCCCGCCCTCTCTTCAACTCACGGGGCCTCCGTTCCGGGGTTTCAGAAGGAAACTTGTACAAACACACCCGCAGAGACAAGCCCTCCCGCTGGGTCCAAGCGTCTCCCTCGGAGCCCAGAGGCGTCTGCAGACACGCCCGAGGATGCTTTGATCACAGGAACATCACAGGCAGGCGTGTGGCTGGCAGGGCGCCTGGAGGTGTGTCGGCGCCTCTCCGCAAAGCACTGTGCAAATAAACCTCACCCACCGCTCAGGAGAGAGGCTACGCCCCGCGGAAACGCACATGTGGTCCTCGGGCTACGGGACAGAGGAAGGGCAGACAAGAGCGCACAGAGGTGAGACGAGGCAGCTGTGGCAGGACGCTCACCCCAGCTGGGAGCACACCCCACTTAACTGGTCGCAGCTCTGGGACTCGGAGCATTTCCAAAGGCACCAGACCTTCTGCACACAGGTGCACACACACGCAAGTGCGCACACACCACCGTCACTGCGGAAACGAGACCCGAGTGGAGCACGCGCAGGGCAGAGGGGACAAAGGACACACCGATGCCGTGCGGGCCCTGGATCCGGTCCAGGAGCAGAAAAGGAAGCTTTGAGGAGAAACGGGTTAAATCCAAGCAGCCTCGAGTTCAGTGAGCCGGCCCGGCCCATGTCACCTGCGTCACTGGGACAATGTCCCTGGTGATGGAAGATGTTAACGGCAGAGGGAGCTGGGAAAAGGTTTGCAGGAGCTCGGTAGCCTCTGTAACTTCCCTAAAAATCTAAAACTATTTCAAATTGTAAAATTAAAAAGAAAAAAAAGACAGGGAGGGAGAGATGAGCAGGCAGGACAGGGAGGGATTTTAGGGTAGTGACGCTTCTGCACGAGCCTACGGAACGTTCACCGCCGAGGACACACGGACACAGACCGCGGTCGATGGACAGGGTCCCGGTGTAACAGATACAGCACCTGTGAGGGACGCGGATCCTCGTGAGTGTGGGGAGGGTGCTGTCCAGAAAACCCGTCATTTGGCTCCGCTTTTTAATGAACCTACAGCTGCTCTGACACATGAAGTCCAGCCCTGGCCAGTGTGCACTGTGGTTAGTGTCCACCGCACATCAAGGGGTCGCAGGCTTGACCCCCGGCCCTGGTCCGGGTGCGTGCAGGAGGCGACAATGGACGTGTGTCTCTGACATCGAGGTTTCTCTCTCTCCCTTCCTCCCGCCCTCCCTCCTACTCTCTCTAAAAATCAATGGAGATTGGTTGTTAGACTGACAAATTTCAGAGGAAAGAAGAAAGTGGGGTGAGGAGAGACAAACCAAAGAACTTCTATGCAGATGTGCATAACCGGTGGACAGACTATAGTGTGGGGAAGGCAGGAGGGGGGTGGGAGTGGGGAGGAGGGGGCCAACGGGGGGAAAAGGGGGAGACCTCTGTAATACTTTCAAAAATAAGACACACTTAAAAAAATAAATACCTAAAATAGAATAAATCCATGGGAAAAAACATCCTCAGGTGAGGATGAACAATAAATAAATAAATAAAGTCTATTAGGGAAAAAATGAAGACCATTCGCCATTTCCTGCTTTTACCCTGACAGTGCGGTCTGTCTTTTGAACGGGCCCCGGGAGCTGGCGACCTGGATCTCCGTCTGGGCTGCAAACTCCACACCCTCCCCAAAGCCTCGACTGGAGAACAAGCCAAGGACAACACCTCTCCCCCCCTCCCAGCAGGGAGTTAATTTCAGGCCCGATACACGAATCAGCACAGGTAAGAACAGCTATTCCAGGCCCAGTTGGAGGGGCATAAAATCCGGGGCCCCACATCCCCACCTTTCCACCGTCTGCCACCCAGATCCCAGGCAGCTTGGAGCCCGGCTGGAAACAACCCCCCCCCCCCCACACACACACACACACACACTCCGTGCCTGGTGTCCGCAGGGTTTTGTGACGCAGAATTACGGTCCCTGAAGCAGCCCTGTCCAGTAGAGATAGGAGGTGATTCACGTTTAAAATCTTCTGATTTAAGAAGAAAAAGTAACAGTTAAAATGAATCTACGAGACTATTGTTTAGAGTAGTTTTAGGTTCCTAGTAACAGGGATGTCCCTGCGCCCGCCATGTGCCTGCCCCCAGCGACCGCCCCCCAGCTACGGACCCACACGGACACGTCATCCTCCCCCAGGGGCCACGGTCAGCACGGGGCTCGCTCTTGGCGTACGTTCTACGGGTTCGAACAAATACATAATCCCCTCTGTGGTGTCATACTGCGTAGTTGTACTGCCCTACAAATCCTCTCTGCCAAGCATCCCTATTTATCTATAAGTCACTATGTAAAAGTCCTATTAAAGAGAAATAACAGGTGAAATTTAATTTTTTTAATCCTCACCCAAGGATATGTGTTTATTGATTTTTAGAGAGAAAGGAGGGGGAGGAGGGATGGGGGAGAGAGAGAGAGAAACATTGATGAGAGAAACATCCATCGGTTGCCTCCCATGCACCCCGACCAGACACTGAACCCGCAGCCTTTGGGTGTGTGGAACGATGCTCCAACCGACCGAGCCACCCGGCCGGGACAACAGGCGAGATTAGTTTTAAGAACACGTATTACTTAGCTCAACTTATCCCAAATACCATCGGCCCAGCACTCACAAGGGACTACGGCTGGACAGCCAGCTCCGAGGACTGGCCTTCGAGCCAGTCAGGTTCACTGCTCTTCACTCGCCGACTCTCGGGGCTCCCCCTGATCGCTGCCACGGGCTGGCTGGGGTGGCAGGGGCTGAGCCTCCTACACCCTCGAAGGGAAGGCGCGTCCCACCTCGGGCCCACAGGGCAGCCGGGACAAGACCGAGCAGCGGCCTGGGAAGCTGCCCCCACCCCACCTCAGGCCTGCAGCAGGCGGACTGTCCCAGCCTGAACACGGTGACCCCATACTAGGAAAGAGCCCCCACCAGCCTGGTGTGGCCTGCAGGGCCCGCACCCACGCCACCTGAGCCAAACACTGTAACAGGAGCCCGACTGGTTCTCACGGGGCTGCCGGGAGGGCTGGAAACTTCATGATAAACGCTGAGGTGCTGAGAAGCAGGCACCGACGCGGCAAACCACCAGGGTGCGGACGGGGGAGTCTCCTCTGGGCTCCAGAATGTTCCGTCTGAGGCTGGGAGG